TGATTTTTCTGGCAACTTCTTCGTCTAAAGATGTGATAATGATACCTGCAGCTTTTGCACGTTCAGATGCCGTCATAGTTGTTTGATTGAAGTCCTCGTTAAATAATTGGTAAAAGCCATGTTGGGCCAGAAGGCCATAAATGCAATTTTCCCAGGAATGGTAGTTCTTCCATCCACGAAGCTTTAGAATTGTTGAAAGTGATGATTGCATATTTTAATCGTAGGATGATGATCACAAGAGAAAGAAAAATGAAGATCAGAAGAGAGAGATAGAAAAAAAAATGATGATCGAGAAAAAAGAAAAACAAAAACACAAAAGGCTGAAGCCAGAGAAACTCTGGTGCTGATAACGTGTTTGAAATCAAATTATATTTTATTCATCATTAAAATCATCACACATCAGCTCTCATATTTATATATGTGAGCCAATGCTATTTCTACAACAAAGCTATTTTAACATGGAATTCATTCATTTGGATTGATGATGATGATGATGATGACCAAAGAAAAAGAAGAAAATGACTAAAATCATTAGATTCAAGTGGAGAGGACATTGTTTTGTTTTTTTTTCTGAAAAAAAAATTTCATTCCATTTTGATGGTTCATTAATTCACTTCATACTTTTATCATCATCATCATCATCATCATCATCGTCATTGAAATGAATGGAATGCAATGCATTCTTGAACATTGGAATCATCATCCGCTTTTCTTTTTTTTTTTGGTCTGATTTGGAATTATTCTTGCACAAAAAAAAAATTTTTTTAAGTGAACAAAAAATTTTTTTTTCAAATCAAAATACAATTGGAAAATTGAAAATTCTTTCTTTCTTTCATTTTTTTTCTGTTCTCTTTCATTCACCACTGTTCAATGTAACAAAAATGGTCATCCACATATCGATCATCATTGTATCGATGTGTGTATGATTGTTTAGCAATGCGTTGCGAACATTTTTCTATTGTCTCCCATTTCTTTTTTCTTTTCATTTGTTTTGTGAATTCACTGGAGATTGTGAAAGATACAGAGATATACAAAGACAGAATAGAATAACAATCACAATGATGAGACATTATTACCATTTCATTTCGTATTTCATGTATACATGGAATTTGGTTTTTTTTTTGGGGAGAGGGAGTTAGGAATCTTTTAAGAATAATTTTCGTTTCTCTCCGGTTTCATTTATATATATTACATATAATACAGATTCATTGGCTCAGTAGTAGTAGTAGTAATAATAATAAGTGATTTTTCGTGTTATTGAACGAAAAAAAAAATTTTTTTTTCTCTCGAATTTTCATCAATCTAATAGACTAGTTTTAGATTTATTCATTGTATATATTTTTTCGTGTGTGTGTGTTTGTGTGATAATAAATACAAATTTTCAACAGTACAATTGTACAATGGACATTTTATATATTTATTTATCTTTAGTAAATTTGTATTTCCAGATAAGAATCTGAAATAGGAATAAAAATTGTTTCATTCACTCTCTCTCTCTCTCTCTCTCTCTAATTCTCCCCTTCTCTTTTGTTATTCTTGATAGATTCCATTACATCCATATAGTGATACTGGACAGAATATAAGAAGAATCAAAAGAAGAAGAAAAAAAAATTAAGAGAACTATTAACAAAAATGAGAATGAAAAAAAAAAAAAATCAGAACCATTCATTTCATCTCAATTAATCAAGTAATGGCGTGTCTTTCTTGATTACTTGAATGAATGTGTAGTGATTGAGAGAGAGAGAGAGAGAGATGGATAAATGAATAAAAAAACAGATCACTTTTATTGATCTATGTATTTTAGTTTTGTTGAGAATTTGTCGCATGGTACAAATTTTCAACAGTACAATTGTACAATGGACATTTTATATATTTATTTATCTTTAGTAAATTTGTATTTCCAGATAAGAATCTGAAATAGGAATAAAAATTGTTTCATTCACTCTCTCTCTCTCTCTCTCTCTCTCTCTCTAATTCTCCCCTTCTCTTTTGTTATTCTTGTTAAATTTATCTCAATTAATCAAGTAATGGCGTGTCTTTCTTGATTACTTGAATGAATGTGTAGTGATTGTGAGAGAGAGAGATGGATAAATGAATGAAAAAAAGACAGATCACTTTTATTGATCTATGTATTTTAGTTTTGTTGAGAATTTGTCGCATGGTCCATTTACCTCATCTTTATTTTTTTTTTTTTTTGCTTTTTTCTTACTGCAAACATTGGAGAATACCGATACAATGCTAATAGAGGTCAATCATCAATCTATAGTTTGCATTTGTTTACTTGACGTTGCCATAGACAAAATAGACATTATAATTGTAATTATAATAAACGAGAAAAAAAATCATCATTGAATCAAAAAAAAAACACTGATGAAGATGAGAAAATGGAACAAAAAAAAATAGGGACTGAGAATAAGAGGTCAAAATTATTAGTGAAACGAATTCGAGAATCTTATTACTTTAGTGCCATTTTTTCATCTTGATACTTCGACAAATAAAACAAAACAAAACGAACAAAAAAAAAACTCGACTTTAGTGAACATTTAGCCAGTCATCAAAGTCAAAAAAAAAAAAAAAACAGAAGCTCAAGATTATTATCATTGTAAGTTTGTAATTTTGTTTATTGTAAATAGTAATTTTAACTAAAAAACGTGAAAACAAAGAAGAGCACGTACTATGTGAATGCGTGTGCGTGTGTGTGTGTGTAATCTTATTCATTCATACATTTTTCTCTCTCTCTCTGCGTGTGTGTACGTGATAATCATTTGATAATTTAATTTTTTTTTTCTTCTTTTTTTCGTTAATCATCATTGCAATAATGCTCCAAGACGATGATTTTGATTGTCTTTGATTTTTTTTTTTTTTTTTTTTGCTGTCGAGAGATCAATGGACTTAATTGTGTGTATGTTGTGTATGTGAAATGAATACATCGAATGTTTTTCCATCTATCTCACTAGACAAATATTATTGTCCTGCTGTTTGATATTGAATTTAAGGGACGGGAAGCATTTTTTTTTCTTCTTCTTCTTTGGTTTTTGTCTTTTCTCTGATTAGAATTTAATGAATTTCATTGAAATTTTACATGCTGTGTTTGTGTATGCATGTGTGAGTGAATAGCAATGATAATTTTCAATCTTTAATTCCATCTTATCAGTCATTGTCCTTTTAAGATTTTGAAATTTTTTTTTTTGATGAGTTTTTTTTATGTTGAAAATTTTTTCTTCATTAATTTTCTCATTGTAATTATCATGTATTAAAAATCTACAGATTTTAGTCTAGGAAAGTTTTATTCTGGAATTTTCTATTCAATGTTCTTCAGGGAATCGATTTGTTTTTTTTTTTTTTTTTTTGATACAGAAAAATTGGATACTGCTGCTGTTGCTGTGTTCTGTGTACGAATACCGGTGCCGATTTGGAAAAAAAACAGACACACAACCATCACAATGAAAAAAAATCAAATGGAAACCAGTGAGTAGAAAAAAATGAATGAATGAATGAATAAAGTCGGGTAAAGAAAATTCTGTTTCCAAAAAATGCTGTGAATATCCATCAGAATTAAATTCAATAAATATGATTGCAGTGCACACACACAACAATGTTGCTGTTGATGTTTTATTTTCTTGTTTCGAATAAATCAATGAAAAAAAGTGGTCATGTGTGTGTGTGTGTGTGTGGAGAATGTTTTTTTTTTGTTGCTGTTGTTGTTGTTCTTATTTGTTTTGTCATAAATCTTGTTCCGGTTACACGCACACACAAAAAAGATGGCTGCCAATGTTGTTATTATTATTATTATAAACAATGGATTAAAAAACGATGGACATTGGCTATCGCAAATAGATCTATTGTTTGATCTATTGTTTATGATGTTAAAATTTATTTATACGACAACGACAACGACTACGACGACTACGACGACGACGACAATGATGATTTATTATTGTCCGGTTACTTGTTTGCTTGTTTGTTTGTTGGCTTTTGTGATATTTACACTATTTTCACATGTATAAATAGAATGTAGTTTTTTTTTTTTTTTTTTTTTTGTTCACATTGAAAAACAAACAAAGTCAACAAAGAAATGAGAAAAAAAAATTTGATGAAGAAAAAAAAAATTAAATCAATCATCACTATCATGGTGGCTATGGCTATGGCTATGTCAACTGCTTTTTGAACAATGTTTGCTCAAAAAAAAAAAAATAACAAAGAAAGAGAAAAAAAACAGAATTTTTTCACCGAACAATTCAAACATTTGTCAACAACAAACATTGAAATATATATATATATCGGTGTGAAATAGTAGTATTCTCTAGATTTCTCAAGAATTTCTTTGAAAAGAGAAGAAAAATCAAATATTTCAAATCGAAAGAAATGGTACAAAAATAAACCCAAGAGATGTGATGATCAAGCATTTTTTTTTTGTTTGAAATTTTCATTTTCAATAATTTAAATGTACATCATCATGTCCAGTCTGTTGACAGGGCCATTTTCAAGCCAGAATTTTATTTTTTTTTTTTTTTTTTTGAAAAAACGAGAACAAAAAAAATGATCAAATTCCATATTATTTGATTCCGTGAAAGAGCGAATGATATATAAAAAAAATTGAAATTTGAAATTCAAAAATCTTTTCATCTAGATTTTGCTTTTTCACATTTATAGTTGTCAAATAAAATAAAAATGAAAAAAGAAATAGGAAAATTTCAAAATCTACAGATTTTATCTTGTTGAAAAATGAAATTCAATAAAATTTGTGCAAAAAAAAAATCGACACGAAAAAAAAATTCTGTGATATTCTGTGAATTGATTTTTTTTCTCATTGTTTGCTTTGGAAAAAAAACTTTCCGGAAATTCTGGCCATACATTTGTAAATGAACACACACACACACACACACACACACACTGAACCGATAAATTATGGTTATTGATTGGAATTGCAAATTTTTTTTTTCATTCAATTTTCTGTATTAAAAATTTCTCATTTAAATTAGAATTAGAATCAGATTTACATTTGGAAAGTTTTCGTTGTGGTTGATGATGATCATTGTTGATGATTGTTTTTCTCTTTCGATGGTCATTTTTTGTTGTTTTCACCAAATTCAATGATTTTGTTGATGATTTATTGGACACTGGAATGGCCATCGTTGTTTCATCTGTTGATTGTTGTTGTTGTTGTTTTATGCAAATACCACAAACATCATTCACGGAATTGGAACGTTGTTTATCCATTTTTTGTTGTTGTTGTCGTTGTTGTACATCTGTGTCCAGAAAATTATTTGTCATTTGAACATTTTTTCCATTTTCAACATTTGATTTTGTCACAAAACAATTTTTTTGTATTGAATTTTTTGATGGAAAATCTATATATTCCACTTTGACATTGACATCGAAAAAATGATTTTCAGGCATCAAACAAAATGATTTTGATGTTGATAATAATGATGATGATGATGATGAATGTTGTTGTTGTTGTTGTTGTTGTTGTTGTGGTGACAATGATATCGGCGATGGTGATTTTATATTCTGTCGACAATGTTGTTTTGATTGTTGTTGACATTCTACATTTACAATTTCCTGATTCTCTTGCAGTGTTGAAAATAAAATATTCTCACTAGCAACATTGCCATCAACAGCGACAACAGAAGGCTGTAAACTCATCAAAGTTAATTGATTATAATAGGCAATATTTCCATCATCATCATTACTATCACAATGGTCATTTTTCAATAATTTTCTTCTATTTTCATGTTTTGTTTGGTCATTTTCTTTTGATTTTTTTGAATCATTTGATGCCGATGAAAACATTGATAATGTTGATGTAATCGATGATGATGGTGATGAATATATTGGTGGTGGTAATGGTGGTTGTGGTGAACTTAATCGTCGGCCATCATAATAATCTGACGATGATTTATTAAACTTATCACTATCTGGATTGTTACCATTATCGACATCATCATTGTAATTATCCTTCAATATTGATTGATGTTGTGGTGTTGGTAAATTTGTTTCAACATTATCAAATCGTTGACAACGTTTTGTATTTGTAGTGGTCCAAAAAATACGATGACCATTATCGTGGCTTATTGTAATAAGAAAAAAAAATGAAAATAAAATGAGAAAAAAACTGAACTTGAAATTTTAACCAGAACAAAAAAAAAATCTCTTTTATCTGTATCATTTTCAAATACAAAAGAAAAAAAGAATCTGATTAATTGACTTGAATGTCTAGAATAGAGTCTCTCTATTAGTCGATGATATTTTTTTTTTTTGTTCACTTTTCACTTTTTCTCATGATTTATCGACTCATTCATCTTTTTTTTTCTCTCTATTTGGATTTCTCCTTCTCTCTCTCTCTCTCTCTCTCTCTCTTTCTCTCTCTTGAGAATGAAAATGGGCAATGATTTTGACATCGATTAAAATTCATGGTGGGTTTTTTTTTCTCATTTGAGCACAAGCTGAGAAAATGAGAAAAAACAGCCGGTAATTTTTTTTTCGGTCTAAATTATTGTCATAATTTTTTTTTCGTTTCATTATTCATTCATTTACTCTATGGCTGTTTTTGTTTTTTTCGCATGACCATCATAGAATTTTTTTTTTTTTAGTTTTAAAATTGCCACATATGATTCTGGTGAACACTATCATTATCATCATGATTTATGATTAATATTTTTTTCGCATCTCAATCTTTTCATCATGATTTTCACTATCATTTTTATTCATTACAGACATTGAAAAACAAAGAAAAACAAAAAATGGATCATTTTTCGGGTATATGATGATGGTATGTGGTTTGATTGGTTTCAAAAATTTTCATCGAAAAACAAAATCCATACACACACACACACATTCAGATTCTCGTATATAACAGATGATTTGGCTAGTCATTGGCTTTTTTCTCATTGATTCAGAATTGTTTTTTTATTCGCTTTTTAAACATTATTTTTGAAGAGGAAAAAAAAATCTTTGCAAAAAGTGTGATAAATCGAAAATCCGTTGCAATATTTTTTTTTGGCACAGAATTTGACTGCCTCTCTCTCTTCGTCTCTTTATCACTATATGTCGAGGTTTACATTTTACAGTCAGAAAATTCTTCAGGGAAAAAATGGCAAAAAGAGAAAAAATATGAAATAGAATTGCAATCAATTTGAATGAATTCTTTTTCTATTTCTATTTATTCAAATAGACCAAAAAAATACGAAATTGGAAACGAAAAAAAACAACAACAACAACAACAACAGTGGATAAGAATCTTGGATTCAGATTTTTCCAGGTTCATTGTCGATTTATTATGCAGCAAACGAAACAAAAAAAAAATCTGAACAAATAAGGAACAAATAAAGTGAATGAAAATTTATTGAAAGAAAAAAAAAGATTTCAACAAACAATCGATCAGGCATAATAAATCTGAATAATATTTTCTTTTCAATTGCTGTCGTTGTTTGTTTGTTTTGTTTTGTTTTCTGTCTATTTCCTGAAACAATCACACAAACGTTGCATTAATCTTGTTATTGTTGTTGTTGTTGTTGTTTTTTATGGAAATTGAAAAAATTTTAAATTCAAATTTTTCAAAAAATAAAAACAAAAACAAAACATTTTTTGTGTTTACCTTAGTTGTTCACGTTTAAGATCACGAAAAAATGCTGATGATGACGATGATTCTAATGATGGTGCGGGTGGTGATATTTCAGTTATATCATCATCATCATCATCCTCGTCATCTTTTTCTTCTACCACTTTTTCCTCGTTATCATCCATTTTCTGTTGTTTTTGATGATTCAAATCTGCCAATATTGTATTTGGACAAAAATCTGATGATTTAGTTGATAATTTTGATGGCCTAGTTTTTAATGGTAAATTTGATAATGAATTTATCGACGATTTAGACGTAGATGATGATGATGATGATGATGATGAGCATTTTTCTATCACAGTACGGTTATTGTTATTTTCATTGTTTATTTCAATCGATGATTGTTGTACAATTAAATTTGTTTTATTTGAATTTAATTGTTTCACATTCACTACATTATCATTGCTGATTGAATGATGATCATGATCATCAAGATCAACACTAAAATTTTCAACAAATGAATGTGAATCTAGTTCTCGTCGATGTTGTCGTCGCTGTTGTTGTTCGATTGATTGTCGATTTTTTCTCAATAGTATCGATTGTATCAATCGAAAATGATTGATGAAAAAATTTATAGAAAAAAATCGTTGATTGTTTAATGATGATGATGATGATTTTGAATGATCATTGTTTACATTCGATTCACGACGTCTACCACATTGATTACAGTGATCAAAATCATCATCATCATCATCGAAATTATTTTTGCAATTTAAATCTGTTGAAAATGATGAATTATTATTATCACTACTAAATTTGTTGTTGTTGTTGTTGTTATCATTTCTCTTTTTTCTCATTGAACAACGTAAAATTTGTTGATGAAAATTTGAAATTGTTTTATTTTTCATGAAAATATTCATTTCATTACGAATATTTGGGGTTGTTGTTGTTGTTGTTGTTGTCGTGGTCGTTGTTTTGGTTTCATTTGTCGTCATCGTTGTTGTTGTTGTTGAAGATTTTATCGGTTTCTGTTGACAATAATGTTTACGCAATGATTCATGATTACTTTCATGATAATGATTTATCGAATTCGATAAACGATTCATTGGTTTTGAATTTTTTGTTTTCATCATTATCATAGATGATGATAATGATAAATTATTTGAATTTTGTTGTAAACGATTATTATGATTATGTTTATGCTGATGATGATGATGTCGATGTTGATGATGATGATTGATTGTATCGCTAAAATTTCCACGTCTTTTTATTTCACGATAAATTTTATAATATAAAATCATCATCAATGTCATTGGTACAAGAAAATTGGCAATCGATGTTGTTATTTTGAACGCAACAGAATCGGAAAATTCTGTTTCACAAACATTATTTGGATGTTTACGTACGCCATCATTGTACCAAAGATGCCAACCTATTTTAAAAAAAAGTATTGAAAAAATTCAATCTTACAAAACAAACAACAACCATATCGCTAAAATATTTGTTTCAAAAAAAAAAGAAAAAACAAAATTCCAAGGAAAAATCAAACATACACAAAGTGATTCAATCATCCGAAGAAATTGAAAAAAAAAACGAAAGAAAATCTAATGTAATTTGCTCTGTTTGTGACAAACTTACTCACAAACAAGGACAAATAGACATTTAATGATCATGGACATTTCTATTTTCACTTTTTCTTTTCTCGTTTGTTTGTTTGTCCAGCAAAGAACAAAAACAAAACAAAAAAACAACATTCAATGATCACATAGAGAAAAACAAAGAGAAAAAATCAAACTCAAATAATTTAATTCATTTTCTATATGATGATGATGATGATGATGACTGTTTGTTTGATTTCAAATTTGTCAAGACGATGAAATGGAAAATTTTTTTTTTTTTTTTGTGGAAAAAAAACGAAAAAGCTTTAAAAATATCAACAACAACAACAACAAGGAAAAAACTTTAACTTTTACAATACAGAACAGCTGTTACGGCAATTTGTTTGTGAAGAATTACAGTTATTCGGACAATAGCAACAAAATGAACGACAAAATTCTTGATTATAGTTTACATTCTATCAACTTTCAATTTTTTTTTCTCTATCTATGAAAAAAAAGTCAAACTGTTGAAATTTCACATTTCATTTCATTTCAATTCATTTTTTTTTTTTTTTTTTGGTGAACAATCGGTGAAAAAGAATATTTTTTCAATCCACAAATTCACATTCACATTCCAATGAAATTGATGGAAAATCATTTGGACGCCAAAAAAAAAAAAAAAAATGAAATTCCAAATTCAAAATGATAACAAAAAGAGAGAAAAAAAAATTATTGGCTGTCAAAATGTGAAGGAAAAAAAAATTCATCATCATCAAATGAATTGCTCGAAAATGCAGGTTTCTGTTCTGTTTTTTTTTTTTTTTTTTTTTTGAAAAAAAATTCTGATGCTGACCAATCTGAATCGTCAAAATTGTTAACATTGTCATTGTCAAAAATTCTTTGAGCAAAAATTGTTTGTTTGACAACAACATTGTGTAAACATAAAAGGCCATCAATTATACAATATGATGACAATTGTCGTGTGTTTGTTTTTTTTTTGCTTTCCATTCTGTTTATCTGTATTCACACACTGGAATTAATTTTTTTTTATTTATTTTTTTTCAGTAAAAAATCATTGTCACTGTCAATTGAAAACAAAAACAATCAGCGAACAAAAACAGTTGAAAAAATGCAAACGCCCACGCACATACACACGCACAGAGACACATTGGTATTGGACGAAAGTTCACACTGTAATTTGTTTGAAAATTTTTTTTTTTTTTTTTTGATCATAAAAAATTGCAAATTTCGTCTAAATAAATATTTGGAAAAAAATGCAAACAAACAAACAAACAAACAGACAGACAAATGTCATGAGAATCAATGGATAATGATAATGATGATGATGATGATGATGGATGGTAGCAAAAATGGTGAAAAAAAAACATTGAGAAATTTTTTTTTATGATTGTCATTTTATTCTGTATTTGAACAAAAAAAAAATTTGCATTCAACAAACAAAACAGAACGAAAATGCGAAAAAAAAAGAAAATGGCCTCTGGTTATTTGTTTTGTATTGCCATTGGAATCGAATTGATGAATATATGTAAAGTAAATTCACAAATTCTGTACATATTCATTTTGCTATTTTTTTTTTTTTGTTTTACACCGTCAATCAAACTTTACTCTATTTTTATTTTTAATCTCTGGTAATTTTTTTTCTACCTTTCTGTTTTTTTCCGGTTTGTTTAAGACAAAACAAAGAAAATGAATGAACGAAAAAAAAATTCTGCAAGATAAAGTTTTCATAAAATAAAAAACAACGACAACAACAGGACAGAAGAATGTTGATCAGAATTGAATTGTTTTTCTGTTCTGTGTGCGCCCTGTTTGCAAAAAAAAAATGAAAATTTGAATTCATCGTTTGAATTTTGTGCAAAAAAAAATGAAACCAAAATCAAAAAACTTTAATATCCATTTTCATTCGAGATCTATAAAAGATCAAAAGTTTTACAGCTTGTACACACTCACACACACACACACACACAAACAGGAGACTTAAATAACCAATTTTTTTTCATTATTATCATCATTGATATATGACAGAAGGATAATATAATAACCGATAGAATTTTGAAATTCGATACAAATTTCAACAAAATTGAATAAATTTTCGTTATTATGTTTATGACTTTTTATTTCATTCATTCATTCTCGATAATAACTGAAGCTTCATACGTACGTCATCATTTTTTTTAAAGGCGAAAAAAATGGACTTTTTTCACATTGAAAATTTTTTTTTTTTTTTGGCTCGTTTGAAAATGAAAAAAAGTTGCAAATTGTTTGAAAATAAATAAATAGCCTGCCCTAGAAAAGAATATTGATATCCATCGATACCGATTTTTTACGACTTGATTGCCAATCATTATCATCATTGATTCATCACCATTGATGGTGAATGAATGGGCGAAAATTGAATTTTCGCCCATTCTGACCATTATGACACTTTTTTTTGTTAGGCAGATTTTTCTTTCGAGATTCAATTTCTACAAATAAATTATCGTATTAGGGACAAAACTTTTCGCTAAAACGTCAGACATTTTTTTTTTTTTTTTGAGTAATCATTAGTGTGATGATGATGATCATTAAGAATGGTTTTTGTTCGTATATCGATTTCAACGTTTAAATCGAATAAATCTTGATTCCAATCTTGTTAATCATGATGAATTTTTTTTTCGGGGGAAGGGAAAAAAACTTGAAGTTATTACCGGAAACATTTTGTGCTTAATTATCGCGACAAAAAAAAATGTTATCATCATATTTCACATAGAATCTACCGATCCATTAAAATTTATGTTCATGTTTTTTTTTGGCGAAACAAAAAAACACCAATCGATAATAATTAGATAATTAATCCTCGTCGATTGATTTATTACGAAAAAAAGTACAACAAACGAGATACAAATCACAATTAAGCAGAAAAAAAAGAGAAAAATTACAATTCTTCTCATGTGGCTGATTACTAGACTAGTAGTAGTGTACTGTGCGCATGTCATCACAAAAAAAAATTCTACGTTTCGATTCTCGAAAAAAAAGCAAAAAAATTCATTCAAAATCAATCATGAATCAAATTCATTTGAATCATGTAAAGAAAATTTGCTGAAAAAATTTTCTAATTGAAAAAGTATAATTTTCTTGTGAGTAAAAAAAAAAACACTAAAAACTAATGATCAAAATTGAAAATCAATAAATGTCGTAAAAGAGCCAAGAATTTCAAAAAAAAGTAGAAAAAAAAGTGCAATGAATCTGGAATGAAATTAAACATTTTTTTTTTATAAAATGAAATTAATGCCATTCTCTCAACGTTGCATTTCTCAATTTATTTCGTCGAATTTGGAAAAAAAGAAACTTTCGATTATTATTTTTTTCTTCTTCTTGTTCATTCACTCATTCACTCACACATGGAACTTGCAATTTGAATATTTCACAAAGAATTCTGTTCCACTTTACGATTGGAATATTTTTTTTTTTTTGCCATTGTTCAGTGAGTTTTTTTCCCCCACTTTTTTTCGATAATGTACAATAAGACCATTGAATTGTGAACGAAAAAAAAACAGAAAAAAAATGACACAACAAAGAATGTAATTGCTTCCACTTTTCAAAGAATAAATTTTTCATTTTCATTGAACACAAACACACAAAAATACAAGAATCGAATCAAAAAAAAAAAAAAAAAAAAAAGAAATAGAAACGATCATCGAGGCCATTAGGTTGGAAATGTAAAATGAACATTTGAAAGAATTGGCAGAAAAAACGAAGACTTTTTTTTATAAAATTCTTATGTACAGCCACTAACCATTCAACCACCACCACCACCACCACCACCATCATCATCATCATCAATGTTGAATTTGGTAGTTTCAAATTTGTTTTTTCTTCTTCTTTTTCTTCTTTGTTCTTCAGCAATGGAAAGCAAGAGAGAGAGAAAAAAAATGAAAACTGCACAGAAAAAAAACTAAAGATAAGAAAATTGCTCTCTTTTTTTTGTTCACACACACACACTACAACTGAGAATGTAATGTCATTTTATTTATGAAAAGTTTGAGAAAATTGCTTGCCATTTTCAAGAAAATTGAAATAAAATGTACACTCTATCTGTCTGTCTGTCTGTCTGTTTTTTGTTTTGTTTTGTTTGTTAACAGTTTATATTCCATTGATGATGATGATGATTTTGATTGAAAACACACACACACACACTATAGTGAATTAAACTAAACTTCATCATCAGATTTTCGGATTATTTACTCACACACACACACACAATATTGTTTATCACAAAAGTGATTTTCTTCCATTTTCGAAAACAAATTTCATACCCATTCATTCATTCATTCATCCATCCATCCATCCATCCATTGTTTGTGATTAAGAAATTTTTTTTTTTCACGATATGTGCGTGCATGTAAAACATTTGTCAAATAAATGAAAAAAAACATGGCTCAATTGGCGATAATAATAATGATGAAAGAAAAAAAACCTGAAAAGATTTTTCATTCTACAGAATAGAAAAAAACTGGCTACCAGAATTTCGATTTTATTTTCACTTTCACAAATTTACAATCGCTCCACCCAATATCTACAGAATTGAAAACATTGTTAATCGATAGAGAATCAATGAAGCATATGCGCCAAGATTATATTAAGACATTAATATGATCCAGTATTATTATTTTTTGTTTTTTTTCAGCTTCATTAGATTTTTTCAATTAATTTGTACTTTTTTTCTGTGTGTGTGTGTGTTTTTGACCTTCAAAACATTTATTTTTTTATTTGGCCATTCAATCATGAAGAAGCCGATAGAATGACTGTGACAACAACAACAACAACAACAACAAAAAATCTACAAATTAATCTAGTTGAAGGGTTTTTTTTTCATTCAATTCTGAAATCCAGAATAAAATAAAATGTCCATGTTTTAAGATGTAATCGGTTTTGTACCGAAATTCAATCAATTATCATTCTACAGTAATAAACAGTCCGTCAGTCTTTTTGTATTTCCGGTCTGTCATCATAATTTCATCATCATCATTAAGATTTTTTTTTTGATGGTCATCACACAGCATGTGAGAATTTTATTCATGAAAAAAATTTATTTTTTTTGTCACAAAATTAAATTCTCTTTATTCTCGATTCATGACCAAGACACACACACACACACACACACAAACACGCCCAAAAACTATTAAAATGATTGATTCATTTTATTTCATTTGATAATTTTTTTTTATTCCTTTTTACAAAATGCAACTGGCAAATGAAAGTTTTAAATATTTTAACATTTCATTTCATCATCATATATATAATCTATTAATGTTTGTGGCCATATTTTATTCATTAGAATTTTCAGCGACAAAGAAAATGAAAATAGAAATGAAAAAAAAAACAATAAAATGATTATACAATTGACGTTGTCGATGGTTTTTATTTTGCATATTGCTATCTGGAATTCATTGGTCCCAGCAAAGAAAAAGATACAGTTATGGTTGACGTGATATAAACATATTATTTTGGTAATAAATTGTGTTCTATTCACTAGTTTATTTTGTGGTTTCAGGCCAATTGACCAATCAAGCGGTGGGTGTGTGTGTGTGTGTGTGTTTACAAATGTTTTGATTTTCAATCAATTGGTAGAAATCAATTTCAATTTTTTTCAATTGACAAATTTTCTTTCCATCGATTTCCGTATCCATTTCCTATGGCTAGATAGATTTCTCATTCTCCTCTCTCCCTCTCTCTCTCTCTCTCTCTGGGATTCAGGCAACAACACAATTTGTTATATCGTTTCAATGATCATGATCATCATTTTCCATTTTCAATTGGTAAGTAAAATTTTCAGCAAAAAAAAATGGATTGGCACTTCGAAAAAAAATCTGATAAAGTAGATTTCTCTTTTTTGATTTTCAATTTCAAAAAAAATGAAGGGAAAAAATTCCAAGAAAAATTACATTTTGCATGAATGTAGTAGTGAACAAAAAAAAACGGAAATTACTGGCTTTACAAGATTTTATCATTTTTTTTCTCTTGTAAATTCAATCTTCCTTTTTTCAGTTGAATTTCAAAATTTGAAATAAAAAGTGATAAACTTGGAAAAAAAGGAATAATTTGATTTCACACAAATTCAAATTTCATACAACATGTGGATGGAGAGAGAGAGATAGAGAGAAAAAACGTGATTCTCGTTTGATTTTGATTGATTTTTTGATGAAAATAAAATGTTTTTTGATTACACGATGATGATGATGATGTTGGCGACGAAGGAATGAAAGAAAAGTTTTTTTCGCTCTCCCTTTCACTGATCTGATTTTGTCATCATTTCTATTTCCTTTGCATTCATTCATTCATTCACTCAATCCATTGGAAAGTGTGAAATACCACTTTACTTGTGGAAAAAAATAAAAAATAAAATTTAAAAATTGACAACATCAACAGCAATGATGATAAATGAGAGAGAGAGAGAAAAAAGAAGAAAATTTGCATTTTACACGAGAGAACGAAAATAAAAAAAAAATTTTTGATAAAAATTGATTGAAATGAATGAATAAATAATTTCGATATATGTAAATAATAAATTATCATTTCTGACATGGCCAAGTTTCATCATTATCGTTCGTAAGTTTGGAATTTCTCTATCTCTCTCTCTCTCTCTTCACTTGATTCATTATTTTACACAATTTATGAATGAATAAATGAGTGAATGAAAAAATCCAATTTAATTCAACATTTTCAAGTGAAAAGCAAAAAAACAAAAAAATGAACCGAAAAAATATGGAGAAAATTTTGTTCATGAGAAAAAAATCAACAACAACAGCGAAAAGTTCCTGGATCATCATCATCAAGTGATGCTGATGATGATAATAATAAGAATTAATAGAGAGAAAAAAAAACAAATTTAACTTTTTTTACTGTGAAATAGAAGAAAAAAAAATTTTTTTTTTGTTCGGAACAAGAACTTTTTTTCTCTTGGATTTCTCAGTAAAAAAAAAGTTTGTTGTATTTTCTTTTTTTCCATTCATTCATTTTTCTTCTGTCTGTCTACATGTCTACTATCTGTGTCTGAAGATGGAAAATGATAATGGTGCTGGTACACACACACACACGAAAAAAAGGGTTATCCGAAACCAGCAAAAAAAAAAAAAAAAAATAAATAAATAAATTTGGAACAATGAAATGAAAATGAAATGAACATCAAGTTTATTTATTTTTCGTTTTTTTTTTGCTACTTTTTTTTATAATTCGTCGTGGTGACATGATAAATTACATCAACACCACCGCCATCGCCATCGCCGCCACCCCCACACCTTAACATGAACATAGGCATTATCATTCTCAATTCTATGCGTTTTATTTTATTCGAGGCAAAAAAAAAGAGAGAGAGGGACAAAACTTTAATCTTTTTTTTCTTGTTTAGGAAGTCAGCACCGACAAAAGCCAAGCTAATGTCTGTCTATATGATAATGGCCCCTTTAAATGTTGGTTTCACTGTCATAAATGTTTCTTTGCAGTTTACTACAAACTAATGAACAAAAAGTTATACATTAATGCATTTTCTGATGTGATGAATAAATGCAAGTGAAAAAACAAAATGAAAAAATTTTCATTTGAAACCATAGAAAAACTTTCTTATAGGAGATCTTTGGAATTTTTTAGAACGAAAAAAAAAAATTGAAAATCGAAAATTAACACTTACCAATAATCGGTATGGCCCATAATGCCGAAATCATCCATACAATACCAATCATGGCTAATGCACGTTTTTTTGTACGTTTACAAAGATATTTTAATGGTGATCGTATTGACCAATAACGATCCAATGATAATATTAATAGATTGAATATGGATGCAGTTGAAGCAGTATAATCAATGACCAGCCATAATTGACAAACAAACAGTCCTAGTATCCAATCACCAAATATTACATATGTTGAGCTTAACGGCATGACCATAAGACCGACAATAAGATCGGCTATCGCTAGGCTTAATATGAACATATTGGATACCTATTATTAGGTGGAAAAAGAGAAGAAAATTTTTCAGTTTTTTTTTTAGTTTTTACTTTTCATTTCATTTTCTTTTTTGATAAATTATTTGTGCTGAATATGTGTTTTCGAACAAATGGCTATATTTATAAACCTGAAGATGGAATGGGACAAATAAAATTTTTTTTTGTTTGATGAAAATAGAATGGACACTAATAAATCATTGGTAATGAATGGAATTATTGGATGCTGTGTTTCCGGGCAAAATAAACACACACACACACACACACACACACTGGACAACGATATGGCCGTTAATCCTTATAAGTAAATGAATCAAGAATTTTTTTTTGTTTTGTTTTGATTCTTGTTTTCTCACACATTAAGAAAAATAAATCCAATTTGGACAGGATTTATTTATATAATAATAATGATGATGATTCAGTTCTTGATTCTTCATTGCAAATAATTCAATGTTGAAATCTTATAACAATTACTAAACACACACACACACAGGCACCGTGAAAGACGGTCTAAGATCCTTTTCAGAAAAATTTGTCCCGGAAAAGATGTTTTTAGAGACAGTGAGAAAAAAAATTGTTTAGTTTTGTCCGGAAACTTGATTTCAATTAATTTTTGCGTTTTTGGCGTTGGTTTCTAATTGTAAAAGGAAAAGAAAAAAGTTTCTTCTATAATCATTTTGTTGGTTTCTATTCCGAATAGATGGTGAGAAAGATTGAATGCCAGAATTTTACTAATTTTTTTTCCTTCTTTTTCTGCGATGTTTTTCTTTCTGCATGGCCTTGGAGATTTTTAATTACGTTAAAAACTTCCCTATTTGTTAGTGTGTGTTAATGTGTGTGGGTCGATGATGATGGTTGTGTGAAGTAAATCGATACGCTCGATTTGATTCAAATTAAGCTAATTTATTTGATAAGTTTTTTTTTCTTTTTTTTCTGAAATCCTAAAACTATTGATAATGTGATGATGATGATGGAGTTTAATGTGTGTGTGTGTGCGAGTGCAAGTTTGTGTGTGTGTGTGAACAGATTGTGTTTCCGCTATTTTTTTTCTCCGATGATTTACCCTTTTTCATCGATAAATTAGTGTTATCATCATCATTGAAGTATCAACGACAAACACAATGTAAAGAAACGAGAAAAAAAATGGGAGGAAAAAGTAGACAGAGTAATTTGTTGTTGTTGTTGTTGTTATCTTACCGTATGAAGTTTACGTTCCGTTCGTATTGCATGTACAACCATAGCATTACCAAAAAATGTTAACAACGAAAGTGTTAACAGGCAAATACTTAATGGTACCAGGAAAGCTAAATTATTTGTAAAACCATCAAATGATGATGACGATGATTGTAATGAACCATTGGCAGTTGTTGTTGTTGTCAAATTATTTTCCATTCCATGTCCATCATTATTGATTATTAAACCAATTGGACGTACAGATGCAGGTAAAAGGCCCATATCAATTGAATTATAATGATAATTTATCTGATTTTTTTTATATTCATTTGAAAAAATAATAAAAATGATGATGATGATGATGATTTTCGATAAACAATAATCAATAACTGAACATTTGTCCACGATTGTCCATCCATAAACAAAAATTCTTTGCCAATATATGTAAATTTTGCCTGTTTAAATAAATGAAAAAAATTAGAGAAAAAAATCAGAAAAAAAATTTCCGGAAAATTTCTCGAGCAGAAAAAAAATTAACCCAACCAATTCTTTTCGTCGTTTATTTATTTATTTGTTTTCTCTCTCACTCAGTCATTTTTATTCTCAATTTCATTTAGTGAATGAGAAAAAAAACTAGGTTAATTGAGTGCTGACAAAATATACCGGTAGACAATCAATTTTGAAATAGTGAGAAAAAAAACAAGGTAAGTAGCTCAATGTGGTGAAACAAAAAACAAAAACAAAAACAACATTCTGGCACGTTTGTGATGTGAATGTTGGCAACTAAAACCAACCAAACAAAAAAAACAAAACAGAACAGAACAGAACAAATCAACCACCATGAAATGAACATGGCTGAATTGAAGTTGAATTTCAAGAATTTTGTTTTTTGTTTCTTGTTTGTGAATGAATAATTTATTTTTACTTAAGATTTTTTTGATTGTCTGGTAATTAAAATGGACAAAATTTTGTTTTTTGTTTCTTGTTTGTGAATGAATAATTTATTTTTACTTAAGATTTTTTTTTTTGATTGTCTGGTAATTAAAATGGACAGAAATTGTTGGAAAATGCTGTTTGTAACATATAATTTTTTTTTTTCGTGACAATCAAAAACAAAAATAAAAAACTAAAAAACAAATTCAAAATTTGGTAATAGAAAGATAAAAACAGAGAGAAAAAATTTTTGTTTTTCTTTCATTTTATCCGGCCATGATGTTGATGCGAAAAATGAATAAATGAAAAGGAATGGTTGTTGTTGTTGTTGTTGTTTGACATATTTGTCGGATATTTGTGTGCGTAAGTGTTTTCAAATGAAGGCAAAAAAAAAAAAAAAAAATGTCATAGCATTACTGCCATCAGTGGCAATTTCAATATTTGTCTTGGGAATGGCCATATTTTTGTTTCTACATTGTTATATTTCTGTCCGATCAAATTTGGAATTGTTTTTGGCATAAATATATCATTATTTCTTTCATGGTTTTTTTTTCTCATTTGCGGGGCAGAATATTTTTTTTGTTGTTGTTGTTGTTTTGTTTCTGTTTCTTTTCCAATTTTTTTTCTTTGTTTGAAAATATTCCAACTATTTTGAATGAAAAATTGACGGACAAAATTTTTCGTTTTTGTTGTTGTTGTTGTTGTTGTTGTTGTTGACACACACACACACACATTATGTCGGATCATTGTTTTTCTCAATTTGTTTGACTTTTTTTTTATATAGATTTATTCCATGATGGTGGTGGTGGTGGTGATGGAAAATGACCAATTTGAATTTTTTTTGTTTGTTTCCACTCGCTCTCTCTCTCTCATTTTATCCACCAACTTGTACAACACAATTTTCCGCTGCTTTTCATTTTAATATAAATAATTTCCGGTACAATACATACATACGCTACTAGTAAACTTTGTTGTTGTTGTTGTTGTTGACCAAAATGGAAAATGTTAAAACAAAACAAAACAAAAAAAAAAAAAACAAGAAACATTCCTGATGATCAATGATAGCATCACTGAATATGACAACAACAAAATGAAAACAAAAACGATTAGATTTAATATAATTGAATGGAAACTAAATGATAAATTGTCATCATCAACATCATCATCATTTGCTGCTGCTGGTGGTGGTGTGGTGGTGGTGGTGGTAGTTATTTTGCATAAAGAAAAAAAAATTATAATGAAATTTCATTTCATCTCTCGCTTACACACACACACAGACATGGATATATACTTTCTTTGATTTCCATAGTAAATGATGTTGATGATAATTAATTTTAATCTAATTTATCAGATTTTTTTTTTGGCTGTTGTTTCTTTATATTTGCATCATACATGCATTTTTTGTTTCCCAAAATGCAATTTCTTGAATCAAAAAAAAAAAAAAAAAACGACGACGACGACGACGATGACGACACACTAGATTCATTACAACAATAAACAACAAACTGCTGAAATTCAAGGTTTTTTTTCTTTTGAAAAAAAAACAAAATTTTTATTCCCAAATCACTTGTCTGTAGTGGTCTAATATTCCTTGTATCTTGGTCTCTAAAAACTGTTAAAAAACACGTTTATGATACAGCAAAATTTTTTATTTAAAAAAAATGAAAAATTGAGAATCCAGAAAAAAAAATCATCAATTAATCATCTTCTAAAGCACACTGATTGGTTGGTTAGGTTGGTCATGTTTTTTTTTCTCCACTGATCATAATCATCAACCAGAAACAAACACACAAAGCCATAGAATGTTTGCAATGTTTGCATTTTTTATTTTTTTCGCTATTTACTAAAATTGTTTCATTTTTTCTTCATTTTTTCTCATTCCAATAATAATAATTTGTTTGCTGATTATGATGATGTCATCATTGACAATTTATGATTTTTGTTTCTCTGGTTTCCTGAATGTAAAAAAATATTCTAAATCCACATTTCATCAAGATGTATGAAGTGGATTCGTTTGAACTAATGAATGATTGTGATTTTATTGCTGGTTTTTTTTTGCCAAAGTTCCTGTATATGTGACTGGCTACGTTTGGTTTTTTGAGATGGCAAAAAAATAGATAAATAAATAAATGAAACAAAAAGTCAAATTTGATTTGTCATTATTTGTTTGTAGTTGTTGCTTTTTGTTTCCTGTTTCCACAAACAAACAATCAAAATGACAACAACAACAACAACAACAACAATAATGATGAGTCGGCACATATCTGTAGCAACAAATGAACTTTTGAGATAGGCAGAAAATTATTCTATACAATTCTTTCGATATCGATTCTGTGTGTGTGTGTGTGTGTGATCTAAAAAGATTCTTCACGAGATTATAAATGAGACGATTCATTTTTGGTTCATTTAATGCTTGATTTGTTCATTTGTCTCATCATGCTTTTTTCATTTTCTTGATTCAATGTGATTGAGGCTGTAAAGAAAGAAAAAAACTTTTTCGTCACACACTTAGATTCTGATCGAATGATATAAAAATGTGTGTATATCACGATCAAGAATGCATCGAATTAGACAATTTTTTTTGGGGAAGAATAATAAGAATCAGGAAAAAATTTCATCATTCTTCTTCATTTTTCTATATCGACAATGTTTTGTGATTATTGTCTATGTAGTGGGAGAAATTTTTCGTTTTCATTTTATCATAGTCATTTATGTTATGTCATTAATTGAACACACACATTTGGCGATAATTTGAATTTGTTGTCATTATAAGTAAAGTAATATGATCATGATAATGATGGACAGAACAAAGAAAAAAAAACTGGGAAAAGAATCCAGAATATCCAGATTCTATACTTGAATTGTTTTAATTTTCACTTTATACATAATGTAAATTATTATTATTATTATCATCATCATTGTAAATGCAATAACAATGCAGTTGTTGATGCAGCAAAATTTTGTTATATTTGTCACATGAAACAAGATGAAATCAAATTACAATGAGAATGGATAAAATTTGAATTTTTTTTCTCACTTGTTCATGCTACAAAAAAAAAATTCTGGACAAAAATATCAATGGAACAACAACAACAACGCACAGCGGTGGTGATTTTATTGGTTTGTTTGTTTGAAATTTTTTTCTCTCCAAACTAAATAGAACTGTACTTGCAAATCATCATCAGAATAATAAACTGGTATAATTTGATTCGAAGGATTTTCAGCAGAAAAAAATAGAATTAAAAGATTTGCTCATCAATGAAGAAAAAAAAAAATAGAATCACCATCATTAGCCAATAACCGAAAAAAGACAATGGTATGTATGCATTATCGTCACCATAATCATCATCATCATCATCATTTATTCAGTTGCAAAAGAGAATTATTCATTAATTCGGGTCTTTTCTTTTTGTTTTGTTCATCGAAAGAAAATAAAATATCTTCCATCGTCACTATTATTATTATTATTATCATCATCAACGATATTATCTTCGCAAAAAAAAATAAGCCAAACATATTTTCATTTCCTGTAATGATAAGCAGATGATGAGAAATTGTAATGTACGTCTGTCATCATCATCATCATCATCATATTACAAATGTGTGGATTGTAGACAGTCAAAAAAAAAAAAAAAAAATTAGGAAAATTCTTTGTGACACATAATTTTCATCAAAATGAATTATATTCGAGATCAAAAAAAAAAATTTTTTTTTTTAATTCATTTGAAATTCCATGTCTATGGTTCTGGTTCGTTTGTTTGCTCAGTGTTGCCCAATCCACAGATAAACAAAAAAAAATACGAGTGTTGATTGGTAATTTGTTATTACCGAGTAAAGAGAAAAAAAACTATGGTTCAAAAAACCGACAGAAAAATTTGAACCAAATAATTAGCATTGAAAAGGGCACACAGTAGAAAATCAATTAAATAAACTGGTAAAAAAACAAAAAAAAGTTTATTTGCACAGTCAAACAACAACAACAACAACAATATCCATGTTGAAACTTGAACTAATCAATCTTTCTATATGGCTGGACATTTCGTTTTTTTTTCGTTTTTTTTGGTCAGTTTCATAAATAGTGTTCAAGCTAATCTAATATATTTAGGCCATATGCAAATGTTGTCGGTTTTTTTTTCACTTGGTAACTCTTGAATTGAATGGCTGTTGTTTGCCACTATTTATCGCCGGATATTTATTTTATTTTTTTTTTTTTTTTGTTGCGGGGCCAAAATTGATCACCTATCGGGATGATCGAATGAAAATTTTTGTTAATATTGAAAGATAATAATAATATGACTTGAAAAAGTTGTTCTTGGTTCTACCATTGTACGTCACTATAGTGACGGTTATTTATTTTATTTTTTTTCATATTTGAAAACATTTCCGTTATGAAATGACGAAGATGATGATGATGATGATGATGAAAAAAGATTTTTTCGTAATTTTTTTTCTTGGTTGCAAACCGGAATAAAAAATATGTTTTTTTTTCTTGAAAATGTATCTGTGTTATTTTTTGCCCTCTCTTGACAATGTCTTCCGGTTTACCATGAATAACATCATCAGTATAATCATCATCATAATCAAAATGGCTCACAAGAGAACCATTATGATTTCAAACAAAAGTGAGAGAGAGAAATTGTATCAAAACATAACCAATTTATTTTTTTTTTTTTTTTTTTTTGATTAAAAAAATATAGTGTTGTTGGCCTATAAAGTATGATTTTTCGGTTATTTAATGTTTGTTTGTGTGTGTGTGTGTGTGTGTGATGGCAACAACAAAAACAATAACAACAAAAAAACAGCCTTAAAAATGGTTTTCATATGTAAATTAGTATAGCATGATGATGATGGTGGTGTAGTAACAAAAAAAAAATAATGGCCAAGATCATCATCATTATCGTGAGATTTAAATTTTCATTTCATTTTTATTCTGTGTGTGTGGCTGGGTTTTTTTTCTGTTTATCGATACTTTTTTTTCATTCAAGAATATTGAAAACTGGAAAAAAAAAAAATTCCAGAAATGTATCGATCTGAAGCGATTTTTTTTTTGTTTTGATTCCATAACAATGGATTGTTATATATATTGTAAAAGTGAATGAAAATTCCAGAAAAACCAACGAACAAAAAAAAATTTTCATACGTAATTGAATAATGGCAAATTATATTCATAGTGCAAGAAGTTCAAAGACAATTTATTATTTTTTTCATTAAAATCAGTATTGATTGATTTTGTCTTTTGTTTTGTTTTTTTTTTCTTCATTATTACCAAATCATCATAAAACGCTTACGGGTATTTTTTTCCCCACGATGACGATACAATTGATTGATTGATTGCCGACTATTCTCGAAAATAATTTTTTTTTTTTTTTTGGGTTTTGTCGTTCAACCAAATTGCGTGTGCTTGTTTAAAACAATGAATAATAATGATGATATAATGGAAAAAAATATCTATTTTTGGGCGAAATTATTTCCAAGAATGTTTTTCTCATTTTCTTGGAAATTTCTCATTTTTTTTCTCTTTTTTCTGAAAAACATTATTAACTTGTGATGGCAGTCTTTCAAGGTGTGTGTGGGTGTGCATGTTTGTTCGAAAGTGAAAAATAATTGAAAAAAAATCATATATTTAACCTGGAGCTAAATTCAGATAAGCAAAATTCTTCACCGATAGATGAATGATGATGATACATTAAATTATTTCTTCTTTGACGTGCACAGAAATCAAAAAAAAAAAATTCTTTTCAAATTCTCGGTATTCTTAATTTGAGAAAAGTGATTCTCAGCTTTTTATTCTTTGGAAAATAGAATCAGGGTACTTGAAATAATTTATTCCAGGTGTAGTGTGGTCATTTTTTTGAAAAAAAACCAAATTGATATCATTCACAGACAGCCAAATCTTTTGAATCAGAATTTAAATTATGCACAGACAAAACAGATTTAAATTTTGTGGTTATCACTTTTTTCCACCGGAAACCAGACGAAAAAAACTGATGAAAAATTTATAAACTTTGCTGAAATTTCAAAAAAAAAAAAAAAAAATTCAATTTGTTTCATTCTACATTGAAATTTTCATTTTATTCGATTTGCTTTGTTGGTTTATTGGCATTCATTTTACATTCACATGATAATACGAAAAGAATAACATGTGTCCATCTCTCTCTCTCTCTCGCTGAATAAAAATTCTGCGAATTTAAATAAAAAATTTTGTTTCTAAAAATGAAATTCTTATTGGCAACCAAACAAAAATGATGTATAAACAACGTGCTCCGTCTGTGTGTGTGTGCGGATGGTTTTTGCTTTGTTTATCATTGTTATTTGTTTTTTTTCTTGCAATTTCATCATTTGTTCTCTCTCTGTGTATGTGTGTGTGTGTGTGTGTGTGTGTGCGTGCATAAAATGTTTGCCATTATGAATTTTTTTTTCACAATTTTTTTTACAATGAATCAAAATGAATAATTCAATGTGTTTTATGTTCAGAAGAAATAAAAAATCAGAAAAAAAATTCACATCCACACCCACACCCACATTCACACACACACACACACACACACACACATGCTGAATAAAAATCAAAAATGTTAACGGATTATAGTAGACCAAAGAGAAAAAAATTTTTAAATAAAATTTTTTTGGTCAATTATTTGTCTCGGCCTTACGAGTAATAAACACACACACACACACACACACAGCTGGTCAGTTACCAGAAAAAAAAGAAAAAATTGCGGCAATTACATTTTTTATGAATATTTTATGCAATAAACTGAAAAAAATTACTCGAATGCCCGGTTTGGATTTTGAGTTGTTTTTTTTTGGTGCGCACAATTTTTCTTCTCATTGACGTCATTATCGACAAACAAAGAAGAAAAATTTTTTTGTTGTTATTGTAACATGACAACAATGTTACAAATTTTTATTTTCCACCTTGTTCGTTTTTTTATATTTCATGTTTGGACACATTAAGAGAGAGAGAGAGAGAGAGAGAGAAAAAAACATGGTCAATGTCAAATATGGACGAAAACATGGCAAATGCTAATTATCGTGAATGAGTGAGAATGAGAGAGAGAAAAGATCAGTAGATCACTAGATACTCGTAGTACTAATAATCAGAACATTATCCAATTCAATATTCATCATGATCTTGATCATCATTCACGGGTCAAATATAAATTAATCATAATTATTATTATTATTATCAACAATCAAACAAATGCTACTACTGATTATTATCAAGACAAACACACACACACACACACAAGAAAAAGAAAGACAAATTTTGCTATGTCCGGTCCACAAATAGTGAACCAGTGAACCAAAAAAAACACACAAGTCAACATTCATTAATGGATAATGAATCTCAACACGTCAACAGACGAAAATTACTGGACAAAACAACAATGGTAGTAGCAAAAAAAAAAAAAAAAAACGTGAAAAATCAAATATTCAGACTAACAAACAAAAAAACAAAATGAAAAAATATGAAACTTTTTTCTGTTTGTTTCTCATGGTTGTGTTCATATTTTCGTTTCACTGTCACAACAACAACAACAACAACAACAACGACAACGACAGCAAAAATCATTTTGTGTCCGATATATTTAGAGAATAGAAAGAAAAAAAAACAAAGAAACAAAAAAAAAATCTTTAGATCTTTTGACATTGTCATTTTTCATCGTTCAAAGTGGATTTTATTTGAAAGTAGTGGTGAAAAAAAAGTTTTGTATTGTATTGTCATCTTTATCATCAACATAAACATTGTTGTTGTTTTGATCCTTAGCCACTGGTAAATCAAGAAAAAAAAATTGAGTGAAAAAAACAAAAATTTTGAGATTCTGCAAACTTTCTTTTTTTTTTTTTTACTATTATTATTCCACTCCACTCAAAATGAAATGATCAACAAATTGGACAATTTTATTCTAGATATATAAGTAGTTGTTATTTTCAAATTCTTGTTGACATTATTGGTGAATGTCAAATTTTGAAAAAAAAAAAAAAAAAAATGTCCGTTGGTCATTTTCCCAAGTCCCATAGATTTTTGTATTTCAATGTAAAAAATTGCCACTACTTATAATTGGGTGCTAATTGTTTTTTTTTTTTTTTTGCTTTGTTCATTTATTTCATTCGTAATTAATTTACTTTCAAACCAAAATAAAGAAAATTGGAAAAAAAATTCCGTGATGATCATTTTTTTGAAGCTAAAAATCAAAATGAAAAGAATTTCATGGAAAAATGAAAAATTCCATTTTCAATTCCGTACACCAATCATTTGGTGTTGGCGTCAATTTCGATTAATTTTATTTTTTTTCCCCTGTTCATCGTCATCATCATATGGAATCGGAATCAAAATGAAGAAGCAGCTTCAAGCAAAATAAAAGACGAAAATAAAACAACAAAAACAACGAAAAAAAGGTTGACAAATTCAAATATGAAAAATGACAAATAAAATTGATGATGAATAAAAAAGAAAAACACCAAAAAAAAACAACCGCAGATAAAAACCTAATGAAATTTGGAATTTTTTCAGAATTTTTTTCCCCAACTGTTTTCTCCACTCAACTAGGTGGAAATGATTAACCAACTCGACTAAATGACATAAAACTAAACGTCATCATCATCGATGATATCAACAACCATATTCATAATAATGACACTAGAGATGACAAATAAAATTGATGATGAATAAAAAGAAAAACACCAAAAAAAAAAAAAAACAACCGCAGATAAAAACCTAAAAAAAACTAGGTGGAAATGATTAACCAACACATAAAACTAAACGTCATCATCATCGATGATATCAACAACCATATTCATAATAATGACACTAGAGACAAAAAATTATGTAACCACTAGACCAGTAAATAAAAAAAAATTACAACAATATGTGATCAGAATTTGAAATTTGAAATTTTTTTTTTCGTTTTGGTTCACTCAAAAACACACATATATATATATATCGTTTTCATTATGGGTTCATTTCGGAATTATATTAGACAGAATTTTTATATGGGCATAGAAATTATGATATACTTTCATCGGTGCATTCAATAATTACGATGGTGGTGGTGGTTGTGTTGACAGAAATTTTTTTTTTGTCATATCGTCTGTATTTGAAGCAAGCAGGAGAGGGAAAGAGAGAGAGAGAGAGAGAAATCGTCTTTCATTCGAGTACATATCAAGCAAAAGAAGAAATCGAATTATTCGATTTTCGATTATTGAAAATGAAATGAAAATTTAATTCATATTCGTTTACCTTTATTTTTATCGTTTGATTAATCAAATTTTTATGATGATGGTGATGATGATGAAATTTTTCATTTTGCACAAAAAATTTTTTTTTTTTTTTTTGGATAATTTCTGTTATATTGTTGCTGAGGTTTTGATGTATTGATTATGTTGGATAAACTTTTTTTTCCACTGTTTTGGTTTTTGTTTGCATTAAAAATTTTGATTTTGCACTTGAACAAAAATTCTTGGAAATCAATAATGCTGAATGACCGGATGTTGTTGTTGTTATGTCATCGGATGATCAATTATATTATTGATATGTGCATAAATATCAATATATAGTTTTATCAAATTAGTAGTATTCAAGTGTTTTTTAGTTTCAATTGATTCATAGGAAATTGAAAAAAAAAGACAAAGATCAAAGATTATCACACCATTTACAGGGAAACAAACAGACAGTGGAGAATGTTGATTTTGATTTTGATTTTTTTGCTGAAATAAACAAAATTTCATCAGAAGAAGAACAAAAATCAAACAGATTTTATTTTTGCCATGATGATGATGATGATCAACAACAATAGTGTGACACACACACACACACACAATGAATAATCGAGCATATGAAATCGATCATGATCATGACCCATGAATTCATGCACACACACACACACTAAACACAATAAGAGAAAAATTTTTGATAACAAAAAAATCGAAAAAAATCAATCATCACATCAATCAAACATGTGTGTGTGTGTGTGTGTGTGTGTGTGTGAGTGTTGGCGTTGGTGTTGGTGTTTGGTGGAAATATAAAAAAAATGAAAAAAGGACTGAAAAATATTTCATTGATACGACGATGATGATGATGATAGAAAATTTATTTTGGATGAATGAATGAAATGAAATGAAATGGATGCGTTTTTTTTCTGTTGTCCAGTTTTTTTCCACTATGTCGAACGTCGATAAATGTCTAATATGTTGTGATTTTCTTTTTCCGTTGGCTAATGATAAACTAGCTAAGAAACAACAATGATGACGATGAAATTCATTTCATTTAAATGAATTTGACAGAATCCAAACACACACACACACACACAAATACACAAAAAAAGCCCAATTGAATATACTGCTATCGATTCGGTTCTGCAAGTCGACTTGCTGGTTGTTGTACACTGTATGTGTGTGTGTGTGTGTGTGTATGGCGCCAGAACTGGTGTCATTCAAAACCCAAACAAAAAAAAAGGAATAGAAAGTAGAGGAAAAAAATCTAAATGGTGATGGTGGTGGTGGAACGTAATTTTTTCGGGGAAATTTTCGAAAAAAAAATCATCGAGTAGCAGAAGCATTCCAGTTGAATTGAATGTCTACATTTCTATATAATACCTGTTTGTGTGTGTGTGTTTGTGTTTAATAAAAAACAAAAGTAACAATATACTTGTAACTTGGATTATTTTTCGAATCATTCTGATATTTATCAATCTATTATTTCGGGTGTTTTTGTTGTTGTTGTTGTTGTTGCAAGGACTTCTCATTGATGACGTTAAAAAATAAGGTTAATTTCGATAATTGTAAGTTAATTTTAATCAATTTTCTAAACTTTAGCCATTAGAAATTTATTTTCACCATCATCATCATCATCAAATGGGATGATAACAAAGTTTTCATATTGTAATTTCAATTAATTTTCATCATTTGTTGTTTGATTGGTTAAAATTAATTTCCGGATGTTTATTCCGAATGTTTTTTCCTCTCTCTCTCTTTCTTGGTTTTATTTAATCACATTCTTCAAGGATGCAAATTTTTTTTTCGGGGAATTTTTCGTTTCCATTAAGGAAATTCCCCTGGAAAAAAAATTATTGTGAATTGCAAATTATCATTTTTTTTTCATCACTGTTTTCCTGTGTTGATGTGAAACTTGAATATTTTCATTTTAATCTTTATTCATGTTGTCTATCGATGTTGATGATGATAATAATATTTATTTTTTTTTTGAAGCACAACCCTCAGGGTTGTGATGTTTGTCATCAGTGGTGGAAAAAAAAATTTGTTTTTAGATTACAATCATCTTGACAACACGAGATGAGATAAAAAAAAACAACATCATAACATAACATGACAAAATCCATTTATCAAAATGATAATGTTCATCGAGCGAAAAGAATTCGAGATTCTTAATAGAATTTGGTTGTGAAAAAAACACATTTTTCTCCGTTTTCCTTTTTTTTTGGTTCGAAATCCAATTCAAGTTCATTTTGGTGGGCAAAAAAAAACTTTTTCGGATTAATATGTTGTTGTTGTTGTTGTTGTTGTATATGCACGTAAAATAAAAATTGAAAATTTGGTGGCGCTGTCCAAACAATCATAAACGAATCTATATATCGAAAAATGAAATTTTGTGCAACAAAAAATAAATAAATACAAATTTTCGTTTGTCGAATGAATTGAAGCGTAATCATGATGATAAAAATGGATGATAAAAGAAGTAGTGGCAGCAAAAAGAAAAAGTTAAAATGCTTGTGTTTTTTGTTGAAAAAAAAACTGAAAAACAAAATGAAGAAAAAAACATTTTCATTTTCATTTTTTTCTCCGAATAAAACGAATGATAAATTGGAATTTTTTTTGTGTTTCCAATTGAATGTTTTCAAATGTAAATTACACTAACAACAACAACAACAACAGAAAGAAAGGAAAAAATTTACAATTGGCCAAACATAATGATATTTGAAATTAATTAGTATTCATTTTTTTAAACTAAACTAAAAAAAAAATCCAGTATCAAATCATCACTATGGAAAAATGATGATGATGATGATGATTAATTCCACACACGAATTGCTTAAATTCAAGTGCATGAGTGGAGGAAAATAAAAAATTCTATTGAAATAAATATTCATTCACAACCAGAATCAGAATCGCACATTTAACTACATCATTAAAATGTGCTGCTGCTGTTAAGAATCTTTTTTTTTTCATTGCTTGTCTTGCCATAACATCTTTGTTGCTATCGATGATATCAACGATGAACATATGAACATACACCCTGAGGAAAATATTGTAATGTAAATATTGCAGGCAAAAAAAATGGTCATTGATGATCATGAATTTAAATATCAAAAAAAAAAAAAAAAAATACGAGAAACAAGATTCTTTAAAATATCGATAATGCAATATTCACACATCAAGATTTCCATATTTAGATTCTTCTTCATGTTTGTTTTTTTTCTGTAAACAAAATGAAATTTTTCAAACATAAAACTTTATTTTTGTCTTTTTTTTTTGTCTGACAAGCAAATAAGTGTATATGGGATCAAAGATTTTCCCCATTATCAATGAATGAATGGATACACAAGAAAATTTGTTTGAATTCAAATTTTTTTTTCATACAAATCAAATATCTGATTCATCTGTCTGTTTGTTTAGTTTTTATTTGTTTGATTTGGATCAAAATTTGTCGGATTTTCAGCTTTAATTTTTTTTTTATTGATTTTCAAATTCCAATCATTTAGATATGATATAAAACAAACAAAAATTGGTGATATTTCAGTGAATCAAAACACGGGGAAAAAAATGTCAAATCAATCAATGATTAGAATGATTGGATTTTGCCAAAAAAAAATTGTCATTGATTTTAAATTTTTTTGCTATATAAATTAGAAAACATTTTCTTTGCTGCAGTAGATGTGTTTCTCATCAATAAATCAATCAATCAAATAATCGTTATTAGATATCGATGTGAAAATATGAATGACAATCCATCCACAACGACTTCATTGACATCGAAATTACAATCATTGGATAGTAAAAAATCTGCCGATTTTCTATTGGATCAATTGTTGAAACCGAAAAATCCACAGGACACGGATCGTTTTTATTCATCATGGGCAGCTAATTATGAAAAGGTGAGTGGTAAATTTTTTTTTGTGTGTCTAGAAAACTACAATATTGTGCGTGTCAGTGCTGTAAAATAAAAATCATGCTAATTAACAAATGAATCCGTTTCTATCATTGGATTGTTTCCATTTGTTTTCTCTCTGACCACCACCACCACCATCATCATCATCATGAATCATCTCTTGATTAGCAAAGTTCACCAAATGAATCGACAAACAAACAGAAAATATGACGATTTGATTAAAACAACAGAAAAAAAAGAAAGTCATAATCAAGAATAACATAAACAATTCTAAAAAAAAAAAAAAAAAAAAATTCACTGGACTCATTTGGCCAGAAAAAGAAATTGATTATGTTCATTCGTTCATGGATAGATGAATAGAATAAACACAATTGCTTATCCGCTATTTCTAATTCTAATTTTCTAGAATTCTATACACACACACACGAAATTGGAAAAAAGAAATTCCGTCGTACGTGTTGTATGTGTTTTGATCAACAAACAAACAACAGCAATAATCATCAGTAATGATGATCCATTCATTTATTCAGTATATGTGTGTGTGTGTGGAAGTTTTTTTTTCTCATGGTTAATTATGATGTAAACAATTTATTTACTATTTAAAATACGAAAACAATAATGGAATGAAATGTTAGTGAAAAAACAAAAAGAGAGAAAAAAACACAATCCTTTACCATATGATGATGATGATAATGAACATAGTGATCGTCATCATCAATTAGATGATGTCGATATGCGGTATCGAGAAAATATGATTTTTTTTTGCAACACTACCACCGATTCAATGATAATTATGATTAGATATCATCTTTTGATTTAAAAAAAAACAAAAGAAAAAACATTGAATGATACAATGATCATGTGTATTGATGATGATCATCATATAAAAGGATGTGAACGAGAGAGAACCAACAAGAAAAAAAAGAATGATTTAAGCCAATTTCATTTAGATTTACAATTGTAAATGTATTTTTCTGGTTTGCCCAAGATACACAAACACACACGCACACACACACAGAGGCATTTGATAATCATTATTTTTCCATCATCAATAAATGAATCTCGATCATGGATCACAAACATTACATTTACTTTCATATTTTTAATGATAATGTTGATCCAAGTTTGATATATATCCATCTAAGCTAAAAAGCCACATAAATCATAATCATTCATGATGATGATGAAAAAATAACGGAGATTATAAAGGTCATCTATATGAATTTATTTTTTTCCTTTTTCCATCATCACTTTCTTTTTTTCTCTCCTGTTTTTTTTTCTGGCTTGAAACACAATCAACATTTTTTTCTTTTTCATTCTGATCCTTTCATCATCATCATCATTATCGACATGATGATGATGGTGATGATTATCATTTGATTGAAATGTGACCACTACAATCAGCCAACAAGAACAAACTAGCAACAATAACAACAACATTAACAAACTTGAAGGGCATTTTTTTCTGTTCATAGTAAGAGAAAAATAAATGGAAATAATGGAAAAAGATTGGCAAACAAAAAAAAAAAAAAAATAAATACATATCCTCCTCACACAAACATACAAAAAAAAAAATAATCAATTCATCAATATCCTGTACATATTGTGTGTGTGTGTGTACATGTTTTTTTCTCTTTCTCTCACTTTCATAACCATATCCATAACGATATTGAAGTTTCTCAATGGAAAATCATATTAATACACACACACACAAAAAAAAACATTGAGAGAAAAACTTTTTTTTTCCTTTTTACATTTCAAATAAACGATATTTGTATGTGTGTGTGTGTGTGTTTGCATTGATTGCATGATCATCATCAAAACAGAATAAATAGTTGTCGTTGGTTAGTTTTATCGATTTTTTTTTCTCTCTTTACAAACAAAATTTTACACACACACACACACAATCATATCAATGGAAATCGACAAGTGGTTGTTATTATTGTAATAAATGATGATGATGATTATGATTAAATTGTAGGCGTTTTTTTTTCATCATTTTACACATGTCAATTGTGTGTGTGTTTGTGTTTGTGAGTGTGTTAAAATTTTCATTTTGATGATACATTTTTTTTTGTATCGTCGTTATTTCCAATCATTTGAAAATCAAATCGATTGATGATTATTTGTTCAATTTGTTTATGACAATGTGTTTTCTATATTGGTGGGAAAAATAACCAAAAAAAACCACAACAACAACAGCAAAAATTACGGCGTAGTAGAAAATCAAAAAAAAAACAACTTCACATTCAACTAATTTAATTTTTCATTCAGTTTATGATAATATGAAAAAAAAAATTTTTTTTTTCACGAATGAATGAAAATGTCAACGCCATTTCGACAATATCGCATTAAAGCTATTTGCATTAATCTTATTAATAATATTTTCATTGTTATTGTTTGATACGGATTCCTTCATACGCCGAAATCAATTTGATCTCAAATACACCATTCAAATCGAATCAAATCAATCATACAGGATATTAAAGAAATGGAATACAATGGTGGTTCGATAGCAGCGAAATATTTCTTACAAATGAATTTTGAAAAAGATTCAAAAATATTAGATATTGGTGCCGGTACTGGAATTATTGGTGAAATTCTTCAACACAATGGCTATGAAAATATTGATGCACTTGATAGTAATGAAGAAATGTTGACGATATTGAAGCAGAAAAATTGTTATAAGAATGTAATCAAATCAATAGTGACGCCCGAAACAAAGCTACCGATCAATGATCGTCAATACGATATAATAATAATGGCTGGTGTATTCTGTCCTGGTCATATTGATTATCGTTCATTGGCACAAATTATTCGCATCACTAAATCAGGTATTTTTGTTTTATTCTGTTTTGTTCTGTTTTTGTTTTTGTTCTTGCTTTGTTTTTCTAGCATAATCAGTATATTGAAATATATGGATCTTAACCAACAAACTACCAAATATACTAGTCTATAGAATACAAAAAAAAATGGAATTGTTCGAAAGATTTGATTGTTTAATACAAATAGAAAAAAAAACAGAATAATAATAATTGATAAATGAATTGATTTTCTAGTTAGTTATATTTATCATTCAACCGTATGAAATTTTTTTTTCTTCTTCTTCACTTTCTATTTTTCTATTTATATTTTAGGTGGATTTATTTGCTGGTCGATGGGAAATCCAAAAATCTATGCCGATCGTGATGAACTTTATAATGATGGTAATTTTGAACGTTATATAGCATTATTATGCGACAAAATGAAATGGCTTTCAGTATTGGGCTATCCAATTGTAGTGGAAAATTTTGTTAAAAATCTACCTGGATTTTTCTATGCAATGCAAGTTGTATGATATCAACAACAACAACAAAAATATATTTGAAAATTTTTATTTTTGAATATATTTTAAACATATATTTTTCTCGAAACATGTGTCGACATCTTTTATCAGAAAAACAAAACAATTTAAAGTTTTCATTTGAAATCCAAAACAAAGATGGCGTTACAAGTGCAATTTTTTCAAATTTTTTTATTTTTCAATCAATCATAATATATTAATCAAATTCTAATTATCATATTTCCATTTGTAATATTCATTTTAAATTGAGAACAAAATGGATATATATTCATAAATAAATGTACAAAATAATGCAGAAAAAAATACAATAAATTGAAATAAAATAATCAAATAACAATGTGATGAATTCGCGTAAATAGAATTAAAATAAATGGAAATGGATGAACATCATCATAATAATAATTGAAAATGAAACGAAATAAAATGTTATCTGTTTATATAGAACACATAAATCATGTATGTATATATATATGCTAAATAACAACGAAAGAACATCATCATTTGTTGTCGACGACGACATCGTAGTCGTTGTAGTAGTCGCATACACACAATTGTGATCTAATTTTCATTATATATTCATCCACATCAACAGTTGTTATAATTGATGAATTATGATTACGGCAATGACTACGATGATCATGATGATGATGATGATGATGGCCATTTATCTTGAATGTTTGTGTTTCTGGATGATGCAAAGCAAAATTTCGTTTGTATAAATATTGGATTGAATGAAAAAAAAACAATTCATTCATAGACAAATATAGAGAATATGTATGCATATGATATAACATCACAGTCGAATAATAATAATGATGATGATGATGATGAGATGTATGAAGAAGGAAAAAAAACAATTCATCGAAATCCATCCATCTATCCATCTGCATTATGCTACACTTAATGTTGTTGTACGACTTTCGGATGGAAAAAAATGTGATGATAAATCCGAATTGAATGTAAAACTATCCTGATCCGGAAGGCACAATTGTTGTTGTTGCTGATTTTGATGATTTTGTTTTTATTTTGTAAACTTTGTAGATAATGCTATTTGTGAATGGAAAAAAAATTTAAAAATCAATCATTTGTTGATGTCTTTTAAAAGCAATCATATTAACCTGTGAAATAACATCTCCATGTGCTGTTCGTACTTGATAAAGATAACGATATTTACGATGACGTTGTTCAAGACGTTGTTCATCCAGATTCAACGAATTTTTCGTTAATGATCGATCATTTTGTTGTGATCGTACACTATTCGTTGATTGATGATATAATTTAGCCGATTTATTCGGATATGAATAATGATGATAATGATTGAGGCTACGAATACTTTCTCTTGAATTATTCAGAAGCGATGGTGGTGTACCACGGCCACTTGTATTATCAACCATACCATAGCCACCATTACCATATTTATAATGACGTGCTGTACAACAGCTTTGAATGATCATACCAAACAGTGTTAATATTGGCCATAATAACAATATGATAAACGAACCAGGACATAATTTTTGTGAACGTTTTATACCGGTCAATAGTCCGTACCAATCATTTGTTGGATTTATCGATGAATGAATGAAATCACCACCATTATTATTATTGACATCGATTGCAATACTGCTACTATTGTTACTACTACCACTATTGCTACTTAAATGATCCAAAAACCAATGTATCACTTTGAAATCTTCAAGAAAATAATCGATACATAATAATGTCAATGCACTTCCGTACATACTTGATGCCATTATGGTACCACCTGAATTTTTTGTTTTTCAAAAAATACAATAAAAAAACAACAACAATAATAATATTAGTATATAGTATATCAACAATTGAATCAACGACAAAAAAACTATTCAATTCAATTCGATATGGAAAAAAAGATGAACAATTGTGATTGTGATCGATCGATCGATCGGTTGATTGATCTGATCAAAGATGTATAAACACACACACACACACACACACGCATATACAATTACACAATTACATTCAATGTAATGTAGTGGATGACAAAACTGAATTTTAAATGAACAATAATATTTCTGGTCTGATGGACATTCATTCATTCATCATCTACAATAACAATAACAATAAATTGGTCCAAATGGCTAATCAACAAGCAAACAACAATTGTATCAATTGACAAATTGGTAGATGGATAAATTTAGTTTACATACAAGTCAATGTTCGATAATGACCAAAATGAAAACAAAACTCATCAATATAAATCTTTCTGTTGTTAAATAAACTAATATATAAACTATATGCATTAACAAAGGTGATAGAGTAAACTAAAAAAAAATTATATGTGACCAATAACATGGTTGTGTGTGTGTGTGTGTGTGTTTGTACATTATAATTAATTGAAATTGACAATATACTAGCCACAACAATAAAAAAAAAAAATAGAAACTGTCACACACACACACACACAAAACACAATACAATGGAGGCTACTACCAAAATATCCAAATCTAAATTTAAAAAATGAAAATTTCAAAAAAAAAATTACAGAGAAAAAAATATGGTGGACAACAACAACAGCAGCAACAAAAAAAATGTGTGACCAACACCACTTTTTCAAACTAATTTATTTTTCTCGATTAAAAAAAAACTGAAATCAAAAGACCTGTTCCAAGTGAAATCTAACTAGAGAAACCAATTTCTATGTCCGGTGTCCCGGTTTGATTGATATTGGGAAACACAAACAAACTATATAAAAAAAATTGGGACATCTCCATATCAATATTTATTAATAAAAAAAAGATGAAAAACTTACCTTTAGAAAAATAAACAGTTGTTAATGAGCCAACTAAACTTAATGCAACAAAAAATATCAATAATGTTAATGATGACAATGGTGCTTGTAATGGAATATAATATGGTCGTAATAGATAAATCACAATCAATAAACCAATGGCTAACATAAGGCCAAAATTTATGCCAATAATAAAAAGACCAAAATAGGCGACTAGCATTGTAATTGAACCAATAATCAATCCGGCAAACAATGCGGCAATCAGATTACCATGTTGTGGAATCAATACTGGTATAGTGATCGATATATTTTCCGCCGTACAGATTGTATGAAATAATATGGCACCAAGTAAGAAACCAACGAAAAAAACTAAATGCGCGAAAACAACGATAACCATATGTGAAATAAACAATGCCCAATACCAACAGACTGGAACAAAGCATCGATGTAATTAATTCATAATCATCAGGTGAATGAAAACATTGTGAATCACCGGCAAATGAAAATATGTTATTCATCAGTGTATCATCGGTTTGAATATTTTCCACTGAAATATCAGTGGTTGACGTATGAAAAAAATTTGGTCGTTGATATTCATCAATGGTCAAATTCGATGCTATCGTCGTTGTCGTTGTTGGAGATGTTAAAAAAATATTTTCTATTGAAGATGATTGACTTTTAAAAACATCATCATCATTACCATTATCTTGATTATGATGATTTTGGTGATCAACATTGACAAAAGTATCTATAGTGGTAGTGGTGGAATCTAAATTTGGTCGAATACCATGTGATGTTCTTATCATTTTATCTATGTCAAATAATTTCTGTATCGGTGTCATTGTTGTTGTTGTTGTTGTTGTAGTTGTTGTTGATAATGATCGATGATTATCACCACCACCACCACCACCATCATTATCACGATGATTATGATTAATCAAACGATTTATATCATCAACCAAATTATTACGTGAATTATAACGAGGTATTATTGTTGGCATTATTGTTGCAATCGATGATGATGATGATGATGTGGAATTTAAATTAATTGATGATGTCAAATTTTCAAACGTTATTTGTGAATCGTCAAAATCGTTTAAAATAGTTTTTTCTGCCGTTGTATTGAACAATATCATTTCATCATCATAATCTAAATTATTATTATTACCAAAACCACTGGATGCTAGATTGAAATAATCACCAAAATCTTCATCATCATCATTATTATTTTCGGCTGATGATCCATGATCATTTGATGTTATTGTTGGAAATAATAAATCCTTCATGTATTGAAAAAGATTGTTGATTTGATCACTGAATGGCGATGTTTTGGAATCACTAGCAGTAGCAAAAGCATTAGCTGTTTGATTAATACTCAATTCATCGTTCAAAACGGTAATTGATGAATGAATCGATTGTTGTTGATCAGTGTTGGCAGTTTTTTGAAAATTTTGATTATTGATTATTGATTCAATTGAAGAATTTAATAATTTTGTTGTTGATTTATTAGCCATAGGATCGATATTGAAAAAATGGTCAAGTTTTTATTATCGGTGGTTGGATAATGAAATTTACCTAAAAAAGTAAAACGTAAACAAAAATTAAAAATACTTAATCAACAACAACAATAACAACAACAGGTCATTTGAAAAGTTTGGCCATTCCAAATGGAACGAAATATTTCAGTGAATATAAAGCCGTGGGAATATTAAACACACACACACACACATAGACAGAAATTCAAAATTGGATCTCACTCATCATGTGGGGATTAGATTGGATTGGGCGTTCATGTGTAAGACTTGGACTTTAAGTGTTTTTTTTTCTCTGGAACATACACAGACACACGTACAAACGAAAATTATGTAGGTGTTAAAAACTAATTTCTCATTCACAGAAAAAAAAACACTCTAGAAAGAAAGAAAGAAAAGAAAAGAAAATCAGTAAATGTGATATTTTCATAATAAATTTACATTATCACTCATTGTTCAATAATGAATTGAAATTTTATTCTCAAAAAAAAAAAAAAACGATCAATTTGGAGTGATTACAAAAAAAGTGCAAGTGTCTGTGTCTCTGAAACACGCACGCATTCAAATTGAAATTATTCATTATTCATTATTCGTGTTTTTTTTGAAATTTGAACAAAAAAAAAAAAATTAATCATCAACAATTGAAAGTTGTTGAGTGCGTGCGTCTGTGCGGCGTTTTCACCAGAAAATAAACAATAAATAACAAAATTCACAATAGAATCTTGTCTTTGGAATGAATGAATGAATGAATGAAAAAAAATGCAAATTTCAAATTGTTTCGATTTGAATGGGAAAATTGAATTTTTTTTCCTAAAAAAAAAACTTTTCCATTGTCATATTAGTCGATATAACATATGATGATTGGTTTTGTTTTTTTTTTCTACTAAAATTTCTGGTTACTGGCTACTGGCTACATAAAAAACACAACACATAGAAAAGACAAAAGAAACAGTAATTAACCTTGAAAATTTTGCTTTGAAACCTGAAATTATTTGAATGTTCATTATGGAACAAATTGATAATCATCAAATGATGATGATGATGATGATGATAATCACTGAAAGGTTGCAAGGTGAAGGTTTTACCCTTTTTTGACATTCATTCAGTTGATGATCAATGTTGAATCAGATTGATTGGTATAATAATTTGCATTAATTGGTGAAAAAAAACAAACCTGGAAAAGCAAATTGATTCATCATTTTAGTCATTTTGAATAATGAGCAAGTGAACACAATAACAATTAACACAGAATGAAAAAAAAATGTCACGGATCAATTGACGATGATGATGATGATTAGGAATGAATCGCACACACACACACAAAAAAATTTAAACCCGAGTAAACAAATATGAAAAATCAATGATGATTCACAAGCAAAAGACAAAATGAATGAGAAATTCGATTAATGATTGAGGAAAACAACGAAAAAACCAATCGAGAAAAAAATGAAAATTTTTTCTCAACAATAGAAAAAACAAAACAAAACGACTTGTCCATGAAAAATTGAATGAAAATTTTCTATTTATTCGACAGTTATATATCATCATCATCATCATCATCGAATGATGAACGACAACGACAATAAAACGACACATATACAAAATCATAAACACAGATACACACACACACACTTGAATAAAACGAGAAACGATAATATAATGGCAACGTTTCAACGTAGATTTAATACGTTAACCAATCGTTTTTTTTCTGAATTATGATGATTATCATCAAAAATCGAAAAAAAAAAAAACAAAATAAAACGTTTAAAATTTCAAAAACAAAAACAAAACAAATGGTTAGTTGGCAGTACGATCGACGAAATGGATTTTGATTGATTTTTCGTTCACAAAAGGGAAAATTTTCAACATTTTAAAGAAAAAAAAAAACATTAAATTGGAACAGTAGACAGTATCAATTGTATTTTTATCCACAACAAACACACACACTGATTGAAATGAAAAGATGCAATGCCGAATTGAATTTGAATTTGAATCTGAAATATGATTCAACTGTGTTTTTTTTGTAATTTTTCTCTCTCTTTCTCTTTTTTTTTTTTTTTTTATTTCATCAATTCAATTCGTTCATCATCATACGGTTAGTATTAGTAGTAGTGTTTCAAGTTTTGTTGTTGTTGTTGTTGTCGTCGTCGTCGTCGCTGCTGTTTAAATGGGCAAAAGCTTCAAGTTTTTACGGCTGTTTTTTTTTCTGTTGGCTTTCGTTTATTTATATGTGCAAATGAAAAAGAGAATGAATGAAATGAAATGAAAACAAATACAGAGAGAGAGAGAGACAGACAGACATTGTGTGAAATAGAGAGATCATAAAGTGAAAGAAAAAAAAATAAAAACGTTGTAGTTATGACAACGTTTTCATTTTTGGAAAAACAACGAAAGTTGTCGATGATGATGGTAGTTGATAATCAAAAATATTTGGCCAACCAAATGAATGATTTCAATTTTTTAAAATCAAAATCAAATTGATTGAGATTATATCTTGGTTTTTTTTCTGGCTATTTTTTTTAGTGCCTGTGTGTGTGTGTGTGTGAACAGAACGACAGGATATATTTTACCTGAAAAAAATACGTGCAAAATTAATCACATAATAATAACCTAGCAACAGCAGACACACCAAAGTCCAAAGTTTAACATTGAATTTGGCCAAATGTTTTTGTTTTGTTTTGTTTTGTTTTGTTATGAATCACCATTATATTGAAGGTTAGTTAGGTAACACAAGCTTACACTTATACATACACACACACACACACCTGGAGGCAATTCATGATTCATTATACAACACACACACACACAAAGACCGTCAAAAATTTTTTCAATGGAACCAAATGGGAAAAAAAAAAAAAAAAAAAAACATCATCGTGATAAAATGTGATAGAAGAGACCAAAGTTTGTCATTGAGAAAAAAAAATTTTTTTTACCTTGTTTAAAAGTCACGGCATGTGTCCATGTGTCCAGTGGTGGTGTGTCAATGCCACCACCAACAACACCACCAAATAGCTAGGAACCAAGGGTCCATATTCATGTGAATTTTTTTTTCATTCATTCATTCACGAAAATAGAGAACAAAACTACAACTATACAGCCATTATAATCACATAATCATCAATTGAGTGTTGATGCATCATGAAGAGAGTGTATATTTGTATAAGTGTTTCAGGTGTCATCAATAATACACACACACACAGACAAAACAAGCATTTTTTTTAGTATCGTGGGATCGCGTTTCTCTATTCATTTATCGTTTTTTCAAAGATTAAATATTTACATTCAAGATTTACGTATAACAAATGATGTACGGTCAATCAACAACAACAACAACATCCAACCACAACAAACAATAATAATAATAATCGAATCAAATTGATTCTCGTCGATTATGATGATGATAATAGTGGTGGTGATCGTGGTGGTGGTGGTCAACATGTCAAATATAGATCCATTTATCCATTATTGATCTGACAATAAAAATTTGACCTTATCTATGACCCAGAATATGAAATTTTTTTTTCGGCCGATTAAAAATGATAGAATAAAACACACACACTTTTTTACACGCCTAAAACGCCAAAAAAAAAAAGACCACCACCACCTTTTGATTTTGTAAAGTGGACAATCCATATTATAATCACCTTATCTATAAGGCGGCATCACATGGCATTTATTATTGATTGTAAACGACAAAGAAAAAATGAATAAAAAAAATCCATGATTTTTGATTGATTGAATAATGATGGACTCTCATTGGTCATTTAAAAACATAAAGCTAAAAAGAGGGACCAAAAAAAATGATAATCATGATTGATTATGCGTTTCGATTATTTTCAATTGGCTATTGATCAGTTTTAATGAGAAAAAAAAATGAATAGCAAATTGTAATGTAAATTGTACTTTTTCTCTCGTATACAACATACAGACGCGTGTATAATAATTAGAAAATCAACGGATGTACACAATATCCATTGAATTACCATATTGAATGGTAATCGATTATCATCATCATTTAAAAATCATCAGCATCATTTTTGTTTTCTGAAACAAACTATCGTTTGTTTCAGCGTATTTTTTATGTCGCTGAAAAATGAATACATTTGACCCTAAAGAAATAGAAATAGAAAAAGAAAGGAAATGTAAAAAATTGACCCTTAAGGTGTGTATTTTTTTTTCTTAGCTAGACCTAGCCCCGTAAATCAACATACAAAATAACCTTTGACCAAAATGGAAGAAAGTAAAACAAAAAAAAACGTATTGAAAACCTGTATTTAAAACATACAGATAAAGGTGATAAAATATAGTGTGACCACATTTAAAGTTGTGTATTTTTTTTGAAAAGAAAAAACCCAAAAAAATCAAAGTTTATTGCAGTAAAGTAAAAAAAAAATGATGCTTTTCTCACGAATTTTTCCTATATAATAGCAAACAAACATACACACACACACACACCAAAACAAGTTGATCATTAAAGACAGGCAGCAACGAAAAAAATAAGCATTTTGGTGACACATAGGGTATTCAATAGTTAGCCTTGAAATGAAATGCAAAAAAAAAAAAAATCCAAATTACCATCATCATCATCATCACCATAACGACAATAACAACAACAACAACAACAACGATCATCAACATTAATTTGAAATCTCTTGACTTTTTTTTGAAATTCAACTTTTTCAAGAAAATTGGTTTCCAAAACCGTTGAGATTTTTGAAGTGATGATGATGATGATGAAAAATGCAGTAATATATGACATATGGTCATCATCATCATTATCATAATGACAACAACAAGTGTAACAATACAATGGAAATAAAATGCAAAAAAAAAAAACTTGTTGACCATAAATGATCAAAACAACAATCTTTGTTCATCATTAAGAATTATGATAAATAACCATACATAGACACACACAGACATTCTAGATATGCATGGTGAATTCAATCAAAGTTCATTCATCTATCCCGATTATGAGGGTAGTGATAGAATAATTCACCACGATGAAAAAAAAACTCAACATGAATGAACGAAAGAAGAAAAAACGTTCACCGGTGATATTGTCATGGATATTATTGCCACAACGTTGTAGGATCATCATCATCATCATCGTGACATTTTTTTTAATTCCAATGACAATAGAATGAGAGACAATTATCCATCTATTATATTTATAGTGAAGAAATAATGGAAAGAAAATTTTACAAACTTGAGAATTTTTTCTTTTTCGTTTTGATTCATTCATTCATTCATTCTCATGGTCCAATGATCATCACCATATGGTGTTGTTAAATGGTAAGGTACACTGTTTTTTTAGTTTTGTTTCAATCCAAAGGTGATCATCACCAGATTACTGATTACTTCTGCTGCTGATGATGATGATGATTTATGAATGTCGACAACAACAAGAAACACTTTGAATGGAAAAACTTACAGCAGGAACAAGAAAAGAAAACCCAAAAAACAGATGGTGATTGTCACCACCAAACAATTATAAATGTGCATCAATCTAAAATAAATTGAACAGCAATAAATTCAATTATCAAAATTTTCACACACACACACATACAAACACGAAAAGACACTATCTATTAAATGAATCGATCCAAAATAAAAATAAAAATTGTTCTAGAAAAAAAAATAGAAATCAAAACTCTTTAAAACTAATCATAACCAATCTAATTCAATCAACAACAACAAAAAAATTGAATGATGTGGTTATTTTTTTTTCATTTTTTTTGTTTTTTTTTTCTGTTTGATTGTCAAGATTTCTGTTTTTTCATTACACACTAACGCCCAATAGAAAAAAAATAGACAAACAAACACAGAGACAGACATATAAATTACATAACTTTGGGATTTTCGATGAATATAAATAAATATTAATTGAAAGTAAACGAAACTAAATAAACATTTGATTTTGGAAGGAAAAACAAGAAACGGGAACAGAAAAATAATGTGTGTGTGTGTGTGTGTTGGTTGGTTGGTTGGTTGGTGGTGGGAAGAAATCTATATTTTTTTTTTCATTTCATTTCTTTCCAACATCTCATCATCATCATCGTCATTCAAACAGTTTTTTGAATTGATTTTTTTTGTCACTCAATCAACCGTCAATCTTTTTTTTCAAATTTTCAAATAGATTTATATGGAGCGATGAATTGAAACAAATAATAAAAAAGAAAAACAAGTTTCCGGTGAACCATTCAGAGAGAAAAGAAAAAGGTCAAATGTCATTCATTTATCAAGTGAAACTTACTTGAACTGGGATAGCGAGAAACATGAAATGTGTATTGATGTGAATTTAGAAATAGAAAAAAAACACGATTGTTTTGTTTTGTTGTATTTTTTTTTCGTAATTTTCTGACAATTCATTATCGATGAATTGGAATCATACTAAAATGAAAATTACAATCACTATGTGTACATTTGTTGTTGTTGTTGTTCTAATTGTAGATCCTGAATTTTATATCACAATAAATTCATTATCAATACAAAACAGAGAAAAAAAAACATGTAGAAATTTATAGCCACATAAATGTCAAATAAATGTCAACAACTACAACAACAACAACAACAACAAAATGACGACAACAACAATCATCATGATTTGGAATCAAAACAGCAACAACAATAAATGACATAGGAAATGAAATTTTTTTTTTTGATGAAGGAAATCCGCTGTTGCTGTTGACGATTATGATGGTGATGAATTGGATTTGTTGATGAAATGTATATATTTTAGGAATGATGATAAGACATCAGATGAATTATGATGATGATGATTATAATCTCTCACTGTGGTTACATAGTTGTCATTTTTGATTTTTAGCTTTCTTTTTTTGCCAAATATAGTAAATGGAACCGAATTGGCATGGAATACAAGCGGTGGAAAAAATGGCAAATTTTTCAAAGCCAAATCCAAATACAAAAAATTCTAAATTCTAAAACAACAAACGAAAAAAAAATTCGATAATTCTAATTAAAGATGTAGAATTTTGAATGCAAAAAAAAATGATTAAAAATAGTCTTGTTCCACATTTTAACCAACGTATTGTATCGTATGTGTTCACGTGCTGTTTGTGAAAAGTGAAAAGAAAACCGAAACTAAATTTAGACATTTATTCAAGTGAAAAACAAAACAAAATGAATGATGAATTGATGAACATTGTGAAACGTTTAGAAAATGAATTTGATACATCATTTAAACGTTTATTGGAAAAATGTGAAGAATATTCAAGGATTAATCATTGCCGTTGTTGTTGTCAAAATGATTATGATAAAATTATCAACGACAACGACAACGACAACCAGGAAGTGGTGGAAAATCATCAAGATGATGAATCTGAAAATATGTCAACAAAATCCGTATCATCAAAATCGTTCACATCTATAGATGATGTTGATTATTATAGTAACAACGAAACTACTACTGATGATGATGATGATGATGAACAACAAACAACAACATTAATAGAACAATTGGAACCAGAATTAATACATTTAGCATTATCAGAAGCTAAATTGATGACAAAAACATTTCTGTTTGCTGAACAATTGAAACATATGCAACAAGAAATTGATCAATTGAGAATGGAAAATTTTCATCTTAAAAATAAATTAAAATCTACCGTATGGCAGCATACGATTGATTTTAATTCATCAGCAGTTACCCAGGAAAATGTTGATGATGATGATGATGATGAAGATAAAAACGACAAACAACTTTCACACGGCAATGTTGAAGATGAAGTGGATGACATCGATGGTAGCAACAGTAGAAGCAGCAACATCATAAATAGCAACAGCAAATGTTTTGGTAATAATTTTGTGGTTGACAGTAAAAAAAATGTCACCAATCTATTAATGTTAAAATGTGCTATTGAACAAGAAATTATCAGTCAACGTGAACAACAACCTCGTCAACAACTAGATAATCGATTCAATAGAAAACAGCAACAACGTTATGAAAATAAAATTTGTGGATTAAATCTAGTTATAAGTTATCTGAAAAAAGAACTGGCTGGAAGAGTTCAACAATTGCAATTATTTTATATTAATGATTATAATCAATCCATTGGTGGTGGTAGTGGTTCCCGTAATCATGATGATAATGTGGATGATGAAATGAATAAAGAATCATTATCATCATCATCATCATTACCACCATTATCATTGATGAATAATCCGGCATATCAAAATATATGGAAACAATTATCATTTGAAATTGAATTGAATCGTTTTAAAACATTGATACGTTTAGCTGAATATGATGATGATGATGATGATGAGGATTATGAAAATGAAAATGAAGTGGAAAAATCATCAATAATCGATACAGATAAAGAATTACAATCAATTTTATTGAATAAAACTGGTATTGAATTAAATTGGAAATTTTTCAATTATCGATCATCATCATCAATGATGAATCAAAATCAATCGATAATGGAACGTAAACAACAATTGGAACGTATGGGACAAATTTATTTTATTAATTTATATATAAAATCTGGTGAAAAATTGGGATTAACAATTCTAGGGGAAGGAAGAAGTGAAGGGGGTAATCGAAAAAGATCACCATTAATGATATGGAAAATTAAATCAAATAGTTTAGCAGCATTGAATGGTCATTTTCGTATTGGTGATATAATATTGGCATTAGAACAAGAGGATATGATTGATAAAACACCTGAAGATCTTTATGAATTGATTAATCGAAAATATAATGGAAAATGGTGTCGTTTTGGTATATTACGTATACCAAGTATTCATAAACATCATAATAGTATGGAACCACAATTTAATTTTGAATTATTTTATGATGATCCATTTGAATTACGTTCACATTGAAATCACTCTTGTCTATTTGCAAAAAAAAAAAAAATTACTGAATAAATATGACATTTCAATGATATTATCTATGCAAATTATGAATTTTCAGCTGGCTGGCTGGCAGGTTGGCTGTAAACACTGGTTAAATCACACACACAGTAGTAGCATCAGTTATAATGAATTCAACTTAATAACGCACCAATAATCCTTTTTTGGGCCATCACCAAAAGTACAGATTTGGTTGAATAAACAGGAAAATTTTTATTTTAAGCTGTAATTTTTTCTGCTCCGCTCAAATACTTTATCATAAATGATGATGATGATAATTTCACGCAAATTGACAAACAACAACAAAAAAAAAAAGAACTTGATGTCTGTGTGTGTATATAGTGGGAAACACCCAAGAAACATCAAATCAAATCCAATTAAAAATTTGAAAAAAAAATTTTACAAATTTAGAAACAAAAAAAGAGGATGTATGTTCATCATCATCATCATCATCATCATCATCATCATTAATAAATTTTGATTTGTAATGTTTAGATTGAAATTAAACATTTCAGGACATACCGACGACAAATGATGTCAAATAATCATCACCATACATACACAAAAAAAAATCAAGAACAAGGTCACACACACACACACACGAATAAACAAATTGTTACAAACTTAATCCAAAAATAACATAACATTTGATGAAAAAAAAAAAAATAATCCGTTTATCATCATCGTTGTGGTTGATTTATTGGCAATCGGGGTTCAATTCAAAGTCAAAAAGCAAGTAAAAAAAATTAAATCGTTACCTCGTTTTTCATTTTGAAAATTTTTCAATTCAAATATTGTCGATGGAGATGTTTTTGGTGAAAATTTCAACATACAAAATACAGACAGCACAATGAAATGTGAATGACAATAAATGATGCGATTTTGTTTTTTGGCATCATCCACTGACTATAACTGGCAAACCAAACAAAACACATTCAGATATTTTTCATTTTCATTGATTTTGCGCGAAAATAATTTTTTTTGACTTTTTTTTCATTTCACTTTCTAGGTCCTGGTAATATATGGACTACCTCTACATGATTGACCTAAACAAGATCTAGTCAAAATCTCAATACTTTTTTTTCCTTTGGTTCCAGATGTTTGGATCATGCATACACACAAATATGGGTTCCAACTCATCACATACAGAAACACACAAACATTATACACGACTGTGTGTGTGTGTGTGTGTGTGTTTGTCAATGATGGCCTAATTTTCGAATGTTTTGTGTGTTTGAAATTCGAATCCCAGATATATAACATTCGAATTCCAATGCAAAGTAAAGATTTTAATTTACTACCTACACATTTGTTTGTTGTTGTTGTTGTTATCGATGTTTATCAATTTTTTTTTGTAATGAAAAAAAAAATTCACTTACCAGGAAACGATGATTGTCATGATGATAATGTTCTTGAAAATTTATTTTGTTGATAATTCAATTGAATCGTTGGTTTTTTTTCTTGATCTTGATCTCTTTGAAATTCATTGATATAAATACGAAAACAACAACAAAAAATCAAAATGGCACAATATATCTTTATGATGATGTTATATATGTATACATTTGGCCTAACAAAAGATTCATCTAACGAATTTTTTTTTTTATTTGTGAAATATAACCATGTAGCATGTGTGATGGCTGTAAGATGGTGAATTCACTGAAATTTTGGATATCGAAGAAGCAGTATATATTTGACAGTGTGTATATACAATGTTTAAACTTTATACAAAAATAGAAACCGTTATTAATACCGCTACGACGTTCTGTTTTCATTTCTTTAGTTGTTGTTGTTGTTGTTGTTCATAATTTCGACTATAAATGACAAGATCATAGTTGAATATCTCTTGAATTTGGAACAGACATGAACACACATGAACAATTGAGACAAATGTCCAGGATTCGAAAAAAAAAATTTTTTCCATTCTTCTGACCGACTCAGATGATCATCGAAATAGAAACCACATTCAAATCGAAATAAGAGCCATATATTAACCAAAGATCAATAAACGGAACTGATGGTTGATGATAATAATGAACCATTGAAACAAACAAAAAAAAAATAAACTTAGACTATTTACACACTACTAGGACCCAATGTGTGAAAATAGAAATTAATAAATTTGTGCGCGCGCGCAACACACAGTTCGAGTGTCCCGCTATTTTCATACACGCTGTTTTTGGGATTTTTCTCTGTTTTTTTTATTTTTCTTTTTGAAATATATTGATTATTGAACAACAACAATGAGTTCAATTAAGAAACGTAAACATCCAATTGTTGATAACAGTGATGATGATGATGACAATGATCGTGGCGAAAACAAGTTAATTCAAAGTTCCAAAATACGTGAATCTAAAAATGGGAAAAAATCTGCACCTGAACATGGTAAGAAAAAAAGAAAACGTATTGTTCTGATGATAAGTAGTAGTGATGAAGATGAAGAAAAAAAAGATGAAGTAATCGATACAAAAATTACCGATTCAATTAATGAGATTAAAAAAGATGCTAAAATTCGTGCACGAAAATTGGCTGCCGGTACCGTCGATATAGAAAATGATGGTAAATCAACATCGAAAAAAACATCAAAATCACCAAAAATTACTCCACCAAATCAAAGAAATAATATTTTGAATTATTTTAAACCTAAAAATATTGATTCGAATGCCGAAAAACAAGTGATTAAAAAACAATCGAATGAAAAAATCATTGAAACATCGACAATCAAAGATGATGAAGGTTATACGTATACCACGGTGAAACCATATAATAAATCAAGTTTACCGCCAATAATGGATAAACAACAAAAAAGCTCCAATGATCAAATAAAAGAATCGAATAATAAAAATTCCAATCACAAAGATTCGAATGAAAAATGAAAATGAAAACAATAAAAATTGATGATTCGGTCAATCGAATAAAATCTGGTGAAGAGACAAAAAAATTGGCAGCTAAAACCGAGAACGATGATGATGATGATGATGAAAATATGACAGCAATTATAATCAGAAAATCATCAAAACATCATGATTCGCCGCAAAAATCCAAAAATAATCAGCTTAACAACAACCATAACAATGAAAAAATTGATAAAATCAAAGAATCACCTTTGAAAAGTAATAAATTGTCAAAAGTAGAACCGACGATGAACGAACGAGAAAAATCAGAACCAAAAAACTATGGTGAAAGTCTGCCAAGAATTGTTGAACAACAAAGAGTTTCCGAATTATGGGTTGATAAATACAAACCAACCAGTGTGAGACAAATAATCGGTCAACAAGGTGATCGTAGTTCCTTAAATAAATTGATTAAATGGCTACGAAATTGGCATTCGAATATGGATAAAAAACCTGGATTCGGTAAATGGGGACCTGATGATGGTGCAGGATTTCGTGCTGCATTACTTAGTGGTCCACCTGGTATCGGTAAAACTACTACAGCACAATTAGTGTGTAAAGAATTACGATATGATTATCTGGAATTGAATGCATCGGATCAACGAAATAAAAAATCGTTACATGAAAATGTTCGTGATTTATTGAAAAATACAAAATTGACGGATTTTTTCAAATCAACCACCGTTTTTGATGATAAAAAATCTACGGATAATGAACAAAAACTTACCGCAAGACATTGTCTAATAATGGATGAAGTAGATGGCGTTTCCGGCAATGAAGATCGTGGCGGTGTTGCCGAATTGATACAGCTAATCAAAACGACAATGATACCAATCATTTGTATATGTAATGATCGTGGTGATCAAAAAATGCGTTCATTAGTTAATTATTGTTTTGATTTACGATTTCATAAACCAAAATTTGAACAAATAAGATCAACATTATTGTCGATTGTATTTAAAGAAAAATTGAAAATCGCTTCAGATGTTTTAGATGATTTGATTGTATCATCCAATTTTGATATTCGTCAATGTATTCATAATCTTTATTTATTGGCTACACAATCATCATCAAAAGTTTCGGAATTGATCAAACAGCAAGAACGGCCTATCAAGGATGTTCGATTGGTTTGTATTTATTTATTTTTTTTTTTTGATATTTTTTTTACTTATCATTTTTTTTCTCATTACACGTTTCCTTATAGACACCATTTGAAGCGATAAAAAAAGTATTCATCACTGGTCGAGATTATGCTATGATGTCTTTGGATGAAAAATCGAATCTATTTTTCTGTGATTATTCAATAATGCCGTTATTTGTTTATGAGAATTATATTTCAATTAATCTATCAAGTAAACAGTATGTATTTTTTTTTTTTTTTTTTTTTGGTTAAGTTTGGTTTTCTATTTCCTATTTTGTCATCAAATCGATGATGACAATAATCTAATCTCTTTATTGATTCAAAAATTGTTCAATATTTATTTATTTTTCTTTTATTTGATATCAAATAGACGCAGTGTTGGTAAACAATTGAAACGTTTATATAAATCAATCGATGCTATATCCGAATCGGATTTAATTGAAAAAGAAATTCGTTCAAATCAATCATGGTCATTATTACCATTGCAAGCGATATTCTCGACAGTAATGCCTGGCGCATATATGCGTAGTGAAAATGGTCTTGGTTTTCCACAATTTCCACAATTTATGGGCAAATTATCTACGACAAATAAAAATAATCGTATCACCGAAGAATTAGCATCACATATGAAATTATCGGTGAATGGATCAAAACAATCGATCGTAATGGATTATTTGGAACCGATAAAAACAATTATTATTGATTCATTGAAAAATTTGGATAAAGAATCTGCAATTACGAATGTAATCGATTTATTGGAACAATATTCATTAACAAAAGAAGATATGGATTCAATATTGGAATTTTCTTTATGGGCAGGTGAACAGGATCCAATGAAAACAATTGATTCGAAAATAAAAGCAGCTTTAACACGTTCTTATAATAAAAAAGATTTTGCATTACCATATGCACGTGATAATGATTATAGAAATGTAACTACGAAATCAAGTGGAAAGAAAGGAAAAGGAAAAAAGAATAAAAATGATTTGGAATCATCACAAGATGAATCATCAGTGAATAATGATGATGATGATAATAATGATAATGGTCTAACAGGAATTATGGATTTTTATTGAATACAAAAAAAATGAATTATTTTTTTTTCTATTTTCAATTCAAATAAAATGAATTTCATGTGATGATGTTCATTTTTATGCAGAAATTAAATAAAAATTTATTTTCTTTTAAATTTTGTTTTGAAATTGACTTCATTTATTCGTTTTTTAGCCATAATTGAAATCAGATGATTGATTAGTTAGCCCAACATTTCATTGACAATATCGCTCAATTCTTTTTCCTCGTGTGACAACATCAATGCATCGACACAGGCAGGAAATACTTCATTTTTGAAACAAAATTCTCTACATGATCGATGTAATTCTTGATCACGATACAATTGATAACATTCATCACAAACACGATCTAAACGTGCAAATTTTGCACGATCATATGTACCCAAACAACCGATACTGGAAAAACTTGATTTTTTTGGCCGTGATTGATTCATATCCATCGTTACAATATTGTTGTTGTTGTTGCCGACTCCGCCGCCTCTGCTGCTGTTTGGATCATCATTCAATGGAATAATCGATGATTGTGTCAGTACAAAACAAATTGCCTGCAAAACGACGATCAAATTGATAAACATGGTTGTTTTTATCATTTTCATTGGAAAAATTTTGAAATACGATGTATTTTTCGATTTTAAACTGAAAAATAAATTCTGACCAGAAAAAAGTTTGATGTTTCGAGTTTTTATATCCACACACACACACACATGATTCAGAAGATCAAATACAATACAATGAACGCATATTTAAAACAATGGAAACAAAAAAAAATCAAATGTCAGCATAAATTCTACCGGAACTCATGATGATTTCAAAAAAAAAAAAAAAAACAAAAATCATTTTCCATTAATCCGAGGAGAAAAAAAACAACGAACAAACGTTGGTTGTTTTGTTTCAATTTAATTTAATTATTATCGGTCACATTTGATCGTTTTTTGTTTTCAGATTTAATTGATATGTGGGATTAATTAATCCACGATGAAACATGATGAAATACAATCACATGATGATGAAATTCAAATGATTCGTTTTTTTTCTGTCTATGATGATGACGATAATGATGATATATTCATTTTTTTTTCACTCACTCATATCATCATCATCATCATCATCATTAATCGCTAAATGTTGACCACAGTTTTTTTTCCATTTAAATCGATGAACAAAATAAATGGAAACAACAACAAAAACAAAATAACGATAATCGATACCGTATCGATATATATAGAATTATTAATTGATTAAATTAATGCACTTGTTGAGTGTGAAATAAATATAAACTGATAACTTGAGAATTTTAAGAATAAATATATGACAACTGTTCCGACAAGTTTTGCTATCATTATGTATTATCAATTTATAAATGAAATGAAAACACATAAATTTTTAATCTTATCTGATCATTACTAGTATTGGCTATAAATTGTTTTTCCTCGAAATATTTGTTTTGATGATAATGAAAACAGTGAATGAAAATTCATAGTTGACAATTCTTGTCATCATCATCATCATCATCATCATCAATGGCTTATAAAAACAACAAATTTTTTTCAACAACATTATTAGAGCTTTGTTTTCGAAAAAAAAACTTAATTTAATTGCCCAAAAAAAACTTTAAAATCATGAGCTTCATCGAAATTAATGGATTCAATATTTGCTATGAAAAATTTGGCCATGGTCCTAATGCCGTTCTAATCATTCCCGGTGCAATCGGTAGAGCTAGCTGTGATTTTGATCTTCAATTTGATATTGATCATCCAGCCTGTTTTGATTTTGATCGTTTTACATTCATTTGTGTGGAATTAATTGGCTGGGGTCGTTCTTGTCCACCGGAACGTCCATATGGACCAACATTACTACACGATGATGCTGATCGATGTGATCAAATGATGACGGTAAGCATTGATTATTGATTAGTGATTTTACTGATTGATTCTTTAATTTTTGACAACAGAAACTTGGTTACAATCAATATTCGATTTTTGGCTGGTGTGAAGGTACCAAAGTGGCGGTGATTATGGCTCAAAAATTCATTGACAGAGTACAGAATCTTATTCTACAAGCACCATATATTTATCATGATGATAAAATGACCGAAAAACTTAGACTGATGCGTGATTTTTCCAATTGGGATGCAAGGCTACGTAGACAATATAAAATTATTTATAATAATAATGTTGATCGTGCTGAAAATCTTTGGCAAACTTATGTTGATTTTATGATTGAAAAATATAATGATATCTATCCAAATGGTTTGCTTGGTTCAAAATCGGATGGTTTGTGCAATATCCATTGTCCAACATTGATTTTTATTGGTGATCGAGATTTTTTCTTTACCGTTGAACAATGTGAAAATTTAGCCAGTGAATTTGGTGATGGAAAGTTGATTGTTTATGAAAATTGTGGCCACTTTCTGCAAAGACGTGAAGCGATAAAATTTAAAAAAAATTTGGAAAATTTTTTTGCTAAATAAAAACTAATAGATTTATTGAAAAATTGTTGTTTGAAAATGAATAAAAATTGAAAAAAAAATTTGTTGAGTAAAATTTCTGGTAAACAAAGCAAAAGTGCAAAATTTTAGTAAAAAAAATGCATATTTTGACAAACATAATATATGTGAATCGATAAAATATTGATAAACAATCGATGAATGTACTATAGTGGTGTAAAGTGAATATCATTAGTGATCATTTAAAGAATTCACACTAATTCTTTGATTATCTATCATCATATGAAATGAAAGTGCAAAATTTTCTTTTTTTTCTTTTTTTTCGTGTAAATTGAGACATTCTCATCGTATAAATAGCATCGAATGAAATGTGCTTTTCATCACACGGAACGAAATTCACAGCTAACTATAAAGACGATAATGGTCGAAATCGATGGATTCAATATTGCCTATGAAAAAATTGGCCATGGTATGGATATTGTGCTCATCATACCTGAAGCATTGGGAACTGTTCGTAGTCAATTTCGGCAACAATTTGATCCAGATCATGATGGATGTTTAGATTTTGATTGTTTTACATTTGTTTCGGTCGATCTACCTGGCTGGGGACAATCACGTCAACAACATAAACAACAACAACAACAACAGGAACGTCCTTATGGACCGAAAATTCTTGATGATGACGCTGTTAGATGTGATAAATTAATGAATGTTTGTATATTCGCTGAATAATTGTATTTTTGACTCATTTTTCTCTATTTTTTAACAATAGAAACTTGGTTATAATGAATACTCAATCTATGGTTTTGGCATTGGAGGACAGATTGCAATTCTTATGTCACAAAAATTTGGTCCACGAATCAAATCAATGATATTGCATGGAACAGCAACGTATTCGAATGAAAAATTCCTGCAAAATTATCGAAAATTACGTGATACTGAATGTTGGAACGATTCGGTTATGCTTAGCCAATATAAACTTGTTTATAATGATGATATCGATCTTATCGCTTATCTTTGGAACAAATATATTGATTTAGCTGTCAATAAATTTGGTGAATATTATCCTGATGGTTTACTAATGACAAACGCAATTGCATCGAATAATGATCGACATTCAAAAATTTATCATTGTCCATCATTGATTCTATATGGTGATCAAGATGATTTCATTGATATGGAACAAATAACATATTTGGCCAATAATTTACCAAATAATCGATTGATAATATTTAAAAAATGTGGCCATCATCTTCATCAAGAGGATCCGATTAAATTTAAAAATATTGTGGAAAAATTTTTATTGGAAAATTTTTGGAATGATAAAAATTGTCTTTATTGATTGATTCATGATAAAATGATTATTTGATCGATTTTAACAGACGATTAAAACTTGTTGCCGAATGGAAATAAATATCAAAAACTGGTACACTGGAAAATAAAAATCATCAGTCTCTTTTATTTTTGAAATTTCAGAAAAAAAATTTGATGAAAAGCAATCAACTGGCGAGAGAGAGAGAGAGAGAGAACTTGAAGAAGGAAAAAGAAAAAACTCGTTTGACATGATTATGATGATAAAGGTGATACACAAGTGTATATACCGATTATGATTATAATTTCTTCGTGTTCGTTCAAAACAAGTAAATGAAAAAAAAAAAAAAAAATATCTTTCTAGATGGCAAAATAAGGATAAAAGAAAAAGAGTAATTATAATGGTGAAAAACAAAAAAAAATAAGGATAAAAAACCATACCTATAGGTTTTTGATTTGATTTGATTTGAACACAACAACAACAACGACAGTGCTATTACCGTTAATTAATGTTGTCGCCGTCATCATCATCATCATCATTGGTCTGTCGATCGATTTTGTTGACGTTGAATGTTTTTTATATAAAGAATTTTAAGATTGAAAATTCCATTTTCATTTGTAATTTTGTTTGAAAAACACTTATCTGTATTGAATTGACAAGACGACAACGATGAATTTCATAAAGATTGGTGAATTTAATATTTGTTTTGAAAAATTTGGTCATGGTCCAATTGCCGTGCTAGTTATACCGGGCGCTATTGGTACGGCCAAAAGTGATTTCGATATTCAATTTAATCCAAAACATTCTGGATGCTTAGATTTTGAACGTTTTACATTCATTTGTGTTGAATTACCTGGCTGGGGCCGTTCAATACCACCCGAACGGCCAATTGGACCAAATGTTCTTCATGATGATGCTGATCGTTGTGATGAATTGATGAAGGTTTGTGAATTAGCAAAATATCATTAGATTGCCACATTAGTGATTTAATTTGTTTCTATAGAAACTTGGCTACAATGAATATTCAGTTTATGGATGGTCAGAAGGTTCAAAAGTTGCTATTATTATGGCAAGAAAATTTGGTGGATCTCGTATACGATCGTCGATTGTACAAGGATTAATGACATTCCATACGGATTCAGCATCGAAAAATATTATGTGGTCACGTGACATTCAAAATTGGGATATAGAATTATTGCGTAAATATGAACAAGCATATGGCGATGATATTGATCGTGTAGAAGATCTTTGGCAACGACATATTGATTTGGCCATCGAAAATTATGGCCGTTATTATCCACAAGGTCTTTTAGGACCAGTACAAGATGGTTTACGAAAAATTCAATGTCCAACATTAGTATTACATGGTGATCGTGATTTTTTTATTGAATTAAAACAAGCTGAACATGTTGCCGCTAATGTACCGAATAGTCGTTTGATTCGTTTTCCAAATTGTGGTCATAATCTTCATCATGTTGAATCAATTAAATTCAAACAAACGGTAGAAAATTTTCTACTCGATAATAACAATTGAAATTTATCATCAAAAAGATCTTTGTGTATTCACATTCATAGATAGAATATCTAACTAATTATTCAAATGCAGAAAATTAAACACAAACAAATCAATCAATCGAGAATAAATGAGAAAAATTCATTTTATTTTTTTTTTATTTTTTTTTCGTTTAATACATTCAAAATCAAGGGCGAACGAAAAAAAATCAAGTTTTAATTATAATCAATTGTCGATCATCAAAAGCATTACATTGAATTAGAAAAATATTTGTTACAGAAAAGAAACACAATCGATGAATGGGAAATTTGCTAAAAAGAAAAAAAATTTTTTTTTTCGTTTTGTGTTTTTTACTTTAAATTGAATCGATCGATAAAATGGACTAGAAATTCAAGTATGACAACAACAGAGTCTATATGGTCGGATCAGCATTTTTATATCATATTATTATTATCGGTGAGTCTGTGTGTGTGTAAATTGATTTTTTGTTTTGTTTTGAGTATAATGGCGATTTATATAAAAGAAAAAGAATGTGATTCAAACTGGAATCAATTTAGTAAAAAAAAAATTAATGAATGACAAGATTATTGATGGTTGAGAATTTGAGAAAATTTTGGTCTGAATCACATTTTGGCACTTGTCATTGTTTTATCAAATCATGTTGTGTGGCTGTTTGCGGTTTTTTTTTTACTTTTTTTTCAAGGTGGAAAATCAATCAATTAATTATTTTTGAACAAAAACAACAATATCTCGTAGATTCGATTGTAATTCATTTAATTGTTCTAATGAATTTTCATTGATACCACCGCCACCAATACCACGTAATGATTCATTACTTTTTTCCAATTTAGTTAATAATTCACGAAAACGAAATCTTTGTTGTGGCATTAATGAATGTTCAGCATATGATAAACATGATTTACGAAATACAAGAACTATATCGCATACACGTTTTAAATTATTGGACATTCTTGATGGACTTATATTGGATAATGATGTCGTGTCAGCATTAATTGTATTATCGACATTTAAATTTTTTCCCATCGTATGTTGGTTATTATTCTGTTTTAGTTGTTCATCAAGCATCAATTCAATCTGTTTTGAACATTCAATTATTGATTCACGATTTGAACCAATCATAGTGGAATCATCATCATTATTATTATTACCAATCGATTCTGATGCTAAAGATTTTTTTAATTTGGCTGTATTGGTAGAATCTGATACAGGTTTCAATACAACATTAAAATTGTTGGCCATTTTGTTGTTGTTGTTGTTGGATGAGTCATTAGAATTTTTCATCAATGATTTTCGTGTTGGGATTCTATTTTTTTGTCGGAAGAGAAAAAACAAATAAATTTCAATAAAAATTAAAATCAATAAGTTACTTACTGAGATTTTCCAGCCATTAATAAACTTTTTGTTTGATCTGGCATATTTGCGGAAATTGCTTTATTATTATTTATCAATTTTGAATTGCCACGTGTATTCAATTTAGGACTAGACATAGCTGTATTGGATGATGAATTTTTATTGGTTTTAGATTGAATCGATACAGTTACTGTAGATGAATTTATTGAACTTGATGATGATATTACTGAATCATTACTTTTAGAAATTGAACCAATACCCGAATCTGATGTTTCACCACCAGTATTATTATTATTATTATTATTATTTGTAGCAGTGATAGATGAATGATTTTCCCAGAATTTTTTATAATTTGAAACACCACTATGACGTTTGGTTATCTCATCATCATCGTCGGCATCATAACCGGATTGTGAAATTATCGATTTACTCATCATTGATGATGATGGATCCATTATATCCAAGTTATTATTATCATTTATGGTTTTATCAGATTTCGTTTTTTGTTCTTCGCTTGGTTTTGATAAATGTTTTTGATTTTTTGCATTTGAACCGCTATTAAAAAACAATGCCAATTTTGATGCTTTTGATTTTGGCTTAGTAGCCGTTGATGTTGTCTGGTGATGATGATTTTCTTCATTTGTTGTTGATTCTTGTTGTTGTCGTATCGATTGAAATGGTTTTAATGGAACTTTTTTCAACACTGGTGTTACATATTCAGCATCAACGGCTGCTGCTGCTGCTACATTGGAATTATTTACATCCATAGCTGAATCATTATTATTGGTCGAATTTTTCGTATAAAATTTTGATTGTGAAAAATTTGAAAATATAGGAATGGCCGGTGCCGGACAACTTGGTTCCGGTTTTGAGCTTCGTTTAAACAGGAATGATGCAGTTTTTGTTGTGTTAGCCACTTTGGCAGTAGTAGTAGTAGTAGTTTGGTCCTTATTATTCTGATTTGTCGATTTTTGTGTTTTCAAACGAAAACTTTCGTTTAGTTCATTTATGAATGCGGAATTTTGAATAGGAATTTTCGATAATGTAGTTGTATCATTCGAACGTTTGGTTGTCATTTTGTTCAATGTTGAACGACCATCTTTTGGTGAATTTTGTTGTTTATTAATTGATGATGATTTATCTTTTGATGATTTCTTTGTCACTTTTGTGTTTTGTTTTTCATTTTGTGTTTGTGATTCGGAAATGTTTTCATCATCATCATCATCATTATTATTAAAGTCACCACTATTGAGATCCGATGTCGATGGTGGTGGTGGAAAATCTTCAGGGTTGATAATTTCATCTAAAGTCATTAAATTATTCAATGGATCTATAGGATTCATAGATGGTTTAAATGAAACGAAATCAAATGATTCACTTTTACTTAGAATTTTCGGAGTAGGATTACTAGGTGATTTGAGGTCATCATCGATTGCTGGCGGTGGCGGTAGTGGGGTGATCTGATGAAACACGGGCATCGTTAAATCATCAACATTTCCACAATCAATTTGATCAGAATTAGCAGATGATTTTAATGGCAATCTAGGCGATGCAACCGATTTCAATAATTGCAGATGATTTTTGTTTCCATTTCGTAATTGTCTTGCTTTTGAGCTTTTAAAATTAAAATTAACATTTTCAATTGTTTTCGAATGTGTTAAATCAGATTTTTGACGAGTAAAATTAAAATGCTGATGATTTGGTTTAGAAACTGTCGATTGATTGCTGTTACTATTGTTGGAAATGTCTTCCAATATCGATACACTATTATTTGCATCTTTAGAAAATGTAGTAATTTTTGGATAATTTTGTTGTGGTGATTTAATTGCAGCTGATGCATGTTGTAATGTAAGAATATTATCCGAAGAATCACGAATATGATGAATATCTAGATTCAGGCAATCTACTGTCGATGATGTTGGACTATTGATGATGAAATTGTCAGTATTGCTTTGAAAATTTGTATCCAACATTTCATTTTGTGGCCGTAAAGAATCCAGATAGGCATTAATCTGTGTACCTTTTGGTATTGTTCCATAACGATTAATGGCACGTTTCACATCCAAATCGGATTTTTTATTTGATTTTGAATTAATCATTTGCTGCTGCTGTTGATGATGCTGTTGTTCTTGTTCATATGGATCAATAGCCGCTAGATGACGATCAAAATTCAATTTACTATTCTTATTTTTCGAACTAGATTTTGTTCGTGTTGATTTTGATTTCGTATTCGATATCATCATTTGTTGTTGTTGAATTGTATTTTTATTCGTTGTTAATTGAGCATTATTATTCAAACTAGAACGTGTTGAGGATGTTGATGATATTGTATTTGTTGAATTATAATTACGTTGTTGTTGATCCGTATCTGAATTGTACATATATGTCGTAGAACTATTATCATCAAGTTGAACCGATTGTTGGGCAGCAAAATCGGCCATAGTTTTTTCAATTGAGCTAAGATTTTCAAAAACTTTTTCAATATCATTCATTGTTTGTTCAGCACCTTTTAATATATCTTCATCACCTATAAACAAAAATTAAATAACGGACAATTAATAATGAAATTGATACATTGATTTTTTCAGTTCTATTTACCTGGTTGTTTATCCTGATATGTAGAATCACGAAATGAACTTGTTCGTTTTGGTGGTGTAGGTGCCTGTTTTACTTTGAGCAAATTTGGATGCATTCGTGGTTGTTGTTGTTGTTGTTGTTCGTTATGGTTATTACGTTGTCTCATATTTACTTTGGTTGTTGTTTTACTCGATGCATTGTTGTTGTTGTTGTTGGTTGTTGGACAAAAGCTCGAAGGCCATATTGGATCACGAGATGATGATGATGGATTATCATCAACAATATTATTGCCAGTAGACGATACTATGGATAAATGACCAGCAATATTTGGTGAGCTTCCTGAAAGTTTTTTATATGGAACTTGTGTTTGACTTGGTGATGTTTGCTCTGGATTCGTTACAATATTGACTAAATTAGAAGTTCCAGTACCACAGCTAGAGGAAAAACCGCTTGTAGAGCTACCATCATTGTTTAATTGTTGTTGTTGTTGTGGATCAGCAAATTGATCGGACGAGATAAATTCTTCCAATGAATAACCACTGGCACATGTTTGATACATTGTAAATAATGTACGATATAAATAATCAAAAGTGGGGCGTTGTGTTGGTTCCCAATTCCAACATTTTTTCATGAGATCATAAATTGGCTGTGGACAACCATCTGGGCATTGCATTCGATAGCCATTTTCAAGTTTATGATACACATCACTCAATTCGATTCCAGGATATGGTGCCATACCATAAGTGGCAATTTCCCAAAGGAGAACGCCAAATGCCCATACATCACTTTTTGTAGTAAATTTATTATAAGCCAATCCTTCTGGTGCTGTCCATTTGATTGGAAATTTGGCACCAGCACGAGCCGTATATGTATCATCACCCATTAATCGAGCAAGACCAAAATCGGCAACTTTTACCTGAAAATCTTCACCAACCAAACAATTTCGAGCAGCTAAATCACGATGAATAAAATTTCTAGATTCTAAATATGACATTCCATTGGCTATTTGAGTGGCGAAATATAATAAAATCACTGCCGACATTTGTTCACGATCATTATTACGAAGATAATCAAGAAGATTTCCATATGGCATAAATTCTGTAATAATATAAAATGGTGGTTCCAATGTACAAACGCCTATCAATTGAACTAGATTTGGATGACGCATTTCTTTCATGATTGATGCTTCTTCTAGGAAATCTTTTACGGCCATTGTATCTTCTTTTAATGTTTTCACTGCTACTGTCATATTATATTTACGCCATCTAGCTTCATAAACATCACCGTATTGACCGCCACCAAGTTTTTGTTTCATAATAATATCCGTACGATTGATTTCCCATTCATCGGCATTTTCATTCATTGTTGACCAATAGCCCGATGAATGTTTAGTAGCTGGATATAATAACATCGTGATCAATCCATCTTGTTGATTCGAATGATGATGAACCAATTCGGCGATTGTATTGAATTTACATTCAGGCCTAACATAATAACGAAGATCTTGATCCTGTTTAATATGATAATGATATACACGGCCATCATATCGTAAGGAAATGGTTCGTTGACCTGGCGATGATTCTGATTCTCGTACCAGAAATGATCCATTAATACCACATGATAATAATTGTTCGGCATCCGAACGCGATATATTTCCATGATACCATTTATGTTGATCTAAACATATGGGAGTTATATACGCTTGTGGTATCCAGCCAACTTGATTATTAAATGAGATTGCTTCACACCATTGACCACTTTGATTACACGAAACAATCTTCATTTGATCGCCTAAAAAAACAATAAAAAAAGGCAAAGAAAAAATTATGAATTATTTATTGGAATTATAAACGAGAAACAATTAATCAAATTTAATATCTTCAAACGAAAACAACAACAAACCTTTACGAAATGAAAGCTGATTCTCACCACCACTTTGAAAATCATAAAGAGCAACAAACATTTGACCATTCTGTAGTGGTTGTTGTTGTTGCTGCTGTTGTTGTTGATCAAGTTGAAGAAGATTTTCTTGTGAAATAGAAAGACCAAAACGATTGTGTTGTTGTTGTTCAAATAGACAACAATCATTATCTTGGCTATTATTTGAATCTAGACTTTGTTGATGTTGATGATGATGTTGTTGTTGTTGTTGTTGTTGTTGTGGCACTTCAGGTAGTGGGCGTGATGATAAAAATGATTGCTCTATTCGAATGAGATGGAAAAAAAACAAGATCAAAACAAAATAAAAACATTAGATTAGATTTAGATTTTTGTTTCTTTATGATCATAATGTAGAGTGGTTTTTTTCTCGATTTTCTTCTTTGCTGGTGAAAACAAAATGATCAATCATTCAAGTAATTGACACTGTTATCAAACAAAAAAAAAAAAGATTCCAATCACTCTATTGTGTTGTCTAAGGTTTTCTATTTACGTCAGCAGAAAAAAAGTTTATATAATTCTACCATTCACTTATACACACACACAAAGATTGTGATGAATCGATTTTTGATTTGGCAAAAAAAAAAAAAATTCTAGCAAAAAAAAAAAGATCAAATGTCAAATTAAATGTTTTATTATTATTGTCGAAAAAAAGTTTGTTTCAATTAATCCAATAGAATAAGAAAAACTAATACAAGAATTCAATGGAATTAAGATCATGAATGAATCATGTTATTAATTATTGATTATTTGTGATGATAATTTCCTCACACTTTACATACAAAGCTAATCTGTTGATCTGATTAAGAAATTTAAATCCGATTCAATGGAATTATTATGTGCGTGTGCGTGTGTGTTTTGTAATTTTTTTTATGGTTGCTTTTACCATCAATATTTCATCATCGATTGCAATTTATTGTTGTTATTAATGTAGTTGATGATGATGAAAAATGACCCCATTAATATTGATGATTGATTTCGATCATCACAATCAGGAGAAAAAGCTAGTTTTAAACTTTTAATCATATTATATATGAAAAATGCAATTTGTTGAATGGATTTCTATACTATAAATATATAAAAATAATTATCATCATTATCAAAAAGAAAAAATGAAAGAAAAAACCACAAAAAAAAAAAAAAAATGGGCGCTAAAATAAAAATGAAATCTCCTGGGTGTTTGCTGTGTGTGTGTGTGTGTGTAAGTTGAAACCAAACCAAAACAAAAACCAAAATAAAAAAAATCATTGAACCATAGATTTTATTTCATATGATCTTGAAAAATGGTGACAAATTATTCATATGTCCGGTTATGAAACACAATTATAATGCTATAGAGAAAAAAAAAAAAGTTTTTCATCAGTGAAAATGTTATATACACCTTTTGTTTTCTGTTTGATGAAACAAACAAAAAAAGGAAATCCAGAAAGTGTGTCTAAATTTAAAACAATAGAAAAAAACAAATGGTTAAAACTAGAAAATCCAAACAGCAACCAAAACAGCAACAATGATCCAGAAAAAAACGAACATAAAGTTCATCGAACCCTATCGTGTTCGTTTTTTGTTGTTGTTGTTGTTGTTTGAATCAGGCGACACTAAAAGAAAATGAAAAAAAAAATCCAACCAAACATCATCATTATCATCATTTATGATTATCATGGATATATTATGAAATTGTAACATAAACACGGAAGCCAACCAACCAACCAACCAACCAACAAACAACAACGATGAAAAATCACGGTCATGCATACCAATGACCAAATGAGTGCATTTTAAAAAATTTTTTTCAATAAATAAAAAAAAACCTGGCCACCACCATCATCATTATCGACACATATATAGATTAGAATAAATAAAAATTCCAATGAATGTTAATTGAAATTTGATTATCACCATCACATTATGTTGATATGATAAACACACACACATTCAAATTATGATGATGACAACGACCCGGATACATCATAAAAATGTTTTTCATTTTTTTTTCGCATACCAAAAAAGAACATTTTACCCGTTTCTATTTACATGATGGTAATAATAATAATAATAATATGACAAGTATGCCACACTATGAGAACTAATCTATCTTATTTTCATAATGAACACAACAAACACATGCCGACACACAGGTAGACAGACAGATAGACAGGTGTATCCATCATGGATGGATGTCATATCATATCAATGTAATATGAAATCATCAGAAAAACAGGGGAAAAAAGAGATAGATAAGTCATCTTTATTTTGGACATGAATTCAGAGAAATGAAGAAAAATATTTTTTTCTGGTATACAACCATTCCAACCAGCCAAAACCAATCATCAAGTGATTTATTATTAAAGTGGGACACATGCACAAGCACACACACGACAAACCAATGTAAAGAGGTATATATATTACCACGGTAAAATTTCTTGATTTGATTAAAATCAAGATTAGCATTAGATTTGCAATGTGGTAAGAAAAAAACAAGAATCAGAGAGGGAGAGTCGGTTTTTCAAAAAAAAAAAAAAAAAAATTGTAACAGAATACCAAGGCCACTACATTTAAATGGATAAAAAAAAATTTTATTTCAAATTCGGCATTGATTGACGAAAAAAAATACATTTTTTTTTTACAAACAATTACCATACAATGATCTTCATACTACATGGATAATCTTTTTTTGATCATTATATACAATCGACTGACCAACCGACCAACCAACCATCACAATCATCATCATCATGCGGAACACAGGCAATCAATCAAAAAAAAAAAAATTGTCTGGGGAAATGCAGGACTGGACATCCACATAGAGATTTGACCATTTATTCATTCATTCATTCTATTCATAAAAATTTTGATGAATTTTTCTCATCATCATCATCATCGGACATCGTCGATGACATCAATTTTTTTCAGTTGTATGAAAGAAAAAAATATATTTTTTCTCTTGAATCAAAATTAAAGGATTTTACCCTTTTTTCATTTCAATGGATGGATTTTTTTTGTCGTTGTTGTTGTTGTTGTTTATCGGCTATAGAAAATGAGCAATGGCATAGAGGGCTTTTCTCATTTCGAGAGAAAAATAAAATGAAAAATTTGAACCCGAAAAAAATCGATTAATTTCTTTTTTGACCTAAGCACAGTTTCATACAAACAAAACACAAAGAGTCGAAGCAAATACATACAATCGTATAAATTAAAGTATAAAATTCCATTGAAAAAAAAAATTAAATAGTGCATCTTCATTTGAATTCATGCAAAAAAAAAAAAATTTTTTTTGTTGTTATCATCATCTTGATTTTTTACATAAATTCATATACTTGTTGATGTGTCTGTAAATGATGATAATATGATTACTATATAAATGTGTGAAACCTAAATACATGTTGTTGTTGTTGTTGTTGATGATGATGGAAATATAATGATAACAATCAAGAAATAAAAAAAAACATGCATTCATTGTTCAAAAAAAACATTCCGATTATATTTTGTATATATGTTGTAACCGGTATGTTTATATCGCCCAAGTTCATAGATCACATCATCATCATAATGGTTGCTTGGTTTTCAGGTCATTATTATTATCATTACATCGTAAAATGGTTGACATAATGACATTTTATATTCAAAAAATTCGGTGGTCCATTTTTTTTTTCCAGCTCACAAGTCTTTTTAATGAATTTTTTTTTCGTTGCTGTTTTACATGCAATGACAATTAAGTGAAAAAAAATTCACTGAAAATGATCCACTTGTAATCAACTCCTTTCAACATCAATTATCATGCAAAACATACACTAGTGACCTGAATTTTAAAATAGAAAAAAAAATCTTTTGTGAATTTTTTCAATATTTTATTACTTACCGTTTGTTGGATCAAATGCAAATAATTGCTGCTGTTGCTGTTGTTGTTGATGCCGTGATTTATGATGATGATGATGATTTGAATTTGATGATTTCTGTGCAATCGAAGATCGTTGTTGATGATTTGTTTGATGGCAGTTCTGATTATTATTATTATTATTATTATTATTCTGATGTACAGCAGCCAATTGTGATTGTATTGAATCAAGATGACCTAATAGATTTTGTTGTTGTTGTGGCGTGAATGATGTTGATGTTGTCACTGTAAATGGACTAGATGATGATGTTGTTGCTGTTGATGATGAATGATGTGATGGTGATATACCACCAACGTTGCCACCAATAATAATACCATTATTATTAACAGATGATGATGGTAAAACACCGGCAACAAATTGTCCCGATATAATTAATTGTTGTTGTTGCTGTTGTGGATCAGAAAGAAAATTTGATTGCTGTAATTGTAATTGTTGTTGTAATTGATTAGGACTAATTTGTTGTTGAGATTGTTGTAATAAAAGCCCTGGATGATTATGATGATGATGATGATGAAACAATGGTTGTTGTTGCGATTGAAGAAATATCTGATGATGATGATGATCATGTGATTGATGAGCATGATGTGGATGATGATGAGAATGGCTTGGTTCATTTTTCGATCCTTGTGCTCCCATTTTTTTTCTATTCACGTGTTATGTCACGATGATGAATTTAAAAAAAATTATATTATATCACAAAAAAGGGAAACTTTTTTTTCAATTCAAAAAATAATCAAACAAATTATTTGGTAATCGAATGAATCATTCTTCCTGTGTATTGTATATATGGTGGTAATCGTGTGAAATATTGAAATTCATTCGACAATAAATAGACGACGGAAACAAAATCATCATCATCATCATCATCGTTGTTGTTGATAATAAACAATGCAAAGAATTTTTCATTTGTCAAAAATACTCTTAAATGTCATTCACATTATGATGATGATGATGGTGATAATTAATCAGATTGACAGAAAAAAGCCATTTTTAAGTTGAATAAGAATGATTCACCAGAAATTATCATTCAATGAACAGAAAAAAATGATGATTTGTCATCCATCGAACGATACGAATAAAATCGAAACCATAGATTTTCTTTTCTGTTGCAGTGATTGTTTGTCAGCGGTCATTCAGCACAGAGAATCTGATGAAAATAAAACAAAAACACAATTAGATTATTTGAATATATAGAAATAAAATTCAAAAGAAACAAAACAAAATTCACATACACACACACACAGAGACGGACAAAATTGGAACTAATTAAATTCATATGGCTCACACACAGCAGTTACATATGATGATGATGAATGAATGAATCACTAAGTGAGCAAATAAAATCAACATATACAATGAAAAATATCTCTTTTTGTCAACAACAACAACAACAAAAAAATTGATTAAATTGAATTTACCATATCAGCGCATTAGATTTATCATTGAAATCTTCTTCATATATACAACAATGATATGCAGTATATGTAACTTGAAACACGATTGGTGTGGTTGTTTTGAAATCTGAAAAAAAAATAAAAAAGAATTCCACGAAAAACAAAAACACAGCCGATTTAGATATGTTTTCTTTTCTACACACACACAAATGCAAATATTGTTTCGGTTCGTTCTGACGTTGAACAAACGTTTGAAAAAAAGTTAATGAAGTAAATCATCATCATCATCATACCCTCGTTGATTATCAACAACCAAACACACACGACACATGACAGCAAAAAAAACAACAACAACAAGCAAACAAAAAATTGATATACATACCATTCATTGTCATATATAGATCATTATGGATCATAATCGAAGATGTGTCATTGATGATCATGTGCAACAAATAAACAAAATGCACACAGAGACATGAATAAATAAAAAAAAAATCAACAAACAATGATGAAAAAGAAGATTGGAAAGCAATGAAAAAAAATGAGATCTATTTGATGAAAAGTCTTTCTGAAACATCATCATCATCATCATTAACAACAACAACAACACAATGACAAATATGAAATCGAGTTCATTTGGATTTTAAAATTCATTCTCATTCTCAAATTATCATCATTCGAATGGAATGAGAGTAAATAGGGGGTCTATACATTTTTCCAGAAAAAAATTGACGAAAAAAAAATAAAGGTTGGACCCGATGACGACGACGATGATTAGAAATGATGATGATGATGATTCGAATATAGCCGATTTGGGCAGTATAGAATTATTAATTGTGAGTGTGTGTGTGTGTGTGTGTGTGGTATGACCAAGCTTGCTCATTTTTTTCGTCGTCGTTGTTGTCGTCTACTTCTTCTTTTTTCTTTATTCATTTCAACAGGAATGGCATATGTTGGGAGGAAAATTTTTTCGCCCTTTCTTTTTTATATTACAATACACACACAACCAAAGTGCATCAAAGTAAAAGCATAGAAATGTGTTGGTTAACAATGTTATTTCGGCATATGCGTAAACAGATCAGCTCAGCTGTCAATAAGTAGAGGCATATAAAATTGTTGAAAAGAATTTCATTATTGTAGAAGAAGCATAGAAATATCAAGTGTTTGAATTTTTTTTTTTTTTTGAGCTGTCTGCATGATCACGTGATTGTTTGTGTGTGTGTGTGAGTGATGCACGTTTAATCGATTATTTTTTTTACAATAATTGTTTCAACCACCAAAAACAATAAAATAAAATGATGATTACAAATAATCAATCTGAAGAAAAAGTCATCATCATCCAGTCGAAAAAAATGATGAACCATCATCGATTAAACGTGCTAAATAATCAACAAATGAATGAAATCAAAATGGATATAAATCGGCCTGATTTATTTCGATTGATGATATTTTTCATACATACCGGATTTGCATAACAAAAAAAAATCCTCACTCATAAACGTCATATAAACAACGGATCTCATAAACATAAACGTCAATTATCAAATGTTTCATGTTCGTTTGTTTATTTGTTTGTTTTACGACAAAATATTTCAATTATCAAAATATACATTGTGTACAACAATGAAAATAAAAACAAAACAAAAATTCAATGGAAATTTATTCATCAACGACATTGTCATTCATTTCCTTTATTCAATTTGCATTTGCTGCTGCTGCCGATAATGATGATGATGATGATGATGATATGGTTGTGGTATTTCCACTTTAATACGACCTACAATGTATTGATTGATTGATTCATTCATTGACAGAAAAAAAAACTTGAAAATATGTTGCAATCAAGATTCAATTTAAACATCTTAATAATTATTTTCATTATGAAAATTATTGCCATTGCAATAAGTGTTGAACATTCAAAACTGCTGCACAATAATAATCGAAAAAATTTGTCATCAACAACGACTTCGACTTCGACTACGTCGAAAACGAAAACGACAACAACTTCAACGACGACGACGACATCGACAACAATTTTGAATGTAAAACATTTGTCCGGTAATCAGGATCTATTTTATAGCGATAAAATCAACGATAATGATGATAAAGATTCTATTGAATTGCCAACATCATCGAAAACAAATAGACAGCATGAAATTTCAACGACACTAGCAACAATTTCGACTTTGACTACTTTGGCTACATCAACAACAGTCGCTAATAATACCGAATCATCATCATCATCATCATCATTGACGGCAAAAAAAATTGAAATAATTTCCTATTGTAATGATCCAGGACGGCCGACCAAATCTCAAATATCACCGGTACAATTAACATATGTAGAAGATGAACAAGTACAATATACATGTGATGAATTTATATCATTAAAACAATATCGTAAATGTTCAAAAGGAAAATGGCTAAATGAAATGCCATTATGTGGTAAAGCATTTCGTCATAATGATCTTGTACAGGCATTCATTTATGAAGCTGAAAATGGTTTTCCAAAACGATTACTTAATGAATACAATCTAACCAATAATCTGCAACCATTCAATAAATTTGGTAATTCATTTATTGCTGAAAGATATTCACATCCATTGCGTGCACAAGGTGCTCGAGATTATTATTGGAATCTGCTTATAGCAAAACCTGCATTCATACAAATGATACGGATAAGTTTTTCCATTGTTAATCATCTTGTTGATAGAAAACTTCGTTCGAATGTTTTTGATATTGTTTCCGTAGCCACAAATCAATATCGTGATTGTAAACGTGTAGCGAATAATTCCGTATCACCTTGGCATTATAATTCCACAAGATTTGATTATTGGTATTTTTGTCGTGCAAAATCCGAAGATGATTTTCATAAAGAAATTGAACAAATGACAAATCAAATACGTATTGAAACTACATCGCAAGTGCCTATTAAATATGATCTGGCTACCTTCATATTGGCTGAACAATATAGTAATAATGATAATTATACGGATCCAATTTGTGGATTGCCAGAAGTTCCAGTTGGATTAGAAGCACGTGTTATAAATGATCAAATAAATTATGTATTCCAATGCAGAAAAGATTTTCAACGTGTTGATAATTATGGTGGTCAATTTTTGACATTACAATGTGGATATGATAATCGTTGGCATGGACAATTACCAGTGTGTTTACCAACACGTAGTTGTGATAAATTTGTATTGGAAAATGATGAAAAACATACGTATTTAGTTGAAGTTTATAAATATGATCGTGTTTTCTATCTGAATGATACTGAATGGATTCCAATACGTGGTAGTCGTGCATTCTTCCGTTGTATAGATGAAACAAATATTTTTGTTGGCAAAGAAATACGTATCTGTGATGATGGTGAATGGACAAATAGTCTGCCCAATTGTCTACCAACAAGTTCAGTAAAATCTGAAGGTAATTTTTCTTTGAATTCTATAATGTTTTTTAAAAAAACTTCATTTCGTTTTTTTCACATTTATTGATTAGATTCGCTAAAAACTAGTTCAATACTGATGATTATATTATCGACATTACTATTTACATTTCTTATGTCTAGCTGTATGATTTATTTTTTCCTGAAAATTCGTAACCAACAACAGATGGGTCCAAATAATAATGGTGGTATTATGTTACCTGGTATGGAACTTTCTGATGCTGGTGGTGGTGGTGGTGGTTATTATTCAACAGCTGGTAAACAAATCGGTGAAGAAGAATATGAATCAATCGATTATTTGGATGAACATCGTTATGCACCATATCATGATATTCAAAATGACCAACAACATCAACAATCGTTGAATGAAGAACAACAGTCTATCAGTGATTATTATGAAAGAATGAATCCAAATGTCATTCGTAGCCATTCCAATTCATCGGCACCAATTGTATTGGATTCCTATTATGATGATTCTAATGTACGTCCATCATATCTAGCAATGAGACGAAAAGTATAAAAACAAAACATACATATATACAAAATATTAATTTTCAAATCATGATACATCATCAATCAAAATCATTCCATTCTAAAGCGATAGATGGCAAATCATGATGTAATTTTTTTTATTTTACTGTTTTACTGATTTAAATCAATCGATTTAAACGATTATTTGAATGAAAGTTTTTTTTTAATGAAAAAAACCAATATATTGATGATGATTAAATCAATTGATCAATTTCATCAAACATAATCACTTGATTTTTTGTTGTTGTTGTTGTTGTTGTTATTGTTGATATTTTATTTGTGAAATGTAAAAACTTATTTTTCTCCATTTTTTATTATTTGCCAATTTGCCTCGAGCTTACCACCACCACAACAACATTTACCTGTGTGTATGAAAATGTATTTTTAGCATCCACAATATAAAATAATGATAATGATAATTATCGTTGTTGTTGTTGTTGTTATTTTGTTGTTGTTGTTGTTGTTGTGGTAAACACTAAAATACCACAAACACACAGAACACATGCATACACGCCATATGAACATTGTGGAATGATGAAAAGTTTTTTTTCTGAAAATTGATTTGATTGGTTTAATGAATGAATGAATGAATGAATGGATGGAAAAAATCATCAGAAATAAAAAAAAATAAAATATGCCCATTTTGATTAATAAGACATCAAAAATTCATAAATTCATTTTTTTTGTTTGATATTCTGATTTTTTATAGATTCACAGTGATGATGATCACGATCATGAATTTTTTGTTGGAAGGAAATGAAATGACAAATAAAAATTACTTGTTGTCAACGGCAATCGATGAATTGAATAGAGATGTGAAGAGAGAAAAAAAATTATGATGAAGATGATGATTAAAGATTGCTTGAATTTCAATCATTCTCTCTCTCTCTCTCACACACACACACACATTCATTGATCATTCCATTTGGAATATTAATTGTTGACAATTTCTATTATTTGACTAAAAAGGGGTTAACCAAAAAAAAAAAAAAAAAAAAAATCTTTGAAAATGAAATTTGTATTTTTTTTCTTCAACAAAAAAAAAATCGATTGATTAACTAATTAATTAATTGATTAATTAATTCGAAACCAGATACGCTTTTTTTTTACTTTTGATTGAATTCAGAAAAAAAACAGTGCAAGTGTGAAAGAGAAACTAGAGCTCCTTGAAATGTGTTTGTAATTAATTAAAGTTGATCTGTATGATGACTAGTACTGATGATGATGATGATCTTGGAACGATAAATAAACAACAACAACAACAACAACGGATAATATAATTGAGTAACAACGAAAAATTTTCTCTTGAAAACAAGTTTTCATCTGTCTCTCTCTCTCACACACTCTCTCTATAGTTTGATTTCTTATAAGCATCATCGTTGTTGGCATCATGACATTTTTTTTTCATTTCATTTCCAATCACAATGATGTGTCGCACACGCATCAATACAACCATTGATGATGATGATGATGATGATTGAGATACTGGGATGACAACAAGAATTATTATCATCATCATCATCGATAAAAATGATGATGATTTGTGGTGAAAAAATGTAAATCAATAAATGAATGCAAAAAAAAAATTAATAATTTATCGGAGGTTTTTTTTTCTTGTTGGTAAAAAAAAAAATTCCTGATGGCAAGCTACGACATTTTTTTTTTCTTTTTAGTTTGCAGACAGAATTTTGGGATTTTTTTTTGTTGTTCGTTGAAGAAAAAAAAAAATAAATATCAAGGGAAGAGAAATCATCATCATCATCTACTAGTCATCATCATTATTAAATGGTTAACCTTCAAACACGTGTGTGTGTATTTCTTGTGTATGTGTTCACTGTGTTTGTTCATTTCATTGGTTTTTTGTTTGTTTCAAACAACTACCCAACTACATTTATTGAATGGAAAGAAATAAACAAACAAAACACACACACACACACACACACACATATCGCAAACTTGAATCTAATATTTTGGATTTTTGTTTGTTTGTTTGTTTGTTTGTTTGTTGTTAATGATATATTCAATCAAATTCGCTATTATTTTTATAGCATCTTCAAAATTGTGTCTCTCACTGTCAGTCAATCATTCTGCAATCGATCGACCACCAATGATGTGATGGTAACATCATCAACACAACACAACCACACAGCCAATCAACCAACCATCGATGATCATCATCAATTTTTTTCTTTCACATATATAGCCAATTGTTTGTTTTATTTCTTAACATTTTTTATTTTTATTCTTGGTTGGTTGATCGATTGTTGTTATTAGGAATCGATCTGATCTGATCTGTTGATTATGATGATATTTTGTTGAATGATCAATTTTGTAAATTCACTTGAAAAAAAACAAGTTTAAATGGAAAAAATCAAGTGTAATTCATTACCAAATTAATTGGGAGACAACAAAAATGAAATCTGCAATTATAATTTCATATATATTCATTCATCGAACGGTAGTAGTGGCGGTTTGTATTTAAAAGGTGTGTGTGTGTGTGTGTGTGTATGTTCGATGTAATTGATTATCAACATCAATGATATCATGGTCATCATCATCTCTCTTTTTTTCTCTGTGATACACACACACACAAGTACACATACACAGGCGCACAAACTAAGACACAGAAAAAAATGGATCTTTAAGAACGTTTAAAATGACGATGACGACGACAACGAAGAGATTCATGAAAATGATCCATGAAACAGAAAAAAAAATCATTTCCACATTCAATAATAACTTCAATTCGATGAATATGAAATTAAGAAGAAAAAAAAAAAAAAATATGTCCAAATCAATTTTTGTGTGTGTGTGTGTGTATGTGTGCATAAGTGCAAACGATAGAAAAATAAGCGAAAGAGACACAGAGAGAGAGAGAGAGATTGATACATTAGATTACGACGATGATGATGGTGAGAATGGTGGTTGATTTTAAGATGAAAAAAACGTCATGAAAATGATTAACATCATCATCATCATCATCAACTTTAATCATCATCATCATCATCACATACCATCTAATCCAAGTAAAAGTTTTTTTTTCGTGAATTTCTTCATTCAATCATCATCAGGAGAGAGAGAGAGAAAAAATTCCATTTTTTACTATTAATTCTCGTTTGATGTCGTCGTTGTTGATGTTGTTTACGAAAATGAAACAAAAATCAATGATGAAGGGTAAATTATGAAAAAAAAGAAACAACGACAAAGACGACGACGAAAAAATTCTTTACCAAAACATTTGACATTCGAATGTTTCGATTCAACAACAGCAACCTGTTCTATTCATAAATTCTGTTCTTTTTTTCTTTTGTTTTTTTTACTGTGTTCTAATCATAAATTCCCGAATGAAAAGTGATAATGATTGATTCAAATAATAACGTCAACAACAACAATGATACAGATGATGAATCGTCATCGAATGTATTGAAAATGACTAAATTTAATAATATTAAAATCAACAACAACAACAACCATTTGGATCGACAATCAATTTCGGTTGATGTAATGGCCAACAACCATGATGAGATGTCATCATCAATGAAAAAAATATCATTAGCATGGCATAATTTACGTTATGATTTTGATGATGATTTTCAATCCATTCATAGACAGCAACAGGATTATAATCACAATTATCGAAAAAAGATTAATAAATTCAGTGTTAAAAATCTTTTATTATTTCATCAACGTCGTGGATCGATTCCATCGACGCCCACCATCACTACTACCACCGCCACAACAACATCGAATCATCCTACAGTAACAAATAAAACAAGACAATCATCACCAATTTTACGACGATTGACCGGATATTTTGAATGTAATACTGTCAATGGTTTATTAGGTCCATCTGATCATGCACGGAAAACATTACTGAAATGTTTGACAAATTCAATGCGTTATTCATCCGGATTATCAAAAGATTCTCGAATCTATTCACGAATAGCCAATGATAGAAAAAAATCATCAAACTATATAGCTTGGATCCAACGTAATCTTGATGATCTGATTACATTCAATCAAATGTCCGTTAGAGAATTACTACTATATTCATTCGTGTTTCGTAATGGAATTCTTTCATTATTTAAATCTGGTCAATATATCGATAAAATTCTGGAAGAATTATCATTGAAAAAAGATGAAATAATTGATAAAAAATTTCATGAATTGTCATTTGGTGATAAACGTCTTATTGTTATTGCACAAGAAATGATGTCCATCAAATCGATGCCTTCGTTTATGTTTCTAGATGAACCATTCGAATTTCTAGATATTATTCAAGCTGAAAAGTTATTATTTTCAATGCGAAATATTTCAAGAAAACATTCCATCACCATGATCATTTCAGCACAAACATCTGACGCCTATTTGATATCTTTACTGGATAAGCTATACATTTTAGCACATGGTGGTGTTTGTATCTATTCAGGTTCACCCGGGTCATTGATATTGACGATGGAAAAAGATTTAGGAATCTTTAATCAATCATCACAAGATAATGATAATGATGATGATGAAGAAAAAAATGATGAATTTGTGGCTATTGAAGAAATGTTGAAAATTTCTTGTTTAGAATTTACTAATCCAAAAGTAAGAAAATTGGCCGATAAAACCCTGTTGGAAGAACATCAATTTTTATCATCACATCTACAAGAATTGAAATTCCAACCGAATGGTATTGAAATTCCTGGAAAATGTTTCACCATTGTTGATTTATTCATTCAATCATTTCGACATTTTTCCTTACTATATTTAACTCGTTGGTTTCCATTGAAATTGTTGACACCAATTCTATATTATCTATTTTTAGCATTTTTTCTTATCGACTCAAAAATGATCATTGCTAATCGTTGTTATGATTCAATTAGCCAACGTTTAATTGTGCCATCAAATCAAACATGTCAACAAATTGTCCACGAACAAATGATGATTGATGGCTATGTGACATATCAAATGTATTCAATGTGGTTCGTAGCATCATGGTCAATATTAATCACATCATTATATTGTTCGAAAATGTTGAATTTATTTCGAAATGATCATCAAAATCGTATGTATATTATTTATGTGTGTTTTCCACATAATAATCATTTGTTTTTTTTCCCCATCCAAAATAGGCCGCTATTCATTCATTGTGTTTGTTTTTTCATCATTTTTCATCAATCTTATTGAATCATTATTTTGGTCTACAATTTTCACTTGTCTGATGTATTTTCTTGTTGATCATACAATCATTGAAAATTATTATCATCATCATCATCATCATACAGCAACGACAAATGAATCAATAATGAATAAATGGTCAAATGTTAATATTTATCGTTTTGGTCATATTTTATTATCATATTGGCTGCTATATCTTTATCATCAAGCATATGGAATATTATTAAGTTGTGCTCTATATCCAAAATTGTCAACAACAAAAAGTGCCAATAATTATTCAATTGTAATCATTACATCAATTGGCCAATTGATTGTGATTATATTTCAATTATTAAATAATAATATTCTAGTCATTATTGATCGTATACATTCATCAATATTGCGTTCAATTGCAATGACAATAATTTCATTGCAACCAATCTATAATTCTGTTTTATATGCAATATATGGTTTAGAACGTAGCTGTGATCATTATTTTAAAATTCATCATCATCATCATCATCATCATCATCAAAGTCATCAAAATGATTATCATCATTCAAGTAGATACTCATCATCAGTATTTAAACAATATTCAATACCATTAGAATTGGATGTTATTTTTAAACACTTAATTTCAATAGTGATTATAGTGATTGTGATTCGTTCGATTTCATTTCTATTAGTGTGGTATTATTTTTGTCCAAAATTTCGTATTCTTTGTTTATCATCTACAAATAACAATTCAACAAAATCATCGTCATCAAATCAGAATCAATTGCAATTAATTCCAATCGATTATGGACCGTTGAATCGAAAAAAAGCCAAAGTTCGTATCATACAGCCAATATTTAAAGATGATGATGAAGTTGAATTTTGTCGTGATAAAATTCAATTAGCATGGCGTTCATTATCATTATTTGCTTGTTGTAAAAAATCTTCCAATCAAAAATGTGATACGAATCAATCATCGAATTTGATTCTCAACAATTTAAATGGACAAGTTCGTCTGGGAAGTTTGAATGCTGTGATTGGTGGTGGTTGCGAAGGGGGCAATGGTGGTGATGGTTGTTGCCAAACATCTATTATTGGTTGTCAAAATGGAAGTATTCGTACACTTTTACTTCGAATTTTTAGTGGTCAACTCAAAACACGATTAACATTGGATTCACGATTTTATGAAAGTCAATTTGCAACTAATAATGTATGCTTTATTAGCCGTTATCCACGAGAACATTTGATTCCCGGTTTGACTGCCAAACAATTATTGATTTTTTCATCAACAATCAAAAATATTGATGATGATGATTATAGTAATGGTCGATTGGATCATGAAGAAATGGCCCTGAATATTTTGGATGAATTAGATCTTGGACATCGATCCGGAACATTCGTGGATGATTGTAATCAATCGGAATGTAAACGTTTAGCATTAGCATTGGAATTGACATCATTACAAATGCCAAATCTAATCTGTATTGATGAGCCAACATTCGGTTTAGATGCAATCAATTCAGAACAATTTGTACGTTGTCTTCGACAATTGACTGATCGCCATTCCATAACATTTGTGGTATCATTTCAACATGCACAACATCAAATTTTATCACAATTTGATCAAATTTATTGCTTAAGTTCAAGTGGTCGTTGTATTTATTCGGGCCCCGCAACACCTCGATCAATTCGTCAACATTTTAATCAATCTTTTCATATGAATCATGAAACATCCTCATCTTCTGTATCATGTAAACGTGCTATTGAAGAATTACTTCGTTATTCATGTTTGGATTGTACAATACCAGCAATTGAACAATTGGTTAAACAAAATGATCAACAAACATTGAAAGCAGATGAATTATTACCACAGGAAACAACATCATTGGAATATAAAGGAATCAAATCAAATATTGCATCATTTTCAATAATGTCCATAATGCGGCTTAGTCATCGTTATCGTGGCCGTTGGTTATATTCACTTTGGTTTTATTGGATCATCTTTGCAACGATATGTTCGATGACTGCACTATTGTTGAATGGATTATTTGGTTCAGAAATCACCCAGCCAGATGGTTGTATACGTAAAGATATTTTCAATGCAACAGCCATTTGTCCACAATATCGTACCGGTACGAAAATGATTTGGGATGAAGATGGTGAACAACTTTGGGATAATTATCGTTATGTTTATATTTCTACACATTTATTTTTGATGATTATCCTGTTTCAATCGGCAATGATTTTCTATCGTGAAATTAAGGTTTTTCTACATGAACATCAAAATGGTAAGTTGGTGATTTTGATTGATTTGGATTGAGTTTTAATATAACTAAATTTATTGATTTATTTTCAGGTTGGTTCAGTTCGAGTGTATTTTATTTTTCGCATTTAATATGGATTGATTTTTTGCCAATCATACCGATAACAATGATTTATCTTTATTTAATCGATATCGATCATTTGGATCATTATTCTTATGAACCAGACGATATTATCGACACTGATCATACAACAACATCACAACAACAAACATATTATTGGTGGGCAGTAATACTCATATCGATTGCAACGGAATCAATTCATAGCCTCGGACATTTAGTGGTGATAATATCAATAAATCGTATCCGTTCAGAAACAATTTTTCTTATTATATTGACATTAGTTTTTTTACTATCGATAACATCAAATTTCCAGATTCATACCAGATTTACATTATCATTTTTGAATGTATTTCGTTATCTAAACGAAGCAATACTTGTACTACATTATGGTTATTTTCATTCCTGTACAATTCCATTATCACGTTCATCATATATCCGTCAACAACAGCAGCCAATTTCATTGGTCCTTTACAGGATTGATTCGGATTTAAATCCAGACATTCATTTCTATCATTGTTTTCGTGTACTGATCTATCAGACAATTTTATTTCGTTTTGGTTCCTGGTTTGCATTGTTGCTTCGTGCAAATGGTGATCGTATATTTCATCATCATCGATTATGGATAACTGGAAAATCTTCATCATCCACAAATCAATCATATTTGGATCATTATGAATGGTCAACAACAACGGCAACAGCAGCAACAAGACATTCATATCATCACGATCAACAAACGGAACAACAACAACAACAACAAGAGCCATCGCCATCAACTTCAACGGAAAGTACAGTGAGCGATCTCAGTGCAAAATTATCATCATCTCCTTCTAGTCTTGATGGTCAAATTAATAACCATTCTGATGATGATGAGAAATTAGAATTTCGTCTGTGAAAATTGAAAAAAATGACTAATAATTTTCTTTTGTACATCTAACTGCTACTACTATTATTAACTAACCAATAAAATTGTGATTTAAAAAAACAAAATTTTTTTTAATCATCCTGTTGACCATGATGATACATGACACATGATATTTGGTCAACAATATTGTCGTTTGACCTTTGAGGTTAAAAATGTTGTTGCTGTTTCCTGTCACGGTCGACAGAAAAGCATTGGATGATTTTTTGTTCGAAAAAAAAATCTTCCAATCTGGATTTCAGTTTCAATCATGACACAACAAAGACAACATCCACAACAACAAACAAACGAATTGAATATTTCATTAGTATGGCATAATCTTCGTTATGAAGCATCACATTGGCTTCATCATCGTGAAAAGGTACCAATTTTACGATGTTTAACCGGATCACTTGAATATCATAATTTAACCGGTTTTATGGGTCCAAGTGGATGTGGTAAAACAACATTCATCCGTTGCCTGACCGGTAATATGGTTGTACGTTCTGGATTGTCATCTGAAACGGAAATTTATTTGAATCCGGTGGAAAAACGTAAACCAATTATTGGTTTGATTGATCGTGCCGTACATGAAATGATTTATGGACAATTAAAAGTTGGTGAAGCTTTACGTTATGCATTTTTATTCAAAAATCGTTGTATCTCTAAACATCAAATGAATGAACATATTGAACGAATTATTGAAGAATTAATGCTTGACAAAAAGATTCTGAAACGTCGTTTTAATCTTTGTTCCGGTGGTGAACAAAAACGTATTGCCATTGCACAAGAACTAATGTCCCTACGACGTCAACCATCATTTTTGTTTGTAGATGAACCAACCACTGGATTAGATTCAAATTCAGCATTAGTTGTAATGAAATGTTTACGTCGTTTAGCTGATAATCATCGAATGTCTGTGACCATTTCCATTCATACACCAAATAGCGATATTTTACATCTTTTGATAAACTTTATGTTTTAGCTAAAGGCGGTGTTTGTATTTACGCTGGTCCACCAGATCAGTTACGTCCATTACTAAAGGAACAATTTGGTCTAGATTCAAGTTGTGATGATCATCAAGAAGATGAATTGGAAAAACCACCGATTGAAGAATATCTTAAAATCGCTTGTATGGGTAAGTTTGTCAACGAAATGAAAAAATTCAATTGAAACACTGATTTGTTTTTTCCCCATAAAGGAATCGAAAGCCAAAAAGTACAAACATTGGCCCATAATGTTCAAAAACTTGAACATGATCGATTGATGCCATATTTCGATCAATTGGATTTCCTACCATATGGTGTTCCACAACATTTTAAACGTTTTCTATTCAAAGATTTTATCATTGAATTCATCAGATTATTTCATATAATGTTTATGATCAATTATAAATCAGTATTGGCAGTTTTATTGACATTCACCTATCTTTTTGTGTTTATTTCCACCGTATTCAATGGCGAAGAAATTGTTCGTTCGAAAGCTTGTTGTGAATTGCCTGATCAATCAAATTTTTCATTATCGAAAATTTCAAATTTCATTATCGAAGATAATAATGGTGACAACAACAATGGACGAAATTTAACCGATCTAGAAAATTGTCACGATAATCTTCGTAATAGTGCACATCATGATTCATTTATAATGCATCAATCAATGACAACATTGTTCATTTCATCCGTTGCAATGGGTCTTGCTTGTTTTTTATTCGTACCAATATTGAAAGTATTTCGCAATGAACACCGTAATCGTTGGTATTCAGTGGGAACATGTTTTTGGTCATTAACATTAATCCAATTGATTGAAAGTATTCTTTATGTATTGACCAGTACATCATTGATTTATTTTACAATGGATTTTCTATATCTGGATCAAAATCAATTCAATTGGACAAGATTTGGTCATTTTCTATTCTTTTATTGGATTGAATTTTTATATATGCAATCATTTGGTCATTTTTTACTCATTTTAGCTGGTGATCGTATACAGATTTTTATGGTTCTTGTTCAAATATTCATCACTGTATTGTTTGTTTTCGATGGCCATTTCATCATTCTTGAACAATTGGGAAATCCATGGGCAATCAAGATTTCAAATTTTTTGGCTTCAAGATTTATAAACAATGGTGTATTGTATGCATTTTATGGCCTGGACAGGTGTGATGATCCATTGACAGAATATTCAGTTATGCTTCATAAATATTCGGTTGATGTTGAGAAAATTTTTGAAAATTTAAAACCCGTTTTTCGAAACATGTTCATTCTTCGTTTGCTAACATTGATTTGTATGTGGATTCGTTTCAGTTTCAAAGGTAAAGTTAACCGAATGTATCGTCAATCAGCGAATGATGGTGTATCATCTATAGTGGATTATGATCAAGACAGACAAACATCAAAATCATCATCAAATAATCGAAAAAGAAGTAAAAATTGTTTTAAAGTTCGTTTCACTACAAGAATCAAACCAGATGTAGAAACAAAATTTGAAAATTTTTGCCGTGGAAAAATACATTTAGCATGGCGTTCTTTATCGTTATTCGGTGAACGAATGATACGTGAATCACCATCGATTGTAAAGATGACGAATCCAAAATTAATTCTACATAATCTGAATGGCCAATTTCGATTCGGAACATTGAATGCAGTGATGGGTACTTCTGGTTCCGGAAAAACTTCCTTATTAAAGGTATTAAATGGTCGATGGAAAACCTATTTAAGTGCTGAATCACAAATCTATATTAGCAAATATACACCTACACGAATATGTTATATTTCGCAAGAGATTTCTGGCCATCTATTACCCGGTTTGACTGCAAAACAAAGTTTGATTTATGCTGCAAAATTGAAAAATATTGCCGAACGTTTCTATGGACAAACATTTCGTGGTGGCAAGATTGATTATGAAGAAATTGCAACAAATCTCTTGGATGAATTGGACATAAGTCATACGGCATCAACATTTGTTGATTATTGTTCTGATGGTGAACGAAAACGTTTGGCATTGGCATTGGAATTGACATCACTGAGAATGCCAAATCTGATTTGTATTGACGAACCAACAAGTGGATTGGATTCAAATTCAGCTGCAATTGAAATTCGTTGTCTTCAAAAATTGGTTCGACGTCATCTAATCACGTTAGTAGTTAGTATTCATCAACCGAATACAGAAATTTTACAAATGTTTGATCAAATCTATTGTCTTGCACGTGGTGGTGTTTGTATTTATTCGGGTGTAGCCGAAAAAATTGCTGAAAATCTTCGTCTTGTACCGGAGATTAATCTTCCTGATCCATGTGGTTGTACAGTGGTTACCGAAGAATTGATGAAATATTCATGTCTTTCGAATGAAGATCGAATCGTTCAAATGTTATGTCAATTATCGGATCAACGAATTTTAACACAAGAAATCACTGATGAAGAATTTGAAGATGATGTTGTTGCTTGTGATGATGGTATACAGCTAAATCGTCCAAGATTTTCATTGACATCATTTTGGTTTCTATTTTTTCGTAATCTAATGTATCAGAAAAATTATCTCTGGCTAGAAACAGTATCGTATATTGTTTTATACATTTATCATGGATATCTATTGCGGTTTGTGTTCAATCCAAAATCTGTCCATACCAGTGGCTGTGTAAGTTTTGATGAAGATTTTAATCATCTTTCTACGGCTCGTCTTCAGGAACAAATTGATTTGGTCAACAATACCTGTTATACAATATTGATGAATTCATTTTTTTTGCTCATTTTTCTTGTACAATCTGGTTTTGCTTTAACTAAAGAATTTGTCTATTTTTTCAATGAACATCGAAATGGTAAGCAATTGTGATGGCGATGATTAAAATTTTGTTAATGAAAAATTTATTTTTTTTTGAATTCAATAGGATGGTATTCAACAATGTCATTTTATCTAGTGAAATCTGGTTATGAAATATTGGCATTAATTCCAATAATTCTTGTCTATAATTATATTGTTGATGTTTTTGAACCAGTACGACCCGGAATGTATTGGTGGATGGTTATATTAACATTTCTTGGCGCCTTGGTCATCCAAGGCCAGAGTCATCTATTTGCATTGTTGATTGGTTCGAATTTTATCGTATTGATTGTGGTGACATTTTCAAATTTTTTCACATGGTTCGTATTGTCCAATACATTCAATCCGATTGAAGAAATGCATTATGGTTATCAATTTGTTGCACAATTTTCTGTACTACGTTTTATAAATGAAGCATTATTTCAATTACAATATGGTTTTGATCGTTGTAATACTGGCGAAATATCCATTGTGTTGTATAAAATGATGTTATCACGTGATGAACAAGGCCAATATTTTTATCATTGTCTACGAATGTTATTATTTCAGATTGTTTTCTACCGTTCAATTGCATTAGGTGTGTTGATATTCAAATGTAATCCACAACAAAATCGCCGTACACGTGGCCACAGGATTCGTGAAAGTTTTCGACAACGACAAAGTTTACGTTCAAATCAATTGGATACATTCATGCCTGGTATGAGTGCCTGTGAACAAGAATTCAATATTCGAACTTATCAATTATGAATTTATCGATTGATTTTAATTCTTTTGTATTGATCAAAGAATAATGAAATGTATCTAGATTCTTTTTTTAACAAAAAAAAAGATTATGCTCGAAATAAAATTCCAAATAGTTACCATAGTTACCGTGTAGTTGTTGTTTTTCAATTTTGTTTTTGTTTCATTTAACCTTTGTTGTTTCGTTAAAGATTCGTAATCATTTGCTTGATCAATTACAATGGAAACAGATGATTCGTTATCATTGAACAATGAAGCACCAGATTTTCGTTTACTATTATCACATTCACGATATGATCAAATTGAACGTGAATTATTGAAAATGTTCGATGAACGTCATCAAAATTCAAGAAATCGTGGCAATGGCTGTACACATCATCATAATCATTCGTTGGAACGTTCGTTGTTTGATATTGAAGAAGATTTACATAAAATTTTATTACTTCTTGTCAGACAATTGGAACAATTATCGATAAATAATAATAAGAATAAGGTGGAAAATGTTAAAATGGAAATTGAAACACCGGTTAAAATAGAAATGGAAATTCCAAAATCATCCACAATGGCAACAACAAAATGTTCGATGGATAAAGATAAATCTCGAAAAACTTCTTTACATGGCAATCAACAATTGATTGAAAGATCATCGATTCATCCAACTAATCATTCATTGAATCCATCATCAGAATATAGTAAATTTTGTCTGGAAAGTGATGAACGTTTTCGTAATAAATTTAATCGTCTACAATCATCATCGAATCCAATGGAAAAATTATCATCATCATCATTATCATTACCGGTTCAACATCATTTACATTATCGTCTAACGAAGCCGGATATTGATTTGGTTCTCAATAGTGAATCATTCCAACATCAGAGTCATTCAAAATTTATAGCTAAACAACAACAATTGGCTCGTTTGAAACAACACAATCTTTTATGTAATAAAATTAATGAATTACATAATCAACAAGAAAAATCATCAAACCACCATCATCATCATCCACAGCAGCAGCAGCAGCAGCAAACACCACAAAAGATTATCAAACAAATTCAAAGTTTAATTGATGAATTACATCTCGAACATGATTGGATTTCCAAGTAAGTTTAAGTTGTTTCGTTGTTTTCTTGAATCAAAATTTAATCCAATTCAACACCATACACACACACACACAGAAAACTTCATCATTATCAGGTGCAGAATAAAGAAATTTTATCTGGAAACAAAACATTAGCCCAGATGGCCGATCGAATCAATTTGCATAATATGCAAACATTATCGGAACATTTAATCCATGTAATGGATCATCTTTATGAATTGCATCAATTGAATAAAAAAAATCTTCGATTGATATTAGAATGACTGAATTCGAGCAACAAAAATTAGTAGGAGAAATTAATAATAATAAAAAAATGAAATTTTATTTACAAATCAATAAATTTGTTTTAAACTACAATGCAAAATCAATTCTTCGTTGACGCAATTTTCCAACATGTTGTTCAAGCCGTTGTTCGATTGACATCTTGTCCACATATGGCCCTTGTGATGGATAATAATGTTCCGGTGGTTCGCCTTCCACCAATTTAACATAATAATGACAATGAAAATAACGTATCTCACCGAAACGCATTCTTGCATGTTTACGAAAACCTTTATATACGACACCCTTGGAACAAAAACTTTCCGCAATCCACATGTTTGATTTGAATTCAAAATTATGTTCATGTACGGCAATTTCTTGTGCTTCTTGTAGAATTTCTTTCACTATAGCACCACCTTTAAGTTTAACATATGAAAGTTGTTTGATTGCCTCGTCGATTGACATGCCACGAATCTATAAAGAAAAAAAAATCTTGATAACCAACGGAAAAATTAATCGAATAAAAAAAAAATACTTACAAAACTAGCGACAAAATACATTTTTTTCGGCGAATATTTAATATTTTCACGATGATGGCAATAATACTGAATTTTAAGCGAAAAAAACGTTAGAAATGTTTTCTTTCTAGTAAAAAAAACAATTCTCACCCTCTCTACTGGACCTTCTTCAGGTGAATGGATAATTTCATTATATCTGGGCCATCGTTTTGGTTTTGGATAAAGACGATCTTGATGTATCTCCTGGTCATGTTGATAGGTCCATGTATCGTATTTGGAATACGTTGATTCAAATAGTTGTTGTTGATGTGGAAATCCTACATTTGGCAATAGAATTCTTGCATTGTAAAGTTGATTATAAATGGGCCAGATTCTGGATCGAATTAAATTGTTCATCATCATTTTTTTTTTGTTTTTGATTTGATGATCATCGATGTCTTCGTTTCGCCAAAAAACATGTGTTCTGGTAACATACTATATGGGCGGGCAAACAAAACAAAATCGATCAATTGCGACACGCAACCGAAAAAAATTTTTTTCTGTTTGGCCTCATTTCTTTATCGGGTATTTTTGTTTTATTCGTATTGAATCATTTGATTTCATCATTTCATTTCAAAAGAAATTATCAATCAATTTGAATGAAAAAAAATTGAAAGATTTTGTCATCAATACATCACCACTTGATTGGTTACTTTTTTTTGTTACTATTCATCTGATGATGATGCGATGTTATGGTATTTACCTGTGACAGTGATGATGACCCGAAATTGTTAATATGTATGTGTGTATGGATGTTGTTGTCCTTGATTAAGTTGTTCTTAGATGTGACGCGTTGTCAATTAACCCGTTTTTTCTGTTTTGTTTTGTTTTTTTTTTTTGCTTCACCAAATCAATCAATCATAATCTTCCATTAATTTGTATGATTGACATATTGATTAAGAAATCGATTCGATTTTTCATTCAAATCACATTCATCAGAGGTAAGAGGAAAAGAATGAATGTGTTGAGCAAATATTTACTATTCATGTTGATCTTCAATCATTTATAGGTATATATTCATTCAAAGATTTAAATAATATTCGATTTAAATGGAAAGACATAAAATAAAAAATCCAAAAATCACCAAGACAACAACAACCGCAGCAGCAGCAGCAGCAACAGCTTCATCAACGACAATGATGACGAATAATAATTCCGAATCAATTGGAATTCTTAATCATCATAATAAAAATGATGATAATCATCATCACCACCATCAACATCATCATCATCATCATCATCATGAATCATCAGCTGAAACTGATTTATCCATTACTTCTACTACTACTACTACTACTGCTACCACCAACAATAATATAATGATGAACAAATCAAAATCAAATGATTTAATTGTTGTTGATGATGATGAAAATGTTATCAATAAAAATAATTTTAACCATAATAGTCATCCAATTCCTAGTAGTATTAATTCACATGAGGAAACTTCCTTAACATCATCATCATCATCATCATCATCATTATCGTGTAATAAATCTCCATCATCTCCGCTATTATCTTCGACCTTTTCATCATCTACATCATCATCATGGAACATATCTAAACAAATTTCATTGATATTTTTATCAAGTACAACAATCTTAACACGTGCCAAACAATATCTATCATCATTGAGACCCGGTACTTTTTTTACATCTCTGATACCTGTATTAATGGGCACGGTATTGGCATCGAAAACAAGTGGTGGACAATTTTCATGGATCATTCTATTGGCCACATTATTAACCGTTCTATCTGTACATGCTGCTGGTAATCTTGTTAATACTTATTGCGATTTTGTTCGTGGTATCGATTCAAAACGTCAATCCGATGATCGTACACTTGTTGATTCAATATTAACACCAGAAGAGGTTGTTAATCTTGGTAAGTGTGTGATTGTGTTTACACAGCTGATAATCATCATCCATTTATCATCTTTATTATTATTATTATTCAGGTGTACTTTTCTATTTCATTGGATGTATCGGTTTTTTGGTGGTTGCCATTCAATCGCCAGCGCGAATGGAATTACTTGCATTCATTTATTTTGGTGGATTGTCCAGTTCATTTCTTTATACCGGAGGAATTGGTCTTAAATATATTGCATTAGGTGATATTATCATTATGATTACATTTGGTCCAGTTTCTGTTTTATATTCATTTATTGCACAAACAGGTAAAATTGTTTATTAATTTTTCTGGACATTTTTTCATTTCAAAATTTCAAAATCTTTCTCTAGGAACGATTCGTCTTGTAACATTATTATATGCAATACCATTAGCATTGAATACGGAAGCAATATTACATTCAAACAATACCAGAGATATAAATGTTGATCGTCGTGCTGGTTGTGTAACAATAGCCATATTGATTGGTTATCGTTTATCACATGTATTGTTTGCTTTACTTTTATTCATACCATACATTCTATTCGTGGTTGGTTCATTAAATTATTCATTATGGCTACTATTACCATTAATAACATTGCCTAAAGCATTCAAATTGGAAAGACAATTTCGTTACCGACAATTGGAATCAATACCCAGACAAATGGCACGTTTAAATTTCTATTTTGGAATGTTTTATCTATTCGCTTGTTTTATGTCACCAGCACATAAATTACCTGGATTGTTACCTCGATAAATTATTTTATATTTTTTTTTTTTTTTTGCAAATTATACTTATTCATCATTGCAATTGATTATATCGATCGATTACTTTTTTTGAATACAGGAAAAAAAAAGAAAATCTTGTGATATGACCAATGATTATTGAAATTTTACAATAAAAAAAAATCACTGACTTGATTCCCAATCCATAGATGGCGCGTTATATGCGAATGAAAATCGATAGAATCCAATCGATATTTATCAAGTGTGTTGTGTTGTAATCGATTGTAACCTTGAAATAAATATTGATTATTACAAATTTTTTTACCTATAATAATCTAAATGATGATGATGATGATTTAATGATGGCCTAATTCATCATCATCATTATTAACCAAATGTTAGAGAATAACGCCCATTATTATATAATAATGAATCAAGATCATTTCATGTTCATGTGACTTTATCAAATTAGTAGTTTTGTTTTGTTTTTTCCGTTGATTTATCTGGTTAACAAAAAACCCGAAACAAAAAACAGATCATTTCATTTGATCATCATCATCATCATCAATGAACGTGAATGATAATGATGAAATGAACCAGAATTTATTCGTGATATTCCTACAATCATCAAAAATTCTTTTTTTGTTTTTCTGTTTTTTTTTTGTGTGTGTATGGTGTGATTCATTCAAGTGTAAATGTTGCTCAATCGTCATCGATTTTTTATCAATACTACTACAGTACTTTCACCACAACCACTGAAAAAAAATTAATACTCCATAGAGAGTCATTCGATATTTGAATTCGAATGTTTTTTTTTGTTTTGTTTTGTTTCCGATTCTCTAAAATTCCCAATGATTCAATTTGTTTTTTTTTCGTTCGACAATCTTCGACTTTCCACTTTGGATTACTCACACTATACTCTGCTCACATCACAAAAATGGTAAGTGTATCAGTGTATTTGAAATTTTTTTTCTTTTTCGAAAAAAAATCCTTTTTGGATCCTTTTCATACTTGGATTACTTTTGATGCTGCTGTTGTTGTTGTTGTTGTTGTTGTTGTTGTTGTCGTTATGGATCAGATTGCTTTTTCACTACAAAAGAAAAGATGTTTTTAATGGAATGAAAAAAAAATTCTTTGGTTCCATTTAGAAACATTGAAACATTGTGAAAGAGAAAAAAAATGACATTTTGTTTTGACTCCAAAAAAAAAAAATCGGAAAACCACCCACTGCTGTTCGTCCATTGTCATCAGGAATGAATGAATGAATAGCGGTGGATTCTGGTATCAATGTCTATGTCTCTGTTTAATACACATATTGAAATAGTTTTTTTTCTGGTTTCCGGTTCTATTGTTCAATTTAATGTTTTTTTTGTTGTTGTTTTTGCTGATCGGCTGACCTTTTTCCTGTATTCCATTCAATCCTCTTTATCAGACTGTGTTGTTTTTCAAAATACAAAAAAAAAATCCAATGTGTAAAACATTAAAATGATTCAATTTCAATGTTAATGAGTTATTTTGTCATTTGAAATTAATTTCATTTAAATGATGATGATGATTCCTATTTGCAAAGTGAAACATGAAAATCAATTCACTCTATCCATTGTGTGTGTGTTTTTTTGATTTTGATACATTTTCAAAACACATTGGCTTTGTGTTTTCGTGATGAATGGATGAATGAATGGTTCACATGCGTTAAAAATCATCCATTCACTCACATCATCGTTCACACATGATGATGAATTCTAAATTCCATTCCACATTGCACTCACTCTCTCACACACACACACACAGAGAATAATTCAGTTTCTTGTTAAAAAAAAATAAAAAAATAAACGGTTTTGATGTTATGTGATGAATACTAGTAGTAGTAGTCAACAATGAATGAATGAATGAATGAATGATTGGCAAGAATGTGTCCATGTTTTCTGATAAATGGGAGGAAAAAAGAATTTTAAATTTAAAAAAAAATTCCAAAACTTTTTTTTCCTAGTTTAAAAAAAATGGCCACATCATCACTGTGAATGTCAAATCTATCAGTTTTGAATGTATCAAAATGAAATTGAAATGATTAAAAGTCCATCTCTGTTTGTTTTTTTTTCATCATTCTCTTGATTCAATAACAATTCGAATCAATTAATCATTCGTCCGTCCTGAAACCAGTGAATTTGAACGAACGAGAGAGAAAAAAAAACTCCCACCACCAAACAACGAACTAAACCAAAAGGCGACCTTGAAAGAGTTGTGTGTACTGGGTGGGTGATTGGGAGAAAAATTTGAATTTTTTTGTTCTCAACTTTTTTTTACCCCATTTTCTCCATTTCTTTTTTTTTATTCTTGTTATTCCAATGTTCAAATATGCATTGTGAATGCAAAGCTGAAAAAAAACTGCAGAACTTTTTTTTCAATGGAAATTCTTTGTCTTATTCACATGGGTGAAGCTGCTGCATTATTAGCTTGAAATGGATGTTGTTGTTGTTGTTGTTGTTGTTTGCATCCATGTATGTGTTATTGGTATCTCTTTCTTCATCTCTTTTTTTCTCTCTAAGGAACATCTTTCTTCATCTTGCGAATCAACAACACTGTGTGTGTGTATGTTTTCCAAACTATGGCAAAAGAAAAAAAACGAAAATAAGCCGATTGTGAAGCTGATGAATAAATCTCAATTCCTAGTTGTTGTTGTTGTTGAATATTAAGAAACGAAACAGAAAAAAATATGGACCCTTGAGAGAATCTGATGAAAGGAGAAAAGAATATTCTATAATAGTTTTTGAGTGTTGGATGTGTGTGTGTATGTGATAGTTAAAGTGTACAAATTTCAATATTTTTTTCTTGTTTGTTGTTGTTTTCATTGTGAAAAGGAAAATCAACAACAACAACAACAACAAAAAATAAATTGAAATGTTGATGAAATTTTGAAGATTTAATATGCAAATTAGCTGCAAAAAAAGTGGTGCTCTAAATTTTTTTTTTTTTGATTAAAAATGATAATGATAATGATGACCATTTTGCAGTGCACAAAAAAAATTTCAAATTAAGAATTTGCTGACCAAATTGATTTTTTTGTTTTCTTCTCCTTTAAACAAATTACATTCTGGAGATCATTTGACCTTATCAATAATACAAATGTGTGTGTGTGTGTGTGTTTGAATTTCGAATGACCAAGGTCAAATTATGATGTTTTGGTTGTTGTTATTGTTAGGCGGCCATTTTTTATTCATTCATACAATTCATTTGTTGTTGTTGTTGTTTTTGAGAAAGAGAGAAGAACAAATCTTTTCGGCTATTGTGTCCAGTTTTTTTTATACATTTCGATTGTTTTCTTCTTCACCATTCTTTTCGTTGATAATCATGATTCATTGATGTTTTTTTTGTTGTTGTTCGTTTCGTTTCATTTCATTACACAAGAAACGAATCGAATTGAAGTGAATTGATTTTTATCTTTTATTCAAGCAATAGCTCGGACAAACAAACTGCTATTTTGGTCAGTCATTTGTTGTTGTTGTTGTTGTTGTTATTATTATTATTACCTGACAAATAATGCAATTTCAAAAGGTAAATGAACTCTATCATTTTGCTGGCGGGATGATTTTTTTTTCAATGAACAAAAAAAATAATTCATATTCTCAATAAGAATATGAATCATGAATGTAAGATAATAAGAGAGAGAGAGAAAAATATTCGGGCATGACCGGTTTTTCCATTTTTTTGTGTGTCTATGATGATGGGTGTCGTTGTTTTATTATGAATCAAAAAAAGATTTTTTTTTAATCGATTGCCTTGGCCATCAGCATTTTTTTCAATGCGATGATTTATATTTAATGGATTTTTTTTCAGTTTTTAAATCGAGAAAACGAACCTCTTGTTGATAAAATAATCAATAAAATCATCTGATCGATATCCATGGAAACATTGTATAATGTTTCTACATTGAAACAAATGATAATCTATACATCATTGACATTTTATTTGGTATGAAACAGAACCTTATGGTAGTTTTTTTTTCGCTTTTAAGCCGATCATCATCTTTTCATCCCCTGTATACAGAAGCACACACACACACACACATACGGGTAGCATAACTGGCCTACTGTTTTTCGATGACGACGATGGATGAATGAAATCAAGAATAAAATTCTTTGAAAAATTTTTTTTTTGTCGTCATACCAGATGTGTGTCTCTAATAGGATTACTATTAAATGGACAAATTGAATGAATGAATGAGAGAACAAAAACGGCAAAAAAAAAACTTTCATATCGACTCCAAAAATTACATATACAGGCATGCCATACACGAAATCATGTGAGGACAAATTTGTTTGAACTTGAAAAACTGAAATTTGCAATTTTACGCTAAATTCTTTGGGGAATTTTTCTCAAGAACAGGGTGACTATGGAAAAATATGGAATTCAAGAATTAAACTCGACCAGATTTATGATTTGAATATCAAAAGAAAAAAAGAAATGAATGGATTTGGACTTTTTCATGGCCTAAATTTTGGATTGAGATTTGTAGTCCAGAACAACAACAACAACAACAGCAACCACTTGACATGAAATGTGAATAATTATTTTATTAACATTCGAAATAGTTTTGTTGTTGTTGCGGTTGTTTTTTCGAAAGAATGTAAGTAATGGATAAATTCCTGGACACTAAATGATGATAATGATCCATATATGAAATGAAAAAAAAAACTTTTTGATGATTCATGAACCAAAAATTTTTTTTTTCATGTCTAATAAATAAAGTCAAACTTTACATTTTTTTTCTTGTTGTTCCATGAATGAATGAATGAATAATGATGATTACCATTGATTTATTCATTTATTCATTCATTCATAAATTCCATATACACACTTGTAACCGTGTGGTTATGTGTGTATATATTAAACCACTTTCACATTTGTAAAAAAAAAATGAATTAATGATGATGATGATGAGTTTTGATTAATTAATATACTACTGCATTTTGGCCCTAGAATTTTTTTTTTTGGGCATTTTTTCTTTCCATTGTTAATATACATGCCCGTAATGGTATTTATTAATACAAAAAAAAATAATGACATGACACACACACACACACGAAATACAATGAAACACTAGAAATTCTGTTTTTGTTTAACTAGAATTCCTATGAAAGAAAAAGATAGAAAAAGAATTAGGATGCCTTTAGTTAATATTGACATTTTGGTTCGATCCAGGAATATATATGGTATGGTATATCGATACAGTGTTTTATCGACATTCATTGTCCTGTATGTAATAGTTGGATGATGATGTGTATCACATTTCTTACAGTAACAAACAACAACAAAAAAATATCGATTTTCGGTATTGACTTGAACGAACGAAAAAAAATAAATGAATGAATTGAATGACTTCGGGCTAATTTCAGTCATTCGTCGTTTTTTTATCATTTACTTTGTTTTGTTTAAACAAAAAAAAAAAAAGCTGTCAATAATAATCTAAACCATGGCCAAATGAAACCAGAATGAGATAAAAATCCAAATAATGTGTGTGTGTGTCTGTCTGTGTGGGAGGAAAAGACAGGCAATTTTTTTTCTTTTTTTACTAATCAAAATATCGAAAGATTTCCGTAGTATGGGCGTCATAAATATTGAAATGTTTGGATTGTTTTTGTTGTTGTTGAAGAAAATGAATATATATTCACAATGCTTCTCATTCAATATATGTATTCAATTGTTTTGTGAACCACTTCTTGTGAATCTTCAGCTGTATGTGTATGCTTTTGTGGTATGTGATTACCAGAAAAAAAAATTAAAGGCGTCTGAAGACAACGACTACAACAACAACGAACATGAAGACGACGAAGAAGAAGCATTGAATATAACATACCATAGTTTTTTGAATTCCACTCAGAACACACAATAACAAGAGTGAGAAAAAAAAAAAAAAAAATCACCAAAAAAGTTTGTCCATGAAAAAAAAAATATATATATCATGCATGCATGCATGTGTGTGTGTGTAATACTTTTGGCCAACATTTTTTTCATTGTATTTTTGTTCGTGTATTAGTAAATGTCTGGATTTTCTATTCGGTGAACAAGAAATAAAAAAACTACGTTCTTTCACTATATATATATATATATTCAATTTCTTCTTGCAAACAGAAAAATGAAAAATGAAAACACATGCAACACAACATAGAGAAACAAACATAGACAAGTTTTCAAAAAAAAAAAAAAAAAAACGTAGTCGCTGAAAAAAATCCATGTTTTGTGTGATATTTCATTCAAAGAATAATAAATGTGGCATCAATATGAGGATGTGTGATTCTATAATTCTGTGAGATCGTCACATGTAACATGTCATTTTTTTTATTATTCTATGTGCAACAAACAAACAGAATCATCATAATAACAACCAACAAGAACATTGTTTGATATGAACAACCAACAATGACATCGTTTGTTTGTGTGTATATGTGTTCGGTTACCGATTAAATAGGTTGATTTCATTTTTTTTTTTTCCTTGAAAACAAACAAACAAAAAAAATTGTGAGCAAATCCAGATGAAAATGTAAATTTTTCATTTTTTTTTTTTTTTTTTTTGTAAAAATTTCTGACCACAACAAAATTGAATTTCACAATGAATAATCGTCGACAATTTTTGTCAAAATAAAATCATCCTCATTGACATTGTTTTTTAACATTTTGTATATGTGCCTGTGTGTGTGTGTGTGTGTATGGGTTTTCATACAGAATTATACAGAATATAAAATGTTTAAAGTTTGCCAAAAGAAAAAAAAATTGAATACAATCTTGTTCTTTGAATCCATCCACTTTTGAATTCACAAGAATTGTCTAGAATTGAAAAAGAAGAATAACAACAGCAGCAGCAGCAGCAACCTTTATTATTGTTTGGTAAGAGTTTTTTGTTTATTTTTCGTTTTCGTTGTTGTTACTAAAAGTTTCAAGTTTTCAGACTTTACTTAAAATGAAAACTAAAAATTCAAATTAAAACTGAAAACTTTTTTTCTTTCAGTGCACAAAATTCTTTGATTCTTTTTCGCTATTTTTCAGTGTTTTGTGTGTGTGTGTGTCTGAAAAAAAGGTTAAATATGGTTTGAATTGGCATGTCTTGATTTTTTACACATTTTTTTTTCATTTCCATGATTGATTGATCGATTCCGATCTGATATATATTAAGGAATCTCGGTTTTTGTCTGTGTCTGTGTGTATGTGTGTGAGAAATTTGTATTTTCCATCAAAAATCAACTATTTTAAGCTACGGTTTTTGGATTTTAAATTGACCATTGATTTAAACAATGGAAACAATAGCCAAATTGATGATGATTACATTGGGCATTTTAATGTTTATGACATTTTGATTCGCTCGATCTCTCTCTCTCTCTTTGATCAATCGATCTTTCAAATGTTTTTTTCTTTTGTTTTCTATATCATAACAAATCAAACAACCAATAACTATCGATAGCTTTGTTTTTTGTTTTGTTTTGTTTTTGTTACAGACAAAAGAAGAAAATCTCGTCTTTGCTTATTTGTTATATTTGTTGTTGTTGTTTTTTTTGTTTTTGTTGTTCCAATATATATTTTATTTTCTCGCCTCGATTCATTTGATTTCATTTTGAAGACGAACATTTTTCTTTTCTTTTTTTGCCCATTAATAATGTTACTTGATTTCTCATTGAATACAATGTGTGTGTATGTGGGAAAGAGAGGGAGAGAGTGAAAGAAAATCACAATTTCAAGTCCTGATTCAACCAACCGAATAGAAATCTCGTTTCGTTTCTGTTTCGTTACTGTTCCAAGAAATTTTTATTCCTTACTTTTCTTTTCTTATGATACTCGGGTTGTGCGAGGATTACGCACTGTTGGATCTTTTTTTTCGGTTATTATTATTATCATCATTGCTATATTCTATGGATGTTTGTTTCAGAATGATTAATAATCACGCATTAATGATGTGACGTGTTCAAGAGAGAGAGAGAGAGAGAGAGTACGAAACGATTGATGAAAAGAAAATTTAATTTTCGTTTTCGCTGTTGTTGTTGTTGTTGTTGTTGTTGTTCGTCTTCAATTGTTCATGATGATATGAGATATTTGTTTCTGACTTACAGATTTATTTATTAATTTTCAGAAAGAAAAAATATTTTCTTTGTTTCATCGATCCAGAACAATGTAGAATATGTTTTCGCTTGATGGAAAATTAAATGTTTTTTTTTTTTTTGTCTGTGTGTGTGCATACTACTCAATTATAATCTAGTTTACTTGATGATGATGAATATTCTTATTGTTGTTCATTTATATAAAGATAGAATATTCTAGCAGCACTGTACCATTCAACCATTATTATATCATCATCATCATAAATTTTGATCTGTTAATAGGTTTTTTTTCTCGCTTTCTCTCTTTATCTTACTCCTACGCATAAAACATTATGGTGTATATAACTATCTACAGTGAAAGAATAAAATGATCTATTCACAACTATCATCATCATCATCATCATTATGGATCAATCGATCAATCGAGAATAAATATTCTTTCTTCACATATATAAAAAAAAAACTAGCGAATGTATTGTATTTTATTTTTTTTTTTTGTTTGTCGATTTTCACATTCTTTTTTTTTCTCATAAATATGAAGATGATGATGATCTTATCCATTCAATAAGGAGTTGTAAATAGTTTATGATGGTGTTGATAATGATTCTGTTTCTGTCGCCGCTGTTGTTGTTGATTTTTTTCCATTTATAATGAATCCAATTCAAAGGATGATGATGGACCATTATATAAAAAAAGAATTTGTCTCGTTTTTTTTGGTTTTTCCCGATGAAGAATTTTTTTTTCGTGATCAATAAAAAACAACAACAACAACAAGTACATGTGAGTCATTTGCATAATTGGTGATGGTGACAAAATTTCACTTCATTCATATATATATCGATAAATGTAAAACTTTTTCATTTTTGCATGTTTCAATCTAATTTTTGATATATTTCAAAGTTTTGTTGTTTGTTGTTGTTGACCACATTTTCCATTTTCGTTGTTGTTGTTGTTGTTGTTGTTGTTGTCCTTTCAATTCAGTGGCTATTTTACACACACACACACACACACACACACACACGTGACTAGAATGATGAATTAGTTTAAAAATAGATTTTGTCATTTTCTCACATTTTGAATATATCCACAGTTTTTTCATTACATCATTCATTCATATATAAAATGACTTGGTGAGAATACAGAATTTCTAATTGAAAAACTTACTAACATCGAAATTTTTTGTAAATTTGTGCCGCCTACACATTTTTTGCCATGGTATACTTTTTTTTTTCCGATTATATAAAATGGATAAAACCACAAACATAATGATGAAAAAGATGATAAAATATTTTTCCTTATGAATTTTTATTGTACTGGTGTAATTTGAGTTTGCCACCTGTCTCATGCCAACAACAACAACAACAACAAAAGTTTATATTCAATCCATTATTATTATCAATTTTGTATACTAGCACTAGAATGGATAGATGGCAAAAAAAGTTGAACATCTGTTTCTTGCCACCTGTTTGGTTGACTTTTTTTAATATTATATTTGCTGTGAACCTAAAAAAGAACTAGATTTTTTTTTAATTTAACCTCAAATTACCTGGAATCTAATACTGTTTTTTTTCATTCGTGTATTGTCCTGGGACACTATTTTTTTTTTACTTGTTGTTGTTCCATTATAAAAATAAAACTCGTATATATACACAAGCCCGAGATAATAAAAAGAGAAGAATTATAACAAGACTTTGACCAATTACCACCACTATGTGATTGTATATATCGTGTTTCAGAATAGGTTTTTTTTCGAAACCTTTCTATCTAATATATAGCATCTGTGAATGATGATCACGATTCACGATTTCAGGAAATCATTTTTTTTTTGGTTGTGATGGTCGGTAATGGTGGTGGTCACCAACATCATCATCATCATCATCATTCACCCATTATCGAAACATAATAGAAAAAAAATTGAAAAAAAATCCAAAAATAATGATGATGATGATTATGTTATGTAAATGTTGTAAAATTGTTATCATCACCATCACCATCATTAAATTCGGAAATTGTTGTCCAACCAAACAGACAGACAAACAAACAAGCGAAAAATAAAATCGTTCATTTACATATTTCATATTCATGTGACGGATATTTGGAATTTGTTTTTTTTTTCTGTTGGAACTGAATAAATGAATGAATGAATGAATATATTATTGTTCAATAATTATCATATATATACCACCACCAGCACCATCATTATCGTTTTGTTTTTCTTGTTCAACCATGTGTGTGTGTGTGTGTGTGTGTGTGTGTCATTGATGATGGTGAACCAGTGAAAGGAAAGCCCTTGCAATAACATTTTCAACAATCAAGGTCTTCTGATTCATTTAGCACTATAGATTCTATCTATATATATGTAATATAATAATAACATGGTTTTCTCACTTGGTTAAACAAACAAATGATGAACAAAAAAAAGTGTTTAGGATGATGATGATGATGGTGGTGTTGTTGGTGATAAATCGACCACACAGAATATTCTAGTATTATGGAAATGAATGAATAACATCCCAAATGCATACAACACAACACAACACAATAACTATCTCCCAGTAGAAATGAAAAATTTCAATTTCCCATAGAATTTAATCCATTGTGTAGAGAATGGTATCTCAATTTATGTTTTTTTTTTTTGTTGGACATTCACAAGGAATTTGTTTGGTTTTTTTTTCTTTCTTCAATTTCCTTTTTTTTTTCATTCGCAGAATTTTTTTTATTAATATATAAATTTTGTCTTTTTTTTCTCTCTTTTTTTCCTATAGTGAATCGACAAATAAATTTCAATTTTTCCGTTATTCTCTCTCTCTCTCTGGTTCTGGTTCTGGTGATGACGGGCACCACATGAATTTTTTCATTTCATTTCATTTTTCGCTGACAATTTACAACTTTACCACCATATATTCCAAAATAATCCATCGATTGCAGACCAATTTTTTTCCATCGTTATTTGGATTCTGTTTTTTTCCATGACAAAAACGCAGTCGTAATCAACGAAAGTAATAGCCATTCAACCGAACAATAACAACATTTGATGATATCGATCGATCGATTATAAAGAAGAAAATTCATCGTTTGGATTTCATTTCTGTGTGTGTGTGTGTGTGTATGTGTTTCATATCTTGATCAAAACGTTAAAAATTTTCCACACAAAAATCCCTTGAAGAAGACGAAAAACAGTGGTTAACATTCACCAGTGAAATAAACCAACAACAACAATCTGCCAAAATGACTATGATGATGATTGCACCAACGGCGACACTGGAAACAGTGACAATCGTACGACCATTGAAGGCAAGTCTGTTTTCATTCTCAAAATTTTCTTATTTTTTCGTCGTTTATGTTGATTATTCATTATTGATTGTGTGTGTGTGTGTGCGTATGTGTTTTGATGGCCAATAACCACATTTTTTTGTCAGCTTTGAATAATCAATTCTTATCAGTTTTTTCTTCCATTCAATTGGCGTCTTTTTTTTTGTTTGTTTGTTAGAATGTCAGAAAAATTGATTTGATTTTTTTCGGTGATCAGTTGCTTATTTATTTTTGGTACTAAGCACTTTTTTTCTGAGTAATTCATGCCTTCTTTTTCAATCATAATTTGATTGAAAACATTTCGGATTCTTTTTTTTTTTTATTCACCCGAAATCGTTACAAAAGATTGTTGTTGATTACATTTTTTCTTTCGTTTCTCTATTATTCTTTAACAATTGATTGAATTTGATTCGATTCTCGATTCTCGGTGTAAGCAAAAAAAAGAAAAATTCAAATGATCAAGTTGATGGAAAATGATGCCTTTTGATTTCGATCGATTGAATCGTACGGAAATCAATTTGTTTGAATTTAGAAATCAAGAAAATATCGAGAATATAGAAGTAGAGATTTTTTTTTGGTGAAAATCCAGAATCTAAAACCAGAATATCATAAAAAAAATGATTTGATTCTCGACAAACAAACAAACAAAAAAAATTGATTCGTACCGTTTTAAATTGAATAGAATCATTTTTTTTCTCTCTCTCTCTTTTGTTCCAGTGATATTTAGGCCATGCAAATTGCTTTTCAGACTTTTTTTTTGTTTGTGTGCCCGCGCATCAAGTAAAAAAAAACATAAAATAAAATTGACAGGCAAATTTTTTTTTCATATTCTCTCGATTTTTTTTTATTGTCATGTGTGCACCAGACAATGCACCAAAACTTTTTTTTTCGCCGTTTTTATTTTCTGCAGAAAAATATAAATTCTTGAAAATCAATGCAGTGAAGCTTATCGTTTTGTTTTGTTTTGTTTTTAGTCTACTGAAAATTCATTCTACTGACGATAGGTGTCGCCATCAGTCTCGATTTTTTTTAAATTTATGATTGTAAATCTTGAAATTTATTGACTTGAATAATTCACAATTTGGGGATGGAATGGGAGAAAAAATTTGTGTGTGTGTGTGTGTTTGGTAATTATCTCTATTATTGTGTATCGGCGGAAACAATCGCTATTTTGTCATGATTATCGTTATTATTCCTGATATGATGATGATGATGATGATGATCATTATTTTAATTGAACTTGTTCTCTTTTTTCTTTTGCTTTGTTTTTTTTTGTGAAACAACCAACAACAATCTCAGTAGCAGCAGCAGATGTCCTGCTTTTTTTTTTCTTCTCTCTCTGTGTGTGTGTGTATGTAACAGTTGTGTGTACACACACAATGGTTATCGTTGAAATTCAACGATGATAATGATGATTCAAATCGAATCAATTTGATTATCGTGGCAATTTTCTTTTCTCATTCTCTCTCTAAGCTTTGGAATGAATTTTCTCTTGGATTTCTTCTGTAGATTGTATAGACAATAATGGCATTAAATAGAATGTGCTAATGATTCAATATTCTGGACACGAATTGTAATAATTTTTTCCATTGTTGTTGTTGTTCATTTTTGGATGAAAAAAAAATCACCACCGTGTGTGTGTGTGTGTATAGAAAATAAAACAATCGGTGAAAATATTACACTATTCTGTTGGTTGGTTTAATCACACGCACACACACACACACACAGTGCATGCATGATGCCCACCAACCGACCAACAAATCATATTTGAAAGTTTTTTGTTTCTGGCTAGAATTATTATCGTAATGAGCAAAATATAAGATCATTTGATGATAATGGTGTAGCGCAAGCAATTACCGACGACATTATATTGAACAATCATTGTGTGTGTGTGTATGTGGGGATGCCCGACAAAATAAAAATTAATGATGCCGGGTTTTTTCCCATTTTTTCCACTTAAAATGATTGAGTGATACAAGAACAAAACAGCAAAGAAAAAACGCGGAAATTATGATCAGTTTTGAGGTCATGATGCATCATAATGAAATTTATTATGCAAAGAATTTAATCCAAAACAAAATGAAATTCTTGTATATATTGCAATAAATGATGGAAGAATTTCTGTTTCTGTTCCTGGATTTTAATTCCACAAGAAAAAAAACCGGAAAAAACAGAACCCCCTACTATGGAAAAATATTGATTCCAATTATTATTAATATATGGCACAGTGGAACAATGATGATGATGATGATGATGATGGTATTAATTCTGAAATTGTCATTTTGCACTTTGGAATTTTTTTTTATTTTTCGAAAAACGAAACAACAAAAAAAAAAAAAATGTGCTAGAATAGTAGAATGGGATTCAAACCATTCTGTTTTTTTTTTCTCGGTAATTTATTAATTATTACAAATCGATAATTCATTATTATTGGAAATTCTCTCTTTCTCGATCATAATTGGATATTAATCTATCGATGATGATGATGATGATGGTGTTAGAATTTTTTTTCTCATTGATAATAATCGTTAATCATATATGCATGTAATAGATTTATATGACCCGGATGAATGTTTTTTTTTAATTCTCTCCATCGTTTTTGTTTGTTTGTTTTTTTTCCATTTATGCCCCACGAACCGTGTAGTTATTCATTTAAGAATTTATTTACATTGCTTTTTATTTCCATTCTGGCCTGGTTGAATAATTGAATGAGTGTGTGTGAGAGAGAGAGAGAGAAAAAAAGTGAAAAAGGAACAAAATGAAAATGAAAAAAAGCAGAAACAAACATTGTTATTTTGTGAAACATTATCTCGGTGTGTGTGTGTGTGTGTGTAATACATTTTTTTTTTTTTTGCTTGGTTATTCTGGATTCAGGAAGCAAATTCTTTCTTTTTTTATTTATTTATTTATTCATCTTTTTTCTTCATATTTGTAAACTGGTTTTTTCCCAGTGTGTTTGGTGGTGGTGGTGGTTGTGGTGGTGTTGATGATTATTATGAAAAAAAAAAACAAAGCTTCATTTTTCGTTGTGTAAGTGGACGCCGGCGTCCATTATTAAGATTCAACAACAAAAAAAAAAAAAAATGGAAAAAAGCCTTTACTTTATTGTCCAAAGCTCTATATCGTTGTTATTATTATTCTCGTTTTATTTCTCATTCTTTACTGAGTGTGTGATTGTAATTTATATAAATGTTTTACACACACACACACATACACATAGTGAAAACAACAGAAAACCGAAAAGATAAAAACCGGCTCTATTTTCGGTTTTTCTCTCTCTCTCTCACTATATATACATAGATACCGATTCTGGAACAATAGTTGAATATGAAAAAAAAATTTATCGTTTTTCATGGCGCCCATTATGCCAAATGAATTGATTGTACGCACACTCATACATTAGAATACGTTCGATGGCTGAATAAAATAGATAGATAGAATTTAGATTCACATATCACAAACGCCATGTTGTTTTTCAAAATCCTGGAATAAAAGAAAAAAAAATCCTAGAATAACACATTTTGATAGGCTATGGGGAAGGAGGAGTATATATGTGTGAATGGGAAATATAGATGGTCCATGCCATCATCATTCCAATGATGGCGCCAAATATCCAAAGAAAAACAAGGAACCAAATGTACAATGTTTGCATATCGCATGCGTGAATATTTTCTTTTTTCTGTTGGTGATGAACAAATGTTTTTTTTTTCTTCTATAGTAGCAGAAGATTCATTTCTTTTTGTGTTGATGATGTCTCAGGTCCAAAAAAAAAAAAAAAAAATTGTTCTTGTTCTCTGTCTTTTTTTTTCTTTGGCTCTCGCGGTGCCTAGATACGAACCATTTATTCATTTTTTTCTGGTCTCTTTCTATTTTTCGTTTAGATTTTGATGGTTGTGTAGTATATGAGTAGTCGTTTTTTTTTGGGCATTGGTTTTTGTGTTTTGTCAAACCCTACACACATAGGTTCACCACTTCTTTCATTGCTTTTTTTTCGTCGTGAATTCGGGTGAATCTCATTTTTCATCATCATCAACTGATGCTGATGCTGCTGCTGTTGTTATTGTTGTCGATGATGTTGCTGCTATTAGTGTATTAGTTTGTTTGTGTGTGTGTGTGTGATTGCCAGGATTCTTGTTCTTCTTCTTGGATATCCGAATAATAAAACATGATGGAAAATTTTTTTTCTCCCGTTTTTTTTCGTGCATTGAGCCTAGATAAAGAATTTGTTTGTGTGTGTGTGTGTGTTTGTGTTTTACACAAGTCCAATGGACAACAATAAAAAAGAGTTTTTGGACATTTTTCGTGCAAGTTTTTATTTGATTTTTTCAAAAAAAACTTTTTTTTCATCTTTCATTTCATGAATGAATGTGTTTTTTTTTTGTTTTCTCTTCGTGTTTGTTTTGTTCATAACTCGATTTGATTTTTCGGCTCCATAATAATAATCATCATCATTATCTTTGTTTAATGTAGATTTTTTTTTAATCTTTGTGTATGTCTCATGTTTGAAATGAAATTACAATGTTTTCAAAATTAAATTGTTTATCATGAATGGTTTTATACCAAATACATTGAATCATGCTGCTGTTGGTGTAGGTGGGCAAATGTTGCCTCAACATCAACAACAGCAACAGCAACAACAAGCTCCTGGTGGACCACCACAGCCACAGCCGGTTATTATTATGAATGGCGCCATACCGAACCAACATCATCATCAACAACATCATCATCAACAACAACAACATCATCAAAATCATGTACAACAACCGAATGGTTTTCATCATCATCATCAACAACAACAACAGCATCCTGTAGTCCATTATGTACAGCATCCAAATCCACAACATCAACAAGGTCAACCTCAATTGATAATTCCAAATGGAAATGTGATACAATTGGCTCCAAGCCCGCCACCACCACCACAACCTGGTCAAATGATTGGCCAACAACAACAACAACAACAAGGCCAAATTTATGTACAAAGACAACCTAGAATGATGATGGTTAATGGTGGTGGTCCCATGTTACCTAATCAATCACAACAACAGCAACGTATGATCCGTTTAACAACAAATGGAACATATGCAACAACCGTACAGATTACCGGTAATGGTAATATTACCGGTAATAATAATATTAATCGTAATGGTTTAAGACAACAGCCAACAATTGCAACAGCATTAATATTAACAAAACAACCGCCACCAAAATGTTTACTTTGTTGTCTAGCTTGTTGTGGTCTAGAATCATTATGGTTTAATCCTAATTTCCATTTTTCAAGAGTAAGCACAAATCATCACCATTTATTTTATTTTTTTCTCTAAATTATAAATACAAACACCAGAAAAAAAATTGAACATCTTCATCAAATGAAAAACAACCGTTTTCAACATCATTTTAAATGATGATTGAAAAATGAAATCTTGATTTTTTTTTTTTTTCTTTCTTTTGATTCTCTTATGGAAATTTTCCACTCGAGTAAATGATGATGATCATGTTATTATTATCGTTCTTGTTGTTGTTGTTGTTATCGTTATTTGAATAATAAAATTTGATTTGATTATTCGCATGGGTATAGTTTATTTTGGCCATATTTATTATTATTATTCCTTTATGTATATTTGATAGCTCCACATGGGTTCTTCATTTCATTTCATTCATTCAGATTTTCTGTTTGTGTGTGTGTACGTAACAAAAGGGTTATGAATGAATGAATGAATGACTTGAATTGAATGGTTTTTTTTTGTATTGTTTTCATTTCATGTCACAATATTTGTGAAAGTTTTCAGTCACATGATGATGACAAAGTTTTTTCATGTTCTTTTTATATTGCATTTAACTCTTCAATGATTGATTGATTTTTGTTTTTTTGTTTTGGTTTCAAATAGGTCATCGCCCTCATTTGTAATATTCTTGTCGATTTATTAATGATATTATGTTTATTATCAACAAATTGGTTGACCACATTGAAATATCGTCAAGGTCTTTGGCAATATTGTATCGATGTTGATTCACCACGTCCATTGCCATTTGGCCTGGATGATCATGATGGTTGCCATTGGGGACGTAATGCTGGTATGTTTTTTTTTCTTATTTCTTTTGTTGGTGTTTTTCTGTTACCTTGATTCATTTTTTTTTCTTTTTCTATATTTCGGTTCGATTGGAATATTTTTTATTTATAGCTTATATAAAATTATCCGGATTTTTTGCCGTAGCATGTTTCCTATTGGCTATAGTTGCAACAATATTGACTTCATTTGGCCTATCATCTCGTGATCCAAACAAAAAATATACATTTTATCGTTTTGCATTATATATTAATCTTGGCGCTTGTAAGTTTCAATTAATATCGATTTACACATTGATCAATAAATAAATTATAATTTTTCTCCTTTTTTGTCTCTCTTTCTCTCTCACTCGCTCATCATCATCATCATCATCATAGTGTTAGCCATAATTGTTTCATTAACATTATATCCGGCCTTTTTCTATTCCGAATTACATCATACGAATATGGTGCCATCAAATCGTCCACATTGGTATTTCGGTTGGGCATATGGTGTTGGTTGGGGTGCGGCAATATTTTTAGTTGGCGCCATTCTTTTATTAGTATGCGATAAAGAAACGGAAGAAATCTATTATCAAGAACGTACTATCGTACATGCTGGTAATGGTGGTGGTGCCAATAATCATCTACTACAACATCATCATCATCATCAGCAATTGACAAATCATCATAATAGTAGCCATCAATCGATCAAAGCTTGATATAAATGGAAATTTAAATGAATCGAAACAAAACAAAAAAAAACAAAGCAAAACGAAACAAGATAGATGATGTAATTTGATTTTTTTAAGTGAAAAAACACCCACCCACACACACACACAAGTTGCCGAAAAATGGCCTCTTCCTCTCCATCATCGTCATCATCATTGTTATTATTATTTCTATCCATCCATCCATCCTTTTTTTTCCTCCTACCTCTTGATTCTTTTTTCTATTTCTTTTTTTGCCATATTTCACAACAACAACGATCGATATCGATATATAAAATATGTATAGAAGATAGTGGACGTGTGGGCGTGTGAGTGAGTGTGTGTGTGTGTGATACAAAGTAGTTTATTTTTTATTTCAATTCCGGTGGTGATTTTTATATATATTACGTTTATTCACCAAGTGCATGTGTAAGTGTAAACACCTGTTTTTTTTCATTTTATTTTTCTCTCTGTGTGTGTGGGTGTGGTGACATTTTTTATTTGTCATCTTTGTTTGTATTGCGCGTGTGTGTGTGTGTGTGTGTGTGTGTGTGTGTGTGTGTGTTATTACGATTTTTGTTTCTCAATAATGATGATTTGAATTTATTTTTCTTTACTTTATTTCCACAATTTTTGATTATCATGAGAAAAAAAACAAACAAACAAATTTTACATTTAAATATCGATTGTCATGTCATTTTGTAAGAACACACTATGGTAGTAGTGGCAATTGATTGAAAAAAAAAAATTTTTTGTCCACAATCCAGAATATACAATTTTGTTGATTGATTTTTTTTTGTTCGTCTCCCATATCACTTCTTTTTTTTTGGTGGCTACACATGATATAATAATTTGTTTTTGATTTGAAAAAATAGTTTAATTTATCGTTTTTTTTGTTTTCTTTTTTGTTTCACACACACACACACACAACACATACATCTCTGTCTTTAAAAAAAAAAAAAAAAATGAAAACCAAAACATCCTTTTCAATGTGTCTAAGTTTTTTTTTTTGTATATAAATTTTTCGTTCCAAGTTTTTCATCATCATCATCATCATCATCATTGATCAACCGATGTATCGGTTTCACCCAATAATCAATACCACCATTGTATATGTTTCTTATCCTACCTGTTTTTTTTCATTTAAAGTTGGATAAAATAAAATGAAAATTCTGATAATTCTTTTATTCAAGAGAGAGAGAGAGAAAAAAACATAATGATATGTACGATACAATTTAAAAAAATTTCCATTTTACAAAAAATAATTTTGATCGAATAATCTATAAATTCATGGATGAATAGTTTTGTAACATTTTGCTATTTTTCAATTTGAAAAAAATTCATTAATAGCACTACTAACACCATCTATCGGTTGTGCAAACAACCAATGTATATATAGATCAGTAATTCTCAACCACTGTGCCGCGGCGCTTTTGTGTGCCACAAAATTCTGAAATTGTGCCGCCAAATTTTAGATTGACCATTGATATTGATATATGTTCGCCAAATTAAACATAATAGTTCTTGCTTGCTATTTCAACAAAAAGGTTGAGAATCACTGATATAGATTAATGATTTTCTTTTTGATTATTATTTGTTGTTTGTAAATGATGATTCCGTAGGATGTGACATTCGTATGACGCCAACACCACCACCTAAACGACGATAATTCATTGAACCACAAAGTTGCCATTGATTATCTTCTGGACTATACATTTCGATTGTTTTCAGATATGTTGTACCATCGAATCCTAATTGATATGGATAATTGTTAAAATGAGTAAATGTCAAAATGAATCAAAAAGAAAAACAACAAACCTCCAACGGCATAAAGAAGTCCATTTACAACGGCAAGACCAACACCTGAACGTCTAGTAGTCATGGCCACGATTGGTTGCCATGTATTGGTTTGTGGATTATATCTTTCTGCTGAACTAAGTTCAGTAGTATCATCACGACCACCAACAGCATAGATCATATTATTATAAACAGCACAACCAAGATGTTTTCTTCGTGTCCACATTGGTGCAACTAAATTCCATCGATTTGTACGTGGATCATATCTTTCTACGGTATTTAATGGACTATTACCATCCGATCCACCAATGGCATAAAGATAGCCACCGAGTACTTCAACAGCTACACCAAGACGACCTGAAGTCATACCGCCTAATTTTGTCCATCGATTTGATTGTGGATCATATCGTTCGACAATATTCAAACATGAAACACCATCCTGTCCACCAACTGCATACAGATATCCATCGAGAACAGCAACGCCAACCGAAGTTCGACAGGTTGAAGTTGGAGCAACATCGATTGACCATTGATTTGTATGTGGATCATAGCGTTCAATACTGTTTAGATACGATTGACCATCATGTCCGCCGACTGCATAAAGTAATTCATTCAATACAGCACAACCAACACCACAACGACGTTTATTCATCGGTGCAACCATACGCCATTCACGTGTTTGTGGTTCATAACGTTCAACCGAAGCGATAGCATCACCACTACACCATCCACCAGCCGCGAATAATACTTCCCCACGACGAACAGGTTTACGTGGCCGAAAACGTGGACCAACCATTAACGTTCGTTCCTGTGGTAATAATAGATAATTCTTCGCTTCATCCACCAAATCACGACAAGCTTCATCATTTTTGACCAATATATCCGAGGAAACGGTTCCTACTAAAAACTTTGCTGACATTTGTGATAATCGTACATGTTGCAATACATGAGCTAGATGTTGACCACGTTCTTGTACATTATAACGAACCCATTTCATGATTGCATTATAAACTTGTTCTTCAGATGTTATGTTCAATTCATCGGTTGAAACAATATCGATCAATTGATTGACAGGCAATAACAGAAATTCTTCATTTTCAATCACTTCTTGAAAATAATCTTGAGTATATTTATCGGCATAATGTAGAAGATCCTGACATGCATGTGTATCAGCAAACGAACGTATCCCTAGACAATTGGATGGATCAAGTTCACGGCGTAAAAATTCGCAACAAACTTCTTGTATTTCGTTCATTTGTAGAAGACAAGCAGCAGGTAATAAAACTTGAACATTATTTTCTTCAATAACTATATGTGAAGTGTATGCAAATTCAATCAATAATTCCATTGCGTGTTCATCAATATCTCTGATGATTACTTCTGTTTGTCTGGATTCGGCTAATTCTCCGGTGAACATGGCTAAATAGCGTAAAATAATAATTAATTTATTGCTACAATTAATAAAACTAAATGGTAACAAATGCTAATGATTCTCACCAAGAAAATAAGGGCTATATGCAGCTAATAGAACACGATGAGCGTAGATTTTTCGTTGACCAACAATGAGAACAACATCACAAAGTTCTCGACGTCGACGTAATATTGATAATGATTCTAGCAATAATTTAGGATGTTTTTCCGATGTATATTCAAAACGTTTAGCTACGGTATTCAAATCAAGATTAGTAACCGATGAAGAATTTGATGAAGGTATTGGTTGTGGTGGTCTTAATGAATAATGAAATCCAGTGGATAGAATTAGATTTGGACTTGAATTCAACAAAGTCGATTGACTTGAAGTTGGACGTGGTGGTGGAGGTGGTGGTGGTGTTGTTAGCGTTGGTCCAGAATTATTATTCTGTTGTGATGATGATGTTGTGGAAACATGATTCGATGAAGAGGATGATGGCTGCATTGTTGATGAATTTGATGCATGTCCATAATCCATACAGATATCTAATGGATTCATAGCACGTTGATGATGCATACTAAATGACGATTTAGAAATTTATAAGAATTTATTATTCTTTTTTTTATAGACCAATAAAATGATAATCATCCATGAATGAATGATATCTTGGATTCTTTTCTTGTATGTAAACAAATTGATGGTCAAAAATATTTCATTTGAGTGATAAAAGAAAAATTCGAGTTTTATAAACAAAACTGTCCATAGATGACGTTCGCATCTGTTTGATATATAGCGCGCGTCAATTTCGAACATAATAAACAAACAAATTGAATTTTTTAATTTTAATTTTTTAAAAATCCGATTTAATCCACATGTTCAACGAATAAATAGAAAACTTTTAAATTTACACTTTTACTGCTAAGAGGGGATAAAGTTCCCATGATCCAAAGTTTCATTTAAAAATGATTAAAATTGCAAGAAATTCGATAATAATCGTTCAATCTATAGACGCTCATCATCTGGTTTATCGGCGAAAAAAAAAATCCATACAACGGATGAAAATTAACCAAAAAATTATCGATAAAAAATGTACAGAAAGCAAAACCTGAGTCATCAAATCTACAAATGATAAAACCAGTTACTTTTCGAATATATTCGAATTTATAATTGGACATGTGAAAATGTAAACATGTAAATAATGATTTTCAAACCAATAAAATATCGATCGATTATGATAAGAAAACAAACGAAAGCAAACGTTTCGAAATCGATAAATTCTTTGCTGACCAATAATAAATACTACTATGACAATAACAGCAGCAACAACAACAACAACAACGTTACGAATGTTTATCAAACCAAAGCCTATATGTATGATCGTTAGATGATAATCGTATGCTACATACCACATGGTGGTAATCATGGAGAGAATAGTAAAATATAATCAAGGTATTTGTACCAGTGGGACGACAACTCTTGAATTTAATCCTTTTCGTTTCTTTTGTTTAGAATAGTAATAAAAAATTTTCTTGATGATTATCAATCTCGCGATAATCACTGATGATATCTCTGCCTACCGAGAATTTTTGACTATAAATATTCGGAACATTTTTCTTCGATTTGTCATTATTATTCCACATCTCAACAGCTGATCAGAATCTATTATTCTCGTGCAAAAATGACATTATCATTCGTATTGGCCGTGAAATTTTTTCTGATTTATCTGTTTTCATCATATTTATGGAGCAGTTTTTCACAAAGTGGAAGCAATTATAATGATGAAGATGCTACCATGAATGATGTCGCTGATTATGGTGGTGGTGGTGGTGGTGGCGGTCTTATAAGATGGCCTTCATTATCCGAAATAATACCATCGTCATTAGATCATTATCATCATAATAATAATTCTATGAACGATACTTTTGGCGGTTATTGTACCAATGATGATAATTTGATTCCAATGACAAATTTGGAAAAAAATCTTTCTTGTCATACGGTCAATATTGAAGAAAATGGCGATGATGAACGTATCGTTAATGGAACACCAGTTGGTATTGGTCAACGTCTATATCAGATTGCATTATTTCGTCGAAATAAATTCGTTTGTGGTGGATCATTTATTACTCGACGATTCATATTGACTGCTGCACATTGTGTACGTGGCTATAAACCAGAGGATTTTAAAATCCGATATGCATCACGTCAATACGATTCTGGACCAACGATGGCCATTCATTCCATTTTCATACATCCAGATTATAATGCTGCTTTAGTGCAAAATGATATTGCTCTATTACGGCTATCATATCCATTGCCGAAAATTCCATTATTAATTGGTACAGCTACGCTGAATGAAGATGTTAATAATGAATTGGAATCTAATCAAAGTGTTATTGTTAGTGGTTGGGGACGTACTGGTCGATCATTGCCAATTTCAAAACGTTTATTAATGGCCACATTAAAAATAGTTGATAAACAACAATGTAAACAACAATGGGAATCAATGTTCAATGTTAATACAGAATCAATGATTTGTGCTGCCGATATCGACCGAAGTGCTTGTAATGGTGATTCAGGTGGACCATTAACAACCATGGATGATAAATTAATTGGCATAGTATCGGTTGGATCATCTACATGTTTATCATTGAAACGACCAAATGTCTATACAAATGTAGCCTATTTTCATGATTGGATTCAAAAAACAATCAACGAACATTTCTAATCGATTAAATCGATAAACAAACAATTTATATTTTATATAGATAATTTTAATATCAATAAATGAAATAAAAATTTTTGAAAAGAAAATAGCTTTTAATCTAATTTAGACCCATTTTGAATTTTGTTTGGCCTACAAAAAATTTTTTTCAGTGCAACTTGGTTGTGGATTCCGTTATCCGCGGATTTTTTTTCCTATATCTATCCAATGATTCTATTTGAATTTTTTTTCTCTCTTGTCTCAAAACATTATAATTTAATTATCGCGCCCGAACCAATCATCATCATCATCATTGATGATGATGATGATGTTGATGAAAACAAAGTGAACGCCAAGAGAGAGAGAGAGAGAGAGAGAAAAATTAGATGAATAAACATTGAATTTCAATTGTGATTCAGTTGTACTGTTGTTGTTGTTGTTGTTATTGTTTCACACACACACACACACGGTTCGCTGGCCCATAATTCCAAATGCAAACACAGATACCAGAAACAGAGGAGAGAGAGAGAGAGAGAGAGAAAAAAAGAAAGCGAGAATAATATCCGTAGTAATACCCGAAACAAATTCCCGATACACTTATTTTTTTTTTTTTTTTTTTTCTCGATTATTTCACAAATATTGTTTTGAATGAATCTATTGTCTCTTCATACAAGTTTTGTTTGCTATTGCTATATTGCTATATATCTATTGTTGTGTTATAATAATAAGCCAATTTAAATGGGTATATACAAAAAAAAAAAAAAATAAAAACACAAAACAAAATACGCGAAAGACGAAACCAATGGATATAGAAATGACTTGAACAATGACTATACACACACACACACTCGCGGCGTGTCATACAATCAATCAATCAATCACACACACATACACAAAAACCATCAAACGATCAAATTGACCATATGATTATTAAAGAGAGAGAGAGATGAGATTATTACCATTACTGGTATATTTTTATTATTATTCAAACAAAACAAAACAAAAATTCACGGTAATCAAGTGTTTTTTTTGTTTCGATTTGTTTTTGTGCATTCGCAAATCATGTGGATGAATAAAAGTGTGAGATGTGTGTAATCAACATTTGTTTGTTTGATTTTTTTTTGTTTGATTTTGGCCGAATTGATAATTACATCCTCATCCACACAGATATCCAATCAATAATTCTTCTCGTTTCAATTGTCCTCAGATGTTGGATGAATCTAAAAGAATCTTCAAAAACCAGTATTAAACGGTAAAGAAAACTTTTTCTTTCTTGTTTCATATGAGAGATTTAAAAATTGAAAGTGAACGAACAAAAAAAACATCAATTCTCTAGTCTATAGGAAAAAAATCGAAACATCGATCTACTGGTTTGCTGGTTCCAAACATTTCTGGCATCAAACTTATTGTTTCTGTGCATACTTTTTTTTGGCTTGTTTCGATTTGCTTGGTTTCGTTTGGTTTTGATTCTAAAATGAACATTTCTATGAAATGAAATTGATTGTTTTTGTCTGAATGCTGATGATGATGATGATGATGATGAGCCATGATTTGTATTCTTTTTCTGTGTATTATTCCTACAGAATATCTAGAAACACAGAAAAAGGAAAATTTCGTTTTTTTTCAAATCTAGACAAAAAAATGCAACGAATTGAATCGTAAATCCAATGATCCATATCGTGTGTGTGTGTGTGTGTGTGTGTGTGTTTGTGGAACTAGCTAGTAATTGTGACTATAGTAAATCTTTTTTTTTTTTTTTGTTCGTTTTGTTTCCCAAATGAAAATAGTATATATCTGGTATAGTAATAATAATTGAACTAATAATAAGTGACAATTCCCAAAACACATAGAGTGTCATTTCCATTTTGAAACCATAATAGCGGCATTAAATCTATCTATATCTATATCTATTTAGATAGATGGATGGATGGATGAATGGATGACATCAATTTCAGAAAATTTTTATTTTTCTGGTTTATATCGTAACAAAACCGCTATTCATATTATTATTATTATTATAGTGGTGGTAAAGAATGAAGAAAATTAAATATAAAAAATGGCAATTTGTTTGTCAATTTCTATACTTGAATGAAACGGCAATCGAAACATTGAAAAGGTGAACATCGAACAGGAATAATAATAATTTTTTTTTTCACAATTTTCGATTGAATCAAATTGAAAATGAAATTGAAATTCAATCCTAGCGGTGTGTATGCATGTGTGATGGATTTGGCACGTCGATCAAATTGGATTTGGACAACAACAACAGCCACCACTCATTTCTTGTTTCTTTTCACTTTTTATTCATGCATAAGCGTCAAGTTTTTATATATTTTCTCAACTTTCATCATTCAATTTGACTTTGAAAAAAAAAAAAAAAATGACAGAGATGACATTATCACACACGTGTTAAATCTCTTTAATCTCCACTCACTTCTTAGCGTGTGTGTTTTTGATGTGCAATTTACAAATTTACATTTTCGATGGAAAAAATTTGATAAATTTTTTATTTTTAAAAAAATTGAAAAAAAACTTTCTTGACAAACGAAAAAAAAACAAAGTGACTAGGTTTTATTTATTTTTTTTCTGTGCAAAAAACCTGAATATTATCAATAAATTATTGACTAGTTAAAGAGTGAGAGAGAGAGATACAAAATTGAAAATGAGATCTATACATCCAATACATGATTCAAATAACCAATGTAACAAATAGCTAGACGTAAGATTTCAATTTTTGATAATTTTTTATCCGGCGGTAATGTTGGTAATAAATGACGTAGTTGAGCAAAAGCAACATTGAATGCTTCAACACGAATCCGTTCACGAGTTGCATGTGCTAGACGATATTTTGCCGTTGCACGACGACGACGACGTCGTTCTTCACGACTTAATTTTGCTAATTCTGGATCCATTTCGGATTTTTTTTGCCTATGCTGTTGTGGTTGACCATTGACATTGGTTTTTCCATTATTACGGCCACCATTAACGTTAATTTTATTATGATTGATTTTAACACTTTGTTTACGACCACGTTTTCTATTCATCATTGATTTTTCATTATTATTCATTGTTGTTGTCGTTTCCTGTTGTTGTTGTTGTTGTTGCTGCTGCTGCTGTTGTTGTTGTTGTTGTTGTAATAAACCGGAAGAACTAGATGTACAAGTTGAACAAATTGAATTATTAATCAAACAATAATCCAATGATGTAGTATGATGCTGGTGATTATTATTCACTGATGATGAGGATGTTGTATGATGAGGATGCTGTTGTAGAGAATTTTTTCCGTTTTCCATGAATTCGTAATTGAATTCTGGTTCATGATTAACAAGTAGCAGTTTTTTATTCACATTATTATTATTATTATTATCATCATCATCATCACAAGCATCGTTGTCCAGTATTTGTAATGTGGATGAATTCAATTTATCATCAATATTGTTATTGAATAAAGTTTGTTTTGTTGTTGTTGTTGTTGATGATTATGATCCACATCAATTCGGTTGATATTTTGTGATACATCATAATATTCTTGTTGTTGAGGTTGTTGTTGTTGATAAAAAATTTGATTATCATTATTGAGCATAATTGAAGCAGTAGCAGTGGTAGTAGCAGTAATTGAATAATTTGAATCATCAACAACATTATTATTGTTGGTCGAATGATGATTATGATGATATGCACAAATATTCTGTCTTTCTAGTTGTTGTCGATGATGGTGATTATCAAAACATTCATATGATGATTGTAATCTATGATGACCCATAATGATATTCTGTGATGATGACGACGACGACGATGATAATGACGATGATGATGATGATGAATCCATCATTGATTCTAAATTTATTAATGAATTTTTTGGTTGAAATTTCAAAATTTTTCTCGTCGCCTTCGTTGTTGTTGTTGTTGTAGTATGGAATTTGTGATGAACCTGTATCGTTGACGATCTTCATCATCATCGTTGTTATCCATCATGATCGGATTATAATTTCCATGATGATTATTTACGCACATATTCTGTGTGTTTTTTTGGAGGGGAGAAAAAATTTATGTTTTGAGATTAAATGGCAAAAAAAAAATTTATTTTTTCTTTTAAAAATTAAAAGTTTTTTATTTTTATTTTTCTTTCGGAGGCTAAAACAGCTGAAAATTTCACACTATTTCATCCTTCTGTTCATTTTCATTCATCCACCTCTGTCTGTTTGTTTGTTTAGTTTTGGGTGGAAAGAAGGCTATTGTCATTCAAATTAAGGTTGATAATAAAAACGAAACAAAACATACAAACGGACAAGACACAGATGAATTGTAAATGAATGTGAATTGGAAAAAAAAGCAACAAAGGTTAACCCGGCAATGGTGAAAATAAAAAAGGAGGCATAATGATAATACATTTTTTCTCTCTCTCTCTCTCTCTCTGACTCTTTTTAATACATAAAACATACAGCTAACTAACGACGAATAAATTTAAGCCTCCATCATCATCATCATCATCATCATCGGTTATCGGTTATTGGCCATCTGGTCACACAATCACCATCATCACGATCATCATCATCATCAATGAATGGATCCGAAATTGAAATTGAAATGGAATGGATAATCAATGATAATTAGATTAATCAACACCCGAACAAAACAAAACAAAACATTGAACCATAGCCTCCTGTATGTTTGTGTTACATTTTGAATAAATGTATTCAACACGTTACAAATGAGAGACAGATGTCGTCGATTTTTTTCCTTGGATGAAGGTTTTTTTGCGATTGTAGTAGATGATAATCCTATTCATATTTAAAACTAACTATATATACTACACTGTTGAAGATTTAATTGAATAAATTCATGTCATGACAACGAATGACATGTGAAATACTAAACACTAGCTAGCTAGCTAGCCGATAATCATTGAAAACTACCATTGGTTCACCGGGACTTTTTTTTCATCACTATTAAATCCCATGATGATGATGATGGTGGTGGTGGAAAATGTGTGATGAATGAAACCTGAAACGTTTGTTTGGATCACATTTCAATAACAAAAGCTTCTACTACCTTTTTCTTTGTGTCAAACAATGTTTTTTCAAAGAAAAAAATTCATTCAATCATTCATTCATTCATCCATTGTGTCAATTGTAATTTTTTTCAATAAAAATTTTATCGTTTGCTTGTTGTTGTTGTTGTTGTTGTTGTCGGGGAAAAAAATAAACTTCTAAGACAATTAAATTTGTGGTTTCAATTGGCTTATTCGGCATCATTGAACCGGAATCATCATCATCATCATCAGGGTTAATTTCACTTGACTCATGCCTGAAATGTTTAAGTGTTTTAGTCGTCATGTGCATTAGTTCCATTAGATTGATTTTTCAAGATGATGATGCTTATGGTGATGATGGTTCATTCAACAAACAATCTTGATTTTTTTTGAATTTTGATTTTCAATGTCAAAAAATAAAATGCTAATTTAAAATATTCAAATCCATGGAAAAAAACTTACCATTTTTTTTCTCACCCATCCATCGTCATCATTATCATCGAAAGATAAATTACATTTTGAAAACTAGTGAATCACAATTGAAATTTTTGATGAATTCTTCACACACACACACACTTGACAATTTAATGATAAAATTTTGATGATTCACTTAACACCAGCGAGTGGAAAAATTTCAAATTTCAAATTTGTCCACTGGAAATTTCATTGCTTTTCATTTTGGATTCAAACATTGGATAAATTCTGTTTTAGTGATTCTATCGACAACAGAATTTTAGATTTATATATACAGAAATATATATATACAAAGAGAGAAACATAGGATACAATGTCTAACAAATTGAATTCAACTTGACTCCTCCTTCCATCATCATCATCATCCATTAATGTGGAAACATCAATATCATTTTTTGGTTCCAATTGGTCCATCCTACCTTTCTCTCTCTCTCTCTCTCTCTCTCTATCCATCCAAATCTATTGTTGTTGTTGTTGTTGCTACTGTTGTTTTCCTATAACCAAAAAATTCAATCGTATGGTACACATTAGTTATTCATGATTTTTTTAATTCACCATCATATTTATTTCATATTAATCCATTGAATACAAAACTGGATTTTTTGTTTGTTTGTCTGTTTGTTTGTTTTCAGCTTTTGTTGTTTTCAGTACTTTTAAAATCTATCTACCTGATTATGATTTAAATATATTGAAATTCATTTCAATGAATTTTGTACATCATTATAATAAAGTAAAATCAATAATGGTTGTCCAAGTATTAATGAACACCATACAACAGCATTAGCCAGATGCCATGAACGAATATTTTTAGTCACCATTTCCAATATGATTTGTGAACACATTCCAAAGAAAAAATGTACACTTAAACGTCTTAATGGTACTGAAACAAAATATTCATGAAATATGCCAGAAAATACGAATATCAAAAATGCTGCTTGAAATTGGCTATATCCTTTATTTATTATGGGTATAAATGAATGACGTTTTAGCCAACGATGGATAGGTAAATTCCAACGACGCCAAAATTCTGATATCGTATGACTATTCCACCAATCATCATAGAAATGTCGGTCAGCAAAACAAAGCATTTCGGCCATTAAATTCATTACTGATTGAAAAATGCAATAAAATCCTAATAGCCATATGGTTATTGTAGCCAACTATATTATGGTTACGGATTTGTTCAGAATTTCAATTCAAACAGAAAAAAACAATTAAAATTTCAATTTAAAATCAAAATCATCAATTATATTGTTATTATTATGATAAACATACCGACATTTTGGTCCATTGTGAAAGAAATTGTGAAACAGTTATTTCTGATAGATTAAAATGTCTATCCTCTAATGGTACGATGACCCATTGTTGAATTAGAACGCAACCTAATTCCGTCAGAAACACCTACATTCCATAAAAAAATTAACCATGTTCAATGTTTTCAAGAGAACAAAAAAAAAAAAAAAAACACTTACAGATTCAATCAGACATCGAAACATGAATGTATAATTGCGAGATTTTTTCATTGGAAAATTACATTGATAACAATTTGTTGGTAGATACAGAAATTGAAGAATATTTGTAATGGAAAGATTATCTGGATAAAGAATCAATTTTGATGGATCCCATGAACGAAGTGTTTCACCTTGATATAGTTCTAATTTTTCATTTGTCTCTTTTGTTGGTTGTAAACAGCCACCATATACTTGTGCTGTACGCCACCATGCATTGACTTCATGAAATGAATAAAGTTTAAAAAATACGATACAATACCATACACATAAAATGGACAACAGATATGGATTACAATCATATGTGATGGACAATCCAATTGGTATAAACATCATTGAAAACAAAATTAATAGCCAAAATGTGCGAAAAATTTGTTCTTCTTTTGGACAAGTACGAAAACGCAATATATGTATCAATTGGCCATCAGATTTCGGTGCAAATGTGATAGATGATTCGGGTAGATTTTCCTGTGAAACACGACCCATAGATTCCAGATAAAAGACATATGAACGTTCAATAAATAATGAAAATAATGCCATCATATTGGTGAACAAAAGGGCTAATAATAATGGATGATTTTCATGATAGAATATCACTTCAAACCATCGTATTGGATTAGCTTTAAAACCATATTTGGTTGCATTCTCTAAAACTAATCTTCCAACTGATATAAGCTACAGTGGTACAGTTAAACAATTCATTATTATTAACAATTGATCAAATTATTAATCAACAAAATACTCACCAAAAGAATATTGATAAAATTCTTGAATCCATCAAAATCTAATTTTAATTTATAATCACTGAATGTCGATTCTTTTCGATGATGTATCCTATTTTTTGTGGTAAAAAAATGATTAGTTTCAATGTACCCACATTATTATTAACCAGAATTTATTCGTTTTTTGAATACGCACTACTTACACATTATCATAGAATAAAACATTTGTTTCTTCTGGTTTCAATATATCATTATCATTATTATTGCCATTCAGGCCATTGTCCATTGTGGATTTTTTTCGTTCATTTTTATTCGAATCACTCATTTTCAATTGAATGTGAATATTTGTTTTCTTCGAATTTTTTTTCGGTACTAATCAAACACAACACACACACACATGAAATTAAGGAAACATTTAAAAGACGGACATGTCTCTGTCTCGTTCGTGATTATCATTATCGAATATAGTTAAATCATTGATTTGGATTATCATTCACAAAAAAAAATGAATGATAAAAAGTAAATGTTTTATTCGCATCATTTGATTATCGAAAAAAAAACCATCATTTGCCATTGCAAAATCATTTCCATGATCAAGTGATGTTTTCGTTTCGAAATAAGAAGAAAAAATCGGCTAATGTCAAATCAAAGACTTGTTTTTCATTCATTCCCATTATCAGTACGCTGAACACAGAACAAGTTGATATTATTTTTTTTCAATCATCCTGATTTGTTGTTTTGTATCAAGGACAAAAAAAAATCTAATTTACAAACGATAACAGACAAACAAACAAAAAAATAATTTTAATTGATTTTAATTTTTTTATTTTATTTATATTTAAAATTTCAATTCAAGATGCTAATGTTGTTCTATTATTGGTTGTTGTATTTAAATTATCATTTTCAATCAATGGTGGTAGATTTTTCCATTGAATATCGCCATTGAATAGTAGATAATTGGGTGAAATTGTCGTTGACAAATGTTCTGTCTATTTGATTGAGTGAATTGAAATTTTAGAATTAAAAAAAAACAAAAGAAACAAAACATTTAAACATTACCTGAACACGTGTATATCGTACTAATAATTCTAATATCAATGGATCGGCCATCTCTTCTTTCATGCCAAGTATTGTACGCCAAATAGCACTGGCCAATATACAATCATTAGTGGCCAAACCTTCATCAAGTCCAAATAATGTAGCGTTGAATTCAGCATATAATTGCTGTACCATAACAAATTTTTTTCGACGCTTTATATACTAAAAAGCATAGAAAATGGACCATATGATTTTTTTTGAAACTCTCGATTCTTACCGATAATTTATCCAATCGATTATTGACATCTTCCCACATTCGTTTCAATAATTCATTACGTAATGTTTCACCATTCACCTTGTCTTCCATACAACGGCTGGCAATCATCCTAATTCAGAAAAATCAATTGTTGTTTTAGTAAAAAGAATTTCAATTTTTTTTTTTTTGCAATTACCATACATGTAATCGTGTAATGCAGAACCATGAATTGAATGTATCATCCAATTTAAGTGTATTGAAAAATCTGGTTATATCAATTTTATCCGTACAAGATTCGTATAGAAATATGCTTGATTTACGTATAACAAATAATGGTGGCGTTTTGAAACCAAGCATTTGACGTGCTCGACATATTTTTTGATCACCTTTATCAGGTAATAATGAATAATCATAAATTGGCTTTTTTCAAATGGAAAAAGAATTGATTGTTGTTAGAATTAGAAATTTTTTAAATTCTATTTTACATCAAACCTTTGATGATGATGAATATCGAATCTGACCAATTTTCGTAGCATTGAAGCCAGAGTAATACGCTAATGTTCTCTGTAGAGGTCTCATCTTTTTTTGTTTGTTTGTTTTTGAAAATTTATGACTATTGAGATTCTAAGAATGAATTAATGGAAAGAAAAAATTTAAAAATTTGAAATTTTTTTTTTAAATTCCAATCACATGTTCTCGTTAAAGAACGTTTGTAGCGGATCATTCGTAAACGACGTGGCAAATTATTTGATTTCGAGCACATGTTTCAATTTGTCTGAATATATTGTTTTGATTTTATTTTCCGATTTTTATTTGATCATCATCATCGTCATCATCGACCAATTATGCGTCCGCTAACTGAAGAGGAAACCAGATTAGTTTTTGAAAAATTATCTAAATAGTAAGTTTTGTTGCATTTTTCGAAATTTCTTCAAATTGATTCATGAATTTTAATGATAATTAGCATTGGTGAAAATGTCAAATGTTTATTGGATCGTCCCGAAGGAATTTATTCATTCCGGTTACAAAAAGAACGTATTTTCTATGCAAGTGAACGGATGATTAAACTTGCTGCAACCATAGCTCGTGAGAATTTAATTTCATTTGGAACTTGTATTGGAAAATTTACGAAAACACGTAAATTTCGTTTGAATATAACGGCATTAGAATTTTTGGCTCCATATGCAAAGGTAAATGGGTTTATATGATATGTTTGTTCATATTTTTGATTTTGGATGTATTTTCATTTGCACGTGCAGTATAAAGTATGGCTAAAACCAAATGCTGAACAACAATTTCTATACGGAAATCATATACTGAAATCTGGTCTTTCACGAATCAGCGATAATACGGAACAATATCAAGGTGTCATCATTTATTCGATGAACGATTTACCATTAGGTTTTGGAGTGGCAGCAAAATGTTCGGCCGATATTCGTGTAGCTGATCCGATGGCCATTGTTGTATTCCATCAAGCTGATACAGGCGAATATCTTCGTAATGAAGATTTTCTTGCTTAATTAATTTCTGATCGTGAATTTATATGAATTTTGTATTATAATTTTTTTCTTAATTTGAATAAATTTTAATTTTTTGAATTAAATTTCGAAAAAAAAATTCCAAATAAAAATCGTTTTGCAACATGAAAAACTTTTCGGAAATGAATTAGGGACAGACTCCGCCTATACTGAAATCATGTCCGAAAAGTTACTCATTCTTGAGATGATCGAATCATCATTGATCATAACAAGCGGAATAATTTTTTTTGAACTCAAAATAATCGAAAAAATGCCCCAATTGCATCATAATCATTGGATAAAATTAATGTTATTAGCATTAATTTATCTAGGTCAAACGGTAATTTCTGAATGTAAATGATATTCATATTGAATTTTAAAAGTTTTTTTTTCAAATTCTGTCTAGTCATGTGATCATCATCATCATCATCAGGCCAACATAATCATCAACAATAATAATAATATTGATGATATTCAATCACAAAATATAATGAATAATAATCAAATCAACAATCTAGTCATCATTCGTTTGTATCATGCATTCAATTCAGGTAATGATAATCTGATGATGATTCTATTTCTATTTTTGATTAATTTTCATTCTCACTTTCATACATAGAACAAAATTATCAATATCGTGGTCTTTTAACCATACAGAATAATGTTCCAATCATTAAACAAGATTTAATCAATGATGAACAATTACAATTGTTACGAGAATCAGCAAAAAATGGTGACAATTATTATCTGAAAGCTGAAGCTCATCAAACATTGGTTTTCGAACATGAAAAACCATATCAGATTACTAAAACATTTATACCTGCTGTAAGTTTTTATTTTGTTTTTTATTTTGCAATTTATTAATCACTTTAAATATCGATCTATAGTGTGCATTATTGGAATCATCATTAAATGATCAGCTATGGATTTCATTAGATGTCAATTCTCGATTCGTATATTTAATGGCAAATGTTCCGAATGTTTATTGTTCGTCATCATCAACATTATCAACATCATCGATTGATAATTCTTGGACATTGAAATCATTCAATACAACTGTTTTATACAGTAAAACTGTCATCTCTTCAGGGTATGTATAATCTTTTGTTTTTGTTTCTCTTAATGATAAATATTGGGGAAGAAAACAATTTTATCAATTGTTTTTCTCTCTCTCTCCATTTGCTGTCGATTATTGCCAATCAACATGTTAATAATCGAACAAATTTACTCCAATCAATGGATTGTTATCTTGTTTTCCTTATTATCTATTTTATTTAACCAGCTCGAATAGGATAGATTCGTTTGTTTTTTAGTTTGTTTGAATGATTCATTCGATAATAGTCATCATAGTTGTCCTTGATTACCAATTTATTTAAAGAAATATTTTTTTTTTTTCGTTGATATCAATGTCCAATAATTTTATTATCATGATCATCATCATTGCCTGATTGATGGATAATACATACATATGAATATTTGGCTATAATATAAAATCTTTGTTTGACTAGTGCAATCAAGTGTCTGTGTGTGTGTGTTTATGTTTTTGATTTTTAGATATGAACAAAATTTTTAATATTTTTTTTGTCCTGCCATTTTACAAAAACAATCTGGTGAAATTTTATTTTTATTTCATTTCAATTTTCGAATTCATTCATTCATTCATAATGATGATTGCCTGGAATTATTCGATAATAGCCATTTTGCTAACCATATTACTGGCTATAACAAATGGTCAATCGATGCATGAAGATGATCCGGATCAACATCGAACACTTGTTGAATTGATTGAATCACGTGGATTTCAAGTAGAAGAACATTCTATTGAAACAAATGATGGTTACATCTTGCTTGCACATCGTATTGTATGGCCAAAAAATAGCACGATTAATTCTCAAGATTTGAAACCAGTGCTACTTCAACATGGTCTCTTTGGTGCATCATCAGATTTTTGTATTAATTCACCATTTTTACGTACGAAACGTTCACTATACGGTGATACAATGGCTTTTGCATTGATGATGACCAAACGTTATGATGTATGGTTGGGAAATTCACGTGGTAATCGTTATTCACGTCGTCATCGTACACGTTCACCAGCGAATCGTGATTTTTGGAATTTTTCCTGGGATCAGATGGCCACCGAAGATTTACCTGCAACCATTGAATATATTCGTAATGCAACAGGACGTAAAACATTAGCCTATGTTGGATATTCACAAGGAACGGCCATTATGTTTGCATTGTTGAGTCTACGTCCAGAATATGCTGATATTGTACAGCCATTCATTGCTTTAGCACCGATAACATTTGTGAAAAATATTCAATCACCAATGCGTTATTTTTCTCCAATGGAACCATTGTTAAGATTGATTGGTGGTGAATTCCTGCCATCCAATACTCTAATCGATAACTTGGTCGATAGATTTTGTGTTTATCCAGATATCCGTCCACTTTGTGCCAATTTAATTTTCCTTTTGGTGGTTTTGATAAGAAAAATTTGAATGAAACACGTATCGGTGTCTATTTACATTTTACACCATCAACAACATCTACATGGGATATAGCTCATTGGGCTCAATCGGTGAATCGTGGTCGTTTTCAACGTTTCGATTATGGTTCATCCGCACGTAATCAACGCCATTATAATCAATCAACAGCGCCCGATATTCCATTGGAAAATATTCCAACAAGTGCTAAAATAGCTTTATATCAAGGACGTAATGATATACTATCGACTGAACCAAATGTTGAACATTTGAAGCAGATTTTCAAAAAATCTGGAGTCACTTTGATTCGTGATTTTATTGTTTCGGATCCAAAATGGACACATTTAGATTTTGGTTTTGGTGAAAATGCTGGAGTTTTATTTATAAATGATATGATTGATACATTGGATAAATATGCTAAATAAATGAATTTCCTGATTGAAAAATAACCAAAATAATAATAAACTATTTCCTTATTTATATTGTCTCTTTTGTTATTTTTTTTCCAAACTTTACAGACCAGAAACAAAAACCTATTTATTACGTGTTGAACAACAAAGACAGGAAAAATTACGCGGCAATAAACAGGATAATCGATCATTTTTAGCTAAATACGTAAGAATATTGAACTAATTACCATTAATGATGATCATTAATTTGTTTTTTTATTTTTATTTAATAACAGTGGATCTATATTGTTCCCGTAATGTTCTTTATGATATTATCATCATCAATGAATCCGGAGGCTGGTGGCCAAAGATAATCTCATATTGCGCAATTTAATCTTTGTCATATACAATATGAATAGAAAATCATGTCAAATTCCAAATAAAATTTATTATATTCAATGAAAAAACAAAAATAATTTCAATAATAATAATAATTTCAACTGATGACAATCAATGATGACCTGAGATTGAAATATTGGTCATTGGTAATAATTCTAATGATGATGATTTTGGATCGGGAAATGATTGCTGATGTTGTTGTTGCTGTTGGTCCAATATACAAACATCAACATCATCATCGCCAATTTTAATCGCGATTGATTGAGATCTTTTCTTAATAATAATACTTATTTCGGCTAATAATTGAACTAAAAATAATCGATCAACATTATTGGCAATTAGATTGAGAAAAAACCAATCAGACATTCGTAATTTAGTCAGTAGATCAATCATGGCTGGATCATTTTCACAATTAGATGATTTCATTAATAAATCACAAAGAAATTTGGAACGCATTTTTGGCCAAAATGTTTGCGCTAAACGATGTAGAAATGTAATCATAAATGCAACAAACATAATTATGATCCAGAACCAAATGAAAAGAAAAAATTTATCATTGAAAATATTCATCGGTAGCATACATAGAGAATCGAGATTTTCCCATGCACCAGAAGGACCATAGCGGCGATATTCACATTTGGTCATACGAGGAAATATCTGTTGTTCACAACAACATCATCATCAGTCAGTAAATTATTAAAATTGTAACAAAAAAAAGTACATAAATACCATATTTATAGGATTCAAATCACGATCATAATTGCTATGCCAAAATATTTGAACTGCATCAATACCATACGAGAGATATCGGCCATCGAAAATTAAATTCAATGTATACATCTGTGCGAATAGATTGGTGAAGGCAATAATTTCACAAAAATAATAGCCCCACATATAACGATCATTCGAACCGAATGATGTGACAACATAATTAGCGATACGTTTCAATTTTATATATTCCGATGATTGATTATGTTGATGATCCACTAACATATCGGCATGCGATACCAATGATCGAATACGACGGCATTCTAATTTTTTCCATAACCAATGTGGAAAATAGAACCACAATCCGCCCACAAAATAGATCATCCAAAGCCAATGATAATATTCGATAAAACTACGTTTCAATTGATGCGATTGATCTTGGACGCGGTTTAAACGAATGCCTGGAAATATTCCATTATGTCTCGTCATTGAATTTGAAGTAGATTTCTTCATTGATGTTGATGGTTCATAAACAATATATGTTGTATGTATGAGACAAAATGTATTCAAAAATTCCGATTCAATCGAAAGGGCTGATGCATCACAATTGATTAATTTACCAATCAATTGATTTGAACAAACAACAACTAAACCGGCCAACATTAAAATGGCTGTCATACGGCAAACAATACCGAATACAAGACCATCAATAGATAATGATCGTCGTTGTAGAAATGAAAATAACGCTCGAAGTTCATCAAACATTTTTCCATTTATTGTTTCACATACAAAGATGCATCTGATACTGATACACGCACACACTGTGGTTTTCGAAAAAAAGTTGTGTATTTCGAACTATCGTATATATCGAACTTGGAAAACAAAAAAAGGTGAATCAAAGAACAAAAAAAAAGATGAGATCGAACTTTTTTCGAACATTTTTCGATTTGGTTTGATGATTGAATGTCATTTATAAAACAAAAAAAGTTACAGAAAAAACCAGAAATGAATTACAATGATCAACGTTATATGTGGCATCATTTTTTCTTTGAATGAGATTATCAATCGAATTACGGCTTTGTTTGAATTTCTTACGATATCCTCTCCATATATCCTCTCATATATTCGGCATGTTTGGCTTTTCTAAGTGCATGATTCTAATCCTAATTTACTATTTAAAAAGAAAAAATGACAAATCAGTAATTTGAAAATTTTAATAAAATAAATAATTTACTTGCAGTGTGGATTTAGGTTTTTAGTTGGAAAAATGGGCAATGAGAGTTTATTTTTTGTTCTCATTCATCTCATTACCTTTATAAGAATTTCGATGCAATAACAATGCGGCCTTTGAATTTTTGGAGCGTTTTGTTGATTTTTGTTTGTGAATGGAAATTTTTATGGATTTTGAATCATTTTGATTGACTAGACCAGGAGTGGGCAAACATTTGGTAGTTGTTTGCAAAAAAAAATTGTTGTCATTAGCGGCGGCATTACAGTGGCGCTTGTTGGCTAAATTGGTTTCCGTTTCCGTAATATTTTTCCGTAATGTTTGCATCGAAACATTTATCAATTCACCATCAGGATGATTTACTGATGAATGTAATATTTGTTTTGATGATTTTCCTTGATGTTGAACGGCATATGATTGATGATTACATTGTTGTTGTTGTTGTTCATGAGATTCATTTGATTTTTTTTCAATACATTTGGATTTACTTGCAACTTTATTATGATTATCATCCTCATCGTCGGAATCTTCAATTTTGATTATTTCAGGTGGTGATTTTTTCGTTGAACCCCAAGTAGATTGATCAGTTGATGATGATCCGTTTTTATTATTTGGCTGAGGGAAATTTTCAACCAGAATCGGTAATGGAGCATGTTGAGAATTATTCGATATCACTGGTAATTGAATTTGATCACCATTTTGAACTAAAATTGGTCTAGAATTAAATAACAATACTTTTCCAGTGAATGGTTGTTTTGGTCTAATGTCGGTGGATAAAGTTGGCAAAACTTGTTCGTTTGATATTGATGATTGAGATACTGGAATTCTATTATCGTTAATCATTATTTGGCCAAAAATTGGTAGCTTATTATTGATCAATGTCGATGTTTGTTGTTGATATTGATTGTTTACAAGCATTAATTGATCAATATTCGGAATGATTGGTCTAATATATTGATTTCCAGCTATTCTCATCGCTAAAACATTAGGACTAGAGGTAGCAGTTGCGTTTATTGTTGAAATTGATTTTCGAATCTGATGGCCATTACCATTACTGGTGCTTGGCATACAATTGAATGGATCACAATTGATAACTAATTGTTCAACATTTTTTGTTGAATCTTTTTTTTCAATAATCAAAGATTCACTTGACGATGATTCACTTGTTGTTGATGATATATCACTGTCTGATTCATCATCATCATCAGATATTATGGTCAAAGTTCTTGGTTTATTCATTGAAAAGGCACATGATTTCTTTTTGGCTAATCGAGATAATTTTTCGATATTTTTGTGCAATTTTCTATTTACATTAATTTTTGATTTTGTCATTGCAGCTGGAAGAGCCATCTGTTGATCAACATTCAAATGTTTGGCATCATTAGTGATATTGAATGTTGTTGTAATGGATTTTTTTAAATTTTTCCATGTCATGAATTTGTTGGGAAAATCATTCATTTTAGATTGAACATCATTTTTTTCGACAATTTTTCGGAACACTATTTTCATATTTTGATTGATCCATTCATTATCTTTTTGAATTTGTTCACATTCTTTTTGATTCAACAACATTAATTGGACTAGATTATCATAAAAATATAGTAATTGAAACAATTCCAAGTTTATATGCTGTTCATTCGAAGATTTGACAATATTTTGGCCACTAGTTTCCGGTAGTGATGATGATGATGATGAAATCACATGTTTTATATTAGGAATCGTTGTTTTGCCATAAAATTTTTTTCGTCTAGCCATCTTGTATTGTTTTTATCTATCGATAGATTTATTTGACCGGAATAAACATCAAAAAAAAATGACTTATTGAAACAAAACAAAAAAAAACTATTACCTTGTTATATCACGAAAACAAAATGGCTGATAAAACTGGTTAGTCGTTTCTTACAAGAAAAAAAAATCAATTCACACACACACACACACACACATAAATACAGTAAATAGAAAAAAAAAAAAAAAAAAGTTTATATGATCTCTGTGAATGGAACCGATTTTTTTTCTCGTTAAATTGTTTTATTTATTATTCAGAGTAAAAAAAAAATTCATACACAAAATGAACTATGACTAACATGAACGAAAAAAAAAATGCTAGAATGAATATTTTTCACTCAATTTTCGAGATCAATTCAAAATACGCATGTTCAGTGGCCGTGTTTTTGATTTTCTATTTTCTATTTTTTTTTTTATAGGAAGACCATGCTCAATATATTAATTCGAAATGCAACTGCGTGCTGAAATGAAGAAAATGTAAAAAATTCGATTGTGCTGCCATTATATATGTATTTTTTTTTAAATATTTATTTATCTATCTATCTATCTCTATCTCTATCTCTTTAAGAGGCTAACGTTTGTGTGTAACTGCAACTTTTACACTCGCCAAGTGCTTGCACTGTGTACTAGCACTGTGTATTAACTTGGCATTTAATGCGGCGAAGCTGAGCCGGCCATTCCTGCTTATTTTCAGTACAAACATAACTATTTAGTATGAGCTACTCAGTGTGTGTTGTGTGTGTGTGTCTGAGCATGCGGGAAAACTTTTGAATGCCGCTGAACAGTTCGTCCAGCTCAGAAGTAGAAGTCACTTCTGTGGTATGTAGCTTTGACAAAGCTTTTTTTCATTGTTCTAGCTCAGCACACGTTGCTGCAGCTTTTGCATTCAATAGATGGTGCAGTCATTCAATAGAACATAGAAAGAGTTCGAATTCGAATTTTAGATGGTGACACACGTGATTTTCATTTTGTGTGCATGTATGAATATGTGATGAGTATATGATGATATTGAAAAGTGAGTATTGTTTTTATCAATTCTAATCTAATCTAATCACCATTCATTTTATATTCCGAAATCGAATTTGAATTCGAATAATTTTCATTTCATTTTTTGTTCATGTTTGTTCACCATAATCATCATTAATTTTTTTAGTGTTTTCGTTTAATTGTTTGTTCACCATCATCATTCATTTTTTTAGTGTTTTCGTTTGAAGAAAAAATAAAGAAAAGAAAATGCTAAACGAACAAGAAAGAGCAAAATTCGTGATAATGAAAATAAATATATAATCGGTATGTGTAGATCAATACAGAATTTTTTTTCTGATTAATTTTGTTTTTTTTTCTAGCATTACAAAAAGACATGAAAATCGTTGGTTACCGTTGTGATTGGCCAGAATGTGAATTTCTTACCTGCCGTAAATATGTTATGGTCAATCATACAAGAAGAGAGCAAAATTCGTGATAATGAAAATAAATATATAATCGGTATGTGTAGATCAATACAGAATTTTTTTCTGATTAATTGAGAGCGACACCATCGATTATTTTTTTTTCGGGTGGTCAGCATTACGATAAAAGTCAATGGAAAACATACCAATCAAAGGCCTTATTCATGTGACATGCGTAATTTTACATTTGTCAAACGTTATTTTCTCAAAGCCCATATGTATAAAGTACATAAACGGCGAATGAGTTTAGATGACCGAAAAGATCAACATGACATGTGTTGTACAGCGGAAAGGGCGAAGGCAGCGCGAGGCCTTGTGCGGTGCACAGTCTGCACAGGCGCCTCGGCCGGCCCTGGGTACAATACACAAGTCATGGCTGACCCTGCGGTACCAAACCGAAAGCCGGAAGCAAAACGCCGTGCATAGAAATCCACCGTCAGGCACGAAGCGTTAAAATTGACACCTTTGGCTGGATGCCAAGCAGGGGGCGGCGCCGCCGTCCCCTCCTGCGGGTATCCAGTTATATTGACCGTCAAGGATTTATACCTTTGACTGGATGCCAAGTAGGGGGGCGGCGCAGCCGTCCCCACCTGCGGGTATCCAGCTTTATTGACCGTCAAGGATAGACAGCCCCGCAGGGCCAGCCTGGGCAGGCGCGAAGCGCCTGTACCGGGCTGGTAACAATTGATGCTCAAATTGATAAGAAAAAAAATCATAATTTTTCGAAATGATGATTTATTTTAATAATAAAATGATTTCGATGCTGCCAATGATCAATTTGCAATGGTAATGTATTATTATCATAAATTTTTTTTTTTGTTCAAATTTTATTCATGTCATTCAATTTTCAGTTTAAATTGATTTTGTTTTTGTTTCGTGAGTGTGTGTGTGTGTGTGTGTGAATATTTACATTTACAAAGATTTGATTTATTGTTTAATTTTTGTGTGTGTTCAATAATTCAATGTATTACGTCTTAGTCCAAATTTTTCGCAACAATTTAGCTACGTCCAAACAACGGGAAAACGATAATCGTAATAGCAAAATAATATTACGTCCAAGTCTTAGTCCAAATTTTCGTAATGATTGAGCTACGTCCGAATCGAGTCCACGATAATCGTAACCAATATGTCACGTCCAAAACAATTTTCGCAACCAATGAATGATCACGATACAAAATTTTCGTAATACTTGAATTACGTCAAAGTCAATATTCGAAATCAATATATGATCACGATCACAGTACAAATCATTTAATAAATGTGAAGAAATAACCAAGACAACTTTCTTAGTTAAATAAACGTAGTTTATTAAATGATTGTATCTTAATACAATTCAAAAATCAAATAAAACAATAAATACAAAACTTCAAAAGCAAAAACACATGTACAATTTTCTTGCTAATACTGGCTCGCTCACTCTTTTTCAGTAGAATTTGCGCCAATTGCTTGGCCCGTTCATCGAGGACGACCCACTTCACGACAGACAGCCCCGCAGGTGCCAGCTCTGAGCAAGCGCGAAGCGCCTGTACCTGAAGCTGAGTAACAATTGATGCTCAAATTGATAAGAAAAAAATCATAATTTTTCGAAATGATGATTTATTTTAATAATAAAATTTTGTTCAAATTTTATTCATGTCATTCAATTTTCAGTTTAAATTGATTTTGTTTTTGTTTCGTGAGTGTGTGTGTGTGTGTGTGTGTGTGTGAATATTTACATTTACAAAGATTTGATTTATTGTTTAATTTTTGTGTGTGTTCAATAATTCATGTTTTGTTTTTTGTTTTTGTATTTTTTTGAATTATTATTTGATGAGCGCCAAATTATTTCAATTCAATCATAATGTTCGCTAGATGGCGCCAGGTGGATCGTGTTAATTGTTTTTTTTTTAAATTTAAATTTTTGTGTTTTATCGATTTGAGATAATGATGATGATTTTAAATGATGATGATGATGATGGATAAATTGGTGAATGAATGAATGAATGAAGAGCGAAAAAAAAATTCACAAATAGAAATAGAAAACATGGACATAATAAAATAATAATAATAATTGAATGAATTGAATGATAATCAAGAATTTTTTTTGTTCGATGATTATTGAATGAAAAAAAACGTGATGAAAAAAAATTTTTTTGTTTCAAAAAAAAGCAATCAACAACAACAACAACAACAACAGTGTAACAACAACAAAAATAATATATTTTTTTTCTCGTATAAACAACAACAACAACAAGATGAATTTTTTTCAGCGCATGTGTGTCAATAATTAAATCATCAATAATCGATTATTAATCACCGGGATTGATGGATGAATGAATGGATGGATGGATAGATCGATCGATCGATCGATCGATCGATGAATGAATGAATGATGATGTAACAAGATAGAACAAAAAAAATCAGTTTAGCCAACGAAAGTATTGCCAAAAATTATATGAAATGAAAAACGAAAATTTTTGAAAGGAAAAAAATTTTGTTCATCATCAAAATCTTGCATTCAGTAATTTGAGATAATAAATAGATGTGACATTTAAGTATCATTATTATGATTATTGATGAGATCAATGATTTAGGTGTATGAGTTCGTTAGTTTTTAAATTATTTTACCATGTTCCAGTTGTCCAACATTCTTGTTGTTGTTGTTGCTGCTGCTGTTGTTGACCATTGTTAAATGATGTACGATGATGATGATGATGACCAAACGTTGTTGACATCATCATCATTTGATTCGATTGATTAGGATGATCAACTTGATGATAACCACCACCGGTACCGTTATTACTTGCTGTAAATTCATTATAAGAAGGTATTAAAAGCTGATCATAATTATTATCGATTGGTTGTGAATGTTGTTGTTGATCAAAACCAAAATATTGTTGTTGCTGCTGCTGCTGTGGCTGATGTTGTATGGTTGTTGTTGTCGATGGTGTTGGTTGTTTCATCGATCCATGATGATACATGTTGGTTTTTTCGTATAAACCACCATCATCATTATGATCATTTTTCATTTCCCAATCACAATAATCAATCGTTGTTGGATTGCCATTAATAAATGTATCAGCAAAATTGGTTGGATAATGTTGTTGTTGTTGTTGTGAAATATTTTTATTATTATAGCCAGTAGTAATGTCTGGAGATTGTTGATTTACATTGATCAATGCTGTCGTTGTCGTGGCCGATGTTGTTGGAAAAATCATTGGAATTGATGAATTATTATTATTACCAGGTGAATGTGATAATGATGATGGTGATGGTGATGGTGTATGCAGGAAAAATGATGAATTATTTGCTAATGAATTTGGTGTATTATTCAATAAATTCCGTTGATTATTGCTATTTATTGTTGGTGGTGTCGCTGTTGTCGTTGTCGATGATGTTGAAACACGAATTGGTTGTTGCATTTGTAGATCATTGGATAATGGCCATTGACCATTGCCATTATTATATGATGATGATGATGATGATGATGAACCATTTGATGATATCGATGATGGTGGACTAAGAAATTCATCCGTTATAATTATCGATGAATTATGATGTGTATGATGTTGATGGCCATTGGTCAATGTTAAGGCTGTATTATTATTATTGCTACAATATGATGATTGTTGTTGCTGATCAATTGTTGGATAATTATTATAACAATCAGTAGTATTGGTCATTGGTACATTATTATTATTATTATTATTAACCACAAGGGTTGAAGGACGGCGATGATGATTATGATGACAATTATTATTATTGCTATTAATTAATGGTGGTGTCAATAATGGATCAATAATCGATGATGATTGTTGTCTTGTAGTTGTCGATAACATTGATGGATATGAATTATTATTATCAATATGATTCATTTGTGGATAACTGTTGTAATTATTATTATCATTATTATTAATAACCATTGAATCATCAATAGGTTTATTATCAAATTGATGATGATGATTATTATTTACAATTGTCGTCGATTGTTGTTGATAATTATTATAAACATTATTATTATATGCGTAGATATTATCAGAATAATCATGATAAGATGAAGATTTATATGGTTGTTGTTGTTGTTGTTGTTGTTTATTATAACAAATATTTTGAACATCATTTACTGATGGTAATGGACATTGTCCATTATAAGGAATTTGCGGCTGTTGTTGCTGTTGTTGTTGATCATAAATCATATCATTATTATATACGTTATTGATCATTGTAGATTGTGGATCGATTTTAAATTTTTATTATTATTATTAACCAATAAGCCTAATGAATCATTGAATGAATCATGATTTTGATGATCACGTTTATTATTGCTACTGCTATTGTTGATGATAATGGCTGCATTAGAATCATCATATGATGATGAACAATCATCATTATGAATATCAGTGTCATGTTGATCTTTTCGGTCATCTAAACTCATTCGCCGTTTATGTACTTTATACATATGGGCTTTGAGAAAATAACGTTTGACAAATGTAAAATTACACATGTCACATGAATAAGGCCTTTGATTAGTGTGTTTTCCATTTATATGATTGACCATAACATATTTACGGCAGGTAAGAAATTCACATTCTGGCCAATCACAACGGTAACCAACGATTTTCATGTCTTTTTGTAATGCTAGAAAAAAAACAAAATTAATCAGAAAAAAAATTCTGTATTGATCTACACATACCGATTATATATTTATTTTCATTATCACGAATTTTGGCAACATCATCGCTTTGAAATTCTTGAAATAGATTCTGTTTGCCAATATAATTTTTTGAATTGTTTGCTTTACGTTTTTTATTGCTATTATTGCTATTGCTGCTGTTGTTGTTGTTGTTATTGTTGATGTTATTGTTGTTGTTGTTGTTGTTGATATTATTATTATTGTTGTTGTTGATAATGTTTTCGAAACCATAACCAACACTATTTGTACTTGTATTTGAACCATTATCATCATCATCATCATCATCATCATTTAATAATAATGCTTCTTCAAGACATTCAAATGAAACATGATCATTATCATTTTCTTCATATAATGATGATGATAATGTATCACAACCATTCATTTGATGATTACTAGCCGATTGTTGTGAATTATTATCAGATTTTGATAACAATGAGGATGATGAAGATGATGAAGATGATGATGATGATGATGATGAAGATTCCATACTACTACTATTATTGTATTCATTATTTGGACAATTTGAAAATGTAAAACAATTTGCAGAATTTCCATTAAATGTCGTTGTTGTTGTTGCCGTTGTTGAATAATTATCGATAATTGATTGATGATCAATTGTTTCATTTGCATTGATCATAATTGGATTAAGATGATGATTATTTTCATCTAAATAAAATCGAAAAAAAAATTAATTAAATTAAAATCTGTTGTAGTAATGAAATTACTTAACAATTATGTTTGTACAATATTTATAAGAGTAGCATTATTCAGCTACGATTAACATTATTTTATTATTAAATATTGTTCATTATTCATTCGATTGATTCTTACTACAACAAAATCTGTGAATTATTTTTTCATTTTTAAATCACTTACCTGTCGATGACAATAAGCACGATTCACTTGGTGTGCTGGATGAAGAGTGTTTATCACCATCATCTTCATCATTTTGGTCACAATCATCATCGTTATCATCCAGTAAACTTGTCGATTTCGGCATAGAAATTGAATTTACAACAACATCATCTTCATTATTTACTGCTGTAGTATCAATAAACAATGAATCTAGATCCAGATCTACTTGTAGATTTACTGTCGTTGTTGTTGTTGTCGGTGGTTCATGTTGTTGTTGAATGGTTGATGAATTGAATTGATTTGGATCAGATGATGATTGATCAACACCATTGATTGGTTGTTGTTGTTGATTATTTGTATTTGATTCAACAATTAATGATGAAGAATCGTTATCATCATCATCATGTTGTTGGCAATTGCTTTTATTATTATTACGATCAACATGATTATTGAGATCAACTGTATTACTCGGAATCAATGATGGTGATTGATGATTATCAACAATATTTTCATCATCATCATCATCATCATCATCATTATCATTATCATCATTGATGGTGACAATATCCATTTGATTGATAGATGAATTTTTTGTAGTTTTCTGTTGTTTCAATTCTGAATCAACCGTACCAGTAATAGCACTAGTACCACTAGTACTACTACCGCTACCACCATTCAATAGATCAAGTAATTGACTTCCGCTGCTGCTGATAGATTTTTTTCCAATTGTTTTTTTATTACCATTATTATCGGAATTTGAATCAATTCGACATAATGCTGTCAATAATGTTGGTGAATTGCATGAAATTGAATTTGTTGTTGTTGTTTGTTGTTGTTGTTGTTGTTGTTGTTGTAGTCGATGTCGTTGAGCTAATTGTTGTTGACAATGACGTACTATTGTGGAATTTGGTTGTAGTTGAAGAATTATTTTTATTGATCGATGATGTTGCAAGTGGACTTTGATGAGAATTCGATGACGCAGATGATGATGTGGATGCTGTCGATAATGATGATGATGAACGATGACGAGATGTAGATGATGTGGATGATGTTGATGAAATTGAACTTGTCACTGTTGACACAGTTGTCGTCGAAGATGTTGCTGAATTGCCGGTGGTAACTAATTTCTTAACAGTTGGCGCTTCAGGATGTTGTGATCGAATATGACCAAACATACGTTCAACACGTGCATTCATATAACCACAAGTGTTCCAATCACAACGATAACCAATCAATGATTTACGATCACCTTTACTACGTATGGCAATCATATATGTACTATTATTATATGATTCAAATGTCACTTCACCCAATTGACAAACACGTGCCAATTCATCACGACTAAGATGACTTTTCTTTTTTCTACGTATCGTATCTGCTGTTGTCATTATTGGACCATTCTGTTGTTGAGCATTTTGTTGTTGGCTATCATTGGAATTTTCATTTAAATTTAGATTCAGATGGTTACCATTCATCAATGATTTATTATTTGTTGAGATCTTCAACATTGATGATGATGATGATGCAGAAGATGGTGTTGTCGAAGACATTATTAATGGTGGTGGTGTAATTGATTTACCAACTGCACCACTACTAATAGAATTATTATTATTCATTGTCATTTGATTGATTCGTATATTCGCAGATTGAGGTAGTGGTGATGATAAATGATGATGTCGATGATGAGATTGATTCAATGATGATGAGAATAATTGATTCTGTTGAATCAATTTTAATGTTGATGAATTATTATTCGTATTATGGCAACGTTTCACTTTACCATTACTATTATTATTATACATTAATTCTGTTTGTTGTTGTTGTTGTTGTTGATTATAGAATTGTCTATTATTATTATTATTATTATGGTGATGATGATTGTTAGTCATAAATTCTGATAAAGAATTATTAATATTTGATTGCTGTTGTTGTTGTTGTTGTTGTTGTTGTGTTGTAGGCATTGTTTGATGAAAATGCGATCCAATAGAATCAATCGTTGTTGCTGTTGTTGATGAATTTGGTTGAACATTTTGATGTTGATAATTTGTATGTTGAATATTTGCAGAATAATGATGATGATGATGATGATTAGAATGATAATGATGATTATTGTTGTTGTTGTGAATTCTTTGTGGCAAACATTGATCTAAATCAATCATCATTGATGAAATTCAATCACATTTGGGTGACATTTACACATTTGAGTAGTAGTAAATATATTTCGATGATGATTTTTTTTTCTCACTAAATTATGCAAATAAAATGAACAAGAGAGAGAGATCATATTAATTGATTGTGCATAAAAGAAATTTTTTTTTTTTTTTTTTGCTTACCATTTGAAATGTAGACAATCAACTTGAACAATTGATTGATTGATTGATTGATTGATTGAAAATGATGATGAAAGTTTTTGTTTCACTATGGTTTCGCAATTCAATGACAACAAAAAAAATTTTTTTTTTTACGATTTTTTTCGGGTTAATTTTTTTGTTTGTTTGTTTGCATCAGGTTCAATTACGAAATATATCTGTATATATATATATGAAAAAAGAAGCAAGAAAAAACATATGAGAAAATGAATTCATTGTTTTCACACACACACACACACATTTCATTTCGTTTTTTTTATTTGCAAATCATCCAAAATCAAAACTGTAATCAAATTGTCGATTGAATATAATCGTCATCGTTTTTTTTTAAATTTTTAATTGATGCGAAAATGAAAAAAAAAATCATGAAATGAAATTAAAAGAGAAATAAAAATAAAAATAAATAAATTATGAAAAACCATTCAATCAATTTTTAGCCAGAGGCATTTTAACTCAATTTTAATGTGAAAATTTGATTTAATGTGAAATTGACTCACTGACAATTGTGTGTATGTGCAACCAATTGGATCATAATCATCATAATAATTGATCGATAGAAGAAGAGAGAGAAAAAAAAATTTCGACATTTTATTCAGCAAATAAAAAACGAATCTCAAATCAAATGAAATATTTATGGACGAATGAAAAAAAAAATTATCATCAACATCAGTATTGTTTTTTTGTTGTTGTTGTTGTTGTTGTTGCTGTTGTGTTTACATTTCAAATCTCTACAGATTATAATAGTCAAAATGATGAAAACAACAACAACAACATTACATTACATTCATGAATTTCGCCATTATGAATTATGAATTTCAAATTTTTTTTTCTTTATCCATTTCATTTCATTTCAGCTGTTTCTGTTGTTGTTGTTGTTGTTGTTGTTGTTGTTGTTGTCATAATTCCAAAATGAATAATGAATCAATACAATAAATTAAAAACTCTTATTTCATTTGAAATGAAGGGAAAAGAAAAAAAAAAATTTCAAATTCATGTCTATGCTATGTTTTCCGCGGAAACAGCATCAACAGCAGCAGCAGAAAAAACCAAATTCCCAATTGAATTACAATTTTCCAAATAAAACTGAAAAACAGATTTAAAGCTTTTCATCATTCATTCATTCATTCATTTTCCAGGAAAATGGGAAGGAAAAATTTTTCCATTTCATGTGTATACAAAAAATAAAACATTTTTCAAAATTTTTTCCAATGTAAAAAACAAAAATTGAATTATAATCGAAAATGATGATGATGATGCACTAGCAAAAATCCATTCTCATCATTTTTTTTTCTCTCTCTCTCTCTCAATCGATCGATCGATCGATTCGTTGTTGTTGTTGTTGTTGTTTATTCTACATAATAACCATTTATAATATTCATCATCATCATTGAAAATGGTAAAAAAAAACAATAGGAAAAAAAATTCAATTTTATCATCATTGAATTGAATTGAATTGAATTTACAATTTTTTTTTTTCGTTTCGTTTGTTCATTTCCACATTTGCACATTTATAATTGAATTTCAAACTCACAAACACACAGACACACACACACGGAGAGAAAATTATCATAAATAGAATATATATATAAACAGGAAAAGGAAAGAATGAAAAAAACGAGAGAAAAAAAACTGATTGAGAATTGAATAGTGATGATGATAATAATAAAAAAAATGATGATGATGATGTCGATACGTGCATTCATATAACCACAAGTGTTCCAATCACAACGATAACCAATCAATGATTTACGATCACCTTTACTACGTATGGCAATCATATATGTACTATTATTATATGATTCAAATGTCACTTCACCCAATTGACAAACACGTGCCAATTCATCACGACTAAGATGACTTTTCTTTTTTCTACGTATCGTATCTGCTGTTGTCATTATTGGACCATTCTGTTGTTGAGCATTTTGTTGTTGGCTATCATTGGAATTTTCATTTAAATTTAGATTCAGATGGTTACCATTCATCAATGATTTATTATTTGTTGAGATCTTCAACATTGATGATGCAGAAGATGGTGTTGACGAAGACATTATTAATGGTGGTGGTGTAATTGATTTACCAACTGCACCACTACTAATAGAATTATTATTATTCATTGTCATTTGATTGATTCGTATATTCGCAGATTGAGGTAGTGGTGATGATAAATGATGATGTCGATGATGAGATTGATTCAATGATGATGAGAATAATTGATTCTGTTGAATCAATTTTAATGTTGATGAATTATTATTCGTATTATGGCAACGTTTCACTTTACCATTACTATTATTATTATACATTAATTCTGTTTGTTGTTGTTGTTGTTGTTGATTATAGAATTGTCTATTATTATTATTATTATTATTATTATTATTATTATGGTGATGATGATTGTTAGTCATAAATTCTGATAAAGAATTATTAATATTTGATTGCTGTTGTTGTTGTTGTTGTTGTTGTTGTGTTGTAGGCATTGTTTGATGAAAATGCGATCCAATAGAATCAATCGTTGTTGCTGTTGTTGATGAATTTGGTTGAACATTTTGATGTTGATAATTTGTATGTTGAATATTTGCAGAATAATGATGATGATGATGATGATTAGAATGATAATGATGATTATTGTTGTTGTTGTGAATTCTTTGTGGCAAACATTGATCTAAATCAATCATCATTGATGAAATTCAATCACATTTGGGTGACATTTACACATTTGAGTAGTAGTAAATATATTTCGATGATGATTTTTTTTTTCTCACTAAATTATGCAAATAAAATGAACAACAGAGAGAGATCATATTAATTGATTGTGCATAAAAGAAATTTTTTTTTTTTGCTTACCATTTGAAATGTAGACAATCAACTTGAACAATTGATTGATTGATTGATTGATTGATTGAAAATGATGATGAAAGTTTTTGTTTCACTATGGTTTCGCAATTCAATGACAACAAAAAATTTTTTTTTTACGATTTTTTTCGGGTTAATTTTTTTTTGTTTGTTTGCATCAGGTTCAATTACGAAATATATCTGTATATATATGAAAAAAGAAGCAAAAGAAAAAAACATCTGAGAAAATGAATTCATTGTTTTCACACACACACACACACACACACACACACACACACACACACATTTCATTTCGTTTTTATTTGCAAATCATCCAAAACTGTAATCAAGTTGTCGATTGAATATAATCGTCATCGTTTTTTTAATTTTTAATTGATGCGAAAATGAAAAAAAAATCATGAAATGAAATTAAAAGAGAAATAAAAATAAAAATAAATAAATTATGAAAAACCATTCAATCAATTTTTAGCCAGAGGCATTTTAACTCAATTTTAATGTGAAAATTTGATTTAATGTGAAATTGACTCACTGACAACTGTGTGTATGTGTGTGTATGTGCAACCAATTGGATCATAATCATCATAATAATTGATCGATAGAAGAAGAGAGAGAAAAAAAAATTTCGACATTTTATTCAGCAAATAAAAAACGAATCTCAAATCAAATGAAATATTTATGGACGAATGAAAAAAAAAAAATTATCATCAACATCAGTATTGTTTTGTTGTTGTTGTTGTTGTTGTTGTTGCTGTTGTGTTTACATTTCAAATCTCTACAGATTATAATAGTCAAAATGATGAAAACAACAACAACAACAACATTACATTACATTCATGAATTTCGCCATTATGAATTATGAATTTCAAATTTTTTTTTCTTTATCCATTTCATTTCATTTCAGCTGTTTCTGTTGTTGTTGTTGTTGTTGTTGTTGTTGTTGTTGTCATAATTCCAAAATGAATAATGAATCAATACAATAAATTAAAACTCTTATTTCATTTGAAATGAAGGGAAAAGAAAAAAAAATTTCAAATTCATGTCTATGCTATGTTTTCCATGGAAACAGCATCAACAGCAGCAAAAAAACCAAATTCCCAATTGAATTACAATTTTCCAAATAAAACTGAAAAACAGATTTAAAAAGCATTTTCATCATTCATTCATTCATTCATTTTCCAGGAAAATGGGAAGGAAAAATTTTTCCATTTCATGTGTATACAAAAAATAAAACATTTTTCAAAATTTTTTCCAATGTAAAAAACAAAAATTGAATTATAATCGAAATGATGATGATGATGCACTAGCAAAAATCCATTCTCATCATTTTTTTTGCTTTCTCTCTCTCTCTCTCTCTCTCAATCGATCGATCGATCGATTCGTTGTTGTTGTTGTTTATTCTACATAATAACCATTTATAATATTCATCATCATCATTGAAAATGGTAAAAAAAAAACAATAGGAAAAAAAATTCAATTTTATCATCATTGAATTGAATTGAATTGAATTTACAATTTTTTTCGTTTTTCGTTTGTTCATCTTCCACATTTGCACATTTATAATTGAATTTCAAACTCACAAACACACAGACACACACACGGAGAGAAAATTATCATAAATAGAATATATAAACAGGAAAAGGAAAGAATGAAAAAAACGAGAGAAAAAACTGATTGAGAATTGAATAGTGATGATGATGATAATAATAAAAAAATGATGATGATGATGATGATGATCAAAACATCAAACAATTGATGATGATGAAACGAAACGAGAAATAAATAAATAAATTGTTCTAGTGAAGCGTTTTGTGTGTCTGTCTGTGTGTGTGTGTGCATAAGGTTTTTTTTCCTGCTATTCTCACATTGAATGATGCTTGAATTGAATTGAATATATATATATATAGTCGTGAACAATTTACAAATAATAATAAAAAAAAATGATGATGATGATTCCTTTATGGTAATGATGAAGAAAAGAATGAATGAATCACATGAATATTTGATTTGATTTTCAAGCTTTATTGATGTTGTTCAAAAAAAAAATGAACGAACGATAAAAAAAATAATGTTTTTCGTCTCTCTCAAGTTTGAAATTGTTATCATCATCATCGTAAACATGAATATTGAATCAAAAACACAGAGAGATGGAGAGAACCAGAAAATTTTTTTCAACAACAACAACAACAAAAAATGTGACAATCTGATTTTCATATATGAATATGAAAAAATAGAAATAAACAAATTATTTTTTTTTCTGCGAACGCTTTTTTTTGTTTCATTTTTCAAGTTTTGTTTGTTTGTTTTTTTTGTCTCGTTCAATTTTTTCCCCAATAACAACACATTTGAATCGATGGTTCCAGAGTTTGTGAATATGTGACCAACCTGGTCAAGATGAAGAAAAAAAAAACTATAGTGGGCGAGAAAAAATAAAATGAGAACAAACAATATTGTTCAAATGTTACGTCATATATGTAAGGAGAAAAAATTATTTTTGCTGAATATAATGGAAATAGAATTGAAAATTGAAAATGGGACAACAACAACAACAACAACAACAAAAAAAATTTCAATTTCACATTTTTTTTCCATGAAAATCAACAAACAGACAAACAAATTCCACAAATAATGTTTCAATAAACAAACAAACAAACAAACAAACAAAACGAAAAATTTTACTTTGCTTGTTTCTTGTCTATGCACAACAGAGAGAGAGAGAGAAACTTGAATTTTTTTTTCTCTGACTTGAACATCAACAACAACAACAACAACAGCTTGACAAACAAACAAACAAACAAACAAAAAAAAGCTATTTTTAAAACAGTAGTGGAAAAAAATACACACACACACAGTTTTCTCTCTCTCTAGTTATTTTTTCATTTTCATTCAATCAACATTTTTTTTTTTTTGTAATTTAGCATTTTTTGTTTTCTATTAAAATATCCAATTTTTTTTTCATTTCGTTTGAATGAAGAATTTTTTTTTCTTGTTTTATCAAAGTTTTGCCATACATTTTCAAGATGATTATTGTTGTTGTTGTTGTTATCATCATCATGTTAAGTGCAGCAGCAGCAGCAGCAGCAACGAAAACAAGAAAACAAATTTTGGTTTGAAAATGGAAAACAAAATAAGTATAAAAAACCAATGAACAAAAAAAAAAGAACATAAGCAGGCAGAGAGACAGAGAAAAAAAAAGTTAATTAATCTCTCTATACATGTTTTTCTTGTTCAATTCAAACACACATAAACATTGCTTAGCTTTCGTATGTCGAGACGAGAGAGAGAAAGAGAGAGAGAAACATGAAATAATTATGATTTAATTATTTTGGGAGAAAAAATAGAATTACAGAGAGAGAGAGAGAAGCGGAATCTTGTGATATTTGATAATAATAATTTTTTTTTTATAATTATCGATAAATAAATATATAGTAATGGAAATTCTGTATTTATAATTTCTAATTCCTCATAATTGTGTGTGTGTGTGTGTGTGTGTGGGTGTATGAATAATCTTTAAAAGAATTTCAGAATCAGAATTAGAATCAAATATGTGGAGGATGATGATGATGATCATGATATAAAAAAAAACAGAAGAGAGAAATGTATTATTCAATTATAATTCTGTTTCGTTTTTTTTTTTTATTTCCAGAATTTTGCTCACCATGATGACAGTGATGTAAAATGTAATTAATTTAGATAGAGATTTGTTTTGTTTTTTTTTTTTGCTTTATTAGAATTGAAAAAGAAAGTAGCAGAATAAAAATGCAATTTTCAACAACAACAACAACTGCAACAATGATATCACATGATGACAATCTTCAAACAACAATAATTCACCAAATGGACCAGAAAATCAGAAAATTTTAAATTTTTTTCACAATTAAAAAATATCAGCCATTTTGTTTTTCCACCACACTATCAAATTGTAATCAAATCAACGTTGTCATTATTGTAATCATCATCATAATCATTAGGAAAAAAAATGACTAAAAATTGAAAATAAAACTACTAAACGTTTGTGAACGATAATGATAACGTTTTCTAAGACATTTCACATTTTAGACTGGAAAAATTTTATTTATTTTCATTTCATTTTGTTGTTGTTGTTCCATGTTTATTCACATTTTCAATGAATCAAAAAAGAAGAAAAAAAAACAGTAACTAGAGCATGGTAAGATATGATATGATAAATTTAGATTTTTTTTTCACTTTGCTTCACTTATCGTACACACTCAAGATATCAATTTGAGAAAAAATTTTTTTTTTTCTTGAATGAAAATTATTCTTATTATATTACCAAAACGACAACAACAACAACAACAACAACAACAACAATTTGATCAATCACCAGTCCCCATTGATTGATCAAATTGTTGCACTTAAAAAAAAAAAAAGAAAGAAAAATGAATGTGAATACATTTGAAACTAATCATCATCATCAACATGTTTATTTTGTCATCGTCGTCGTCGTTGTTGTAATTATAAATCTGTGGAATTTTACCACTAAAAAATCAAAATCAAAATCAACGTCGTTGTTTATATGTTGAATAAAAATTGTCCGTGTTTGCAAGCTTAGCTTAAAATGAACGAAACTTATAGTATTCAATCAATCAATCAATTACCAATAATCAAAATAGATCAATAATTTGATTATGTGTGCAAAATAAAAAATTCAAAAAAAAAAAAAAATTGAAACAAACTTGAAAAATTGAAAATCTAAAAATTGCACATGACCATAATTGAATTGAAATACGTTGAAAACGATGAAAAAAAAAGAAAGCCAACCAATTGCTTCAGGGTCCATTGGAAATGTATAAAAATAAAATTTTTTTTCTCTCTCGTAACGAACAAAAAAAAAAAAAAAACAAAATGACCAACCAGAAGTAGAGAGTCTGCCGAATTCGTGGACAGATTGTCCGAAAAAATGAAATGAAATTTTTCGTTCGTTCGTTTGTTTGTACAAAAGTCTAATTTTGTCTGAATTTTTTTTTTTTTTTTTTTTTGTTTGTTTATTTATTTTCACAGGGCCATATATTTAAGCTGTATTTATTGCAATTTTTCAACAACAACAACAACCAGCCAAAAAAAAAATTATCATTGAAATGAAACGAAAATGCTGATGATGAATGAATGAATGAAGAAAAATTTTAGATAAAAAAAATGTCTTTTACACAACTACCGTTATG